AACCCCCGGGCTTGGACTTTTTCCACAACTTAAATTTGTTAGACTTTTTTATTACGTATACCATAGGGAAAATCTGGGAAACCATAAAACAATCGTTTCATCCAAAACAAATACATGTATGTGCAAGATTAACACATAATTTAATTCTGATCAGCATGCATTTTATGTATAACATGATTTTACATATTAAAAAAATGGAAGAATAGTCTTCTATTCCAATGGCTACACAAAGTTGGCAAAAATGCCACAGATACAAATTTGACTGAATCATTTTGTATTTCTCCGATGTAATACAGAGATTTACCTTTTTCAGGTGCTTACGTTTTATTCGTTTACTGGTCCGATCAACTTGTTCCCAAATGTCCATTCAAGATCACAGTTTCAAGTAAAGGGGCAAGTGACAAAGTTAAGGTTACAGGTCAAGGTCTCAGAGGAGGTTATGTCGGCCAGGAATTACGCATTGATATAGATACAACAGAAGCTGGATTTGGTATGTTTTGCCTTTAATTACTACAATTTATATTGTTTCTAAAGTAAATGGGAATATGTCTTGCATTATATTGTCCTTATATAGGGGAGATCAAGGTTAATTGTCATGGTGAATTAAGGGAAGCAAGATGCGATGTTTTCAACCAACGTAATGGTATTTATAAAGTACACATGTATCCAAGGGAGGCATGTCGACACCGACTGGAAATTACTTATGATCACGAACATGTACCAGGTATGTTATTATATCACTGAAGTAAAAATAACCATTCATACAGTATAAACCAAAAAAAAAAGTCATTTATTCAAAAGTTGAATTATTTATCGTAGATGAATGCAACAACTTAACTGAAAATTCTACTTTTTACATTCCACGTTTTCCGAAATGTCAGCAGGAGGTATTTCTTGAATACTATGGGGATTCATGGTACATTTGTAACACGTAGTTATTTACTCACCTAGGCAGCCCCTTTAAAATTCCTGTGGGGGAGCCCCCTGATCCACGAAAAGTGAAAGTTTATGGACCAGGAGTGCAGGATGGATTAGTCCAAACATTTGAGAGTAAATTTCTGGTAGAGACAGTAGGCGCGGGCGCCGGTCAGTTAGCGGTCAGGATCAGAGGACCAAGAGGTAGGTCTCCAAATATATTAAGCTTTCCTAAGCCCATCTTGAATGGCTTACGTATTCAGTAAACTTTATAAAAGGAATTTCATGATTTATCAAAAAACAATTGCGGATTCTAATTATAGAACATAGAAAAAACAATTATTCATTATTTCTCCATCATCGATTCTTCAGTTATGAGGCAATGTATAAAGTTTGCTAACATCTTATTTTTTGAAAAGGTGCATTTAAAGTTAACATTCAAAGGGAAGAGGAGAATGATAGAACTGTATTGTGTTCATATGACCCGGAAGAACCTGGGGAATACGTCATAGGGGTCAAATGGTCAGGACGTCACGTGAGAGGAAGTCCTTTCCATGTGCATTTATTTGAATCCCAGTCTGAGTTAGACAATTACCTGGGCAACAAGAGGGGATTTTTCGTTGAAAAAACCAAAGCTAACTTGCAGTGGCGTGCAGAAATTTAGCATTTTTGTGTAAAAATGATACATTAAAAAAGTTTACATGAAATGAAATCTTTTATTCTACATAAAAATAATATTACCAAAGTCTGAATTATGAATTATGCAATGTATTTTTCTTCTTTTGTAAACAGGTTGTATCTATTTATTATGTCAGTTGTACAGACTAGTCATTCATTTTATGCGAATTGCTTTAGATGTAAAACATGTGTCATTACTCAAATAAAGAATGAACAAACTGAGTATTGGATATCTGAGTTGAAATATATAATACATGTCTTCTGTCTGTTTTAGATTGGTCCTTCGTTTGAGCATGCTTGAATTACTTTAATTTTCGGTTTGTGATTTTTAAGAAATTAACACCCCCCTCCCCCCGAAAAAAGTAAGTAATCATTGCCTTAAAAGCGAATTTCTCTGGGTTCTATGCGAATCTTATGCGTCAAAGGTTGCAAAGAGTTAGAACAGTCTCAACCGATAATATTAGATGCGCTGACAAAACTCAAATACATGTACCAATACTCATGATGCTAGCTTGTGTCAAAATTGTAGCATATTTAAGGAAAAGTTTTAATAAAAAATTTGAAATTTTTGTACAAGTTATAGTTTGTTTCAAAAATTGTATGTTCATGAAATTTAAAATCGTTTAATCAGCCTTCAATTACGAGTTGTGTCTGTATGTGTAAAAGGTCCATATTGCTCAAATATTACATGTATATCTAAATTTACCGCCATCGATATAAAATTCTGGAGAAATTAATGTCTATCAAATCCTAACAATTTTTTCCTAATCAATTCATTAGTATTAAGTTCTAATTTAAAAACCAGTGACAAAAAGTTAATTGCTCTTATTTACAACTCCTTTCATAAGGGGGGAGAAAATTTTCTCAATTGAAATCAGGCTGAAAACATCACCAGATTTTCAAATACTCGTGGAAATGGATAAATGAATTAAATCCCACCCCGTGACAATAAGGGAACTAGAGACTGATTGGCGATTGTGTTGAGATAAGTAAGAATATGTAGAGACAAAAATAACCATAAGAAAAACTGGTAATATGGAAAACAGCCGTTGTAAGCCAAGGTGCATTTTTTAAGGATTTGACTTCATAAGCTATGAACTGATATCTTTGACAACGTTATGCGACAGTGGAAGCAATTATAGCATCATCTATACTTATAAATTAATAAATTTTGCAAATAAACTCCGAAACGGGTGCACCAGAGTTCTTACTTACTCCCCTAACAATACACTAGATACATGCTGATGTCCGTAAACTATATTTAGATTTCACTCGCATAGTAAGTATCGTACATTAAATTAAAAGTCTACTTTCATTTTCTATAAACAGCCATGAAATAGCTAAAACGTGAGTACGGTGGCGTTTCCGGTTGGCGGATCTAAGTTACTGGCAATTTTTAATGAAACTGACAACAAGCAATCGTTCATTTATTACATAAAACGTCATCACTGAATTATTCAATCAATACTCGATTTAAATGATATAAAAGAAATAAGTTGTGATAACCGATTAAGAAGGGAAATGTGCAAAATAGTTTCGTCATTCACTGATCTTTATATTGACGGAAGCTTCTAGAACATCATATAGCATCGAGCCCGATGTTAAGAAAAAAACGAGGCGATTATAGCTACATGACCATAAAAAAAGCTTTTGTGTAAATGGTCATAATTGAAATAATGGTAAATCACTAATAATGCTGTAAGTTGTGAATACAATTCTATATCGAAAGACTATTACATATACATGTATGTAGTAGGTTTTCCTAATAAATTTATCGGTAAAATTTGTATATATTCCTTACTGAGAGCATCGTGGCAATTTGTACTTCGTAATAAACTTGCTTACATGAAAAGAGAAAATTAATGAATAAGGTATTGTTCAAATACAATTAAAGATGTAAAATTTTGCGCTTTAATCAATGCACAGTTCATTTCTGAATACAATCTTTTATAGCTGCAATAATGTAGCCCTCTCCTTTTTTGAGGAGGGGGGGGGGGGCAAAGAGAGAGAGAGGCCAGAAAAAATCAGATCAAAAAAAAAAAAAAAAATCGGAAAGGGCTACATTATTGCAGCTTAGTCTTTTGTATCAAATACTCAGCCTATTCATAGTTCATAGGGCGTTAAAAGCTAATTTTTACACAGGTACTTGGTTCTTGGTTTATAAATATGTATGTACCTTATTGATAGGTGAAAAAAGTAAAGTACATTTTTACATATCAATAAGGTACAAACATGTTTATAAACCAAGACCAAAGTACCTGTGAATTTTTAACCCCCCCCCCCCCCCCAATCATGTGCATATTCGTTGCTTTTATCCTTGACGGAAATGAAATAAGAGCATCTGAAGTACAATATCCATAACATAGTATAACAGGTTTCATAATAAACGTCAATTAATGAAATTGTTATTTTTCAAGTTTAAAAAAAAAACAAACAAAAAAAACAAACAAACAAAAAAACGGGGGGGGGGGGTTGGTTGGATAGGTAAATCTACATTATGCGGGATTTTGAACAAAGTATTTGTTCCTGCTATAAGCAGGGACCTATATACTAATATATAGGTTCCTGCTATAAGCCTGTAGGCTGTCAGTAAGCATATTTTCTGTCGGTAGTGTATGAATTCAATTCCCCGCGCTTGCGCGGGATTTCATCTAGTATACAAAAAAAATGAAAGGGATTTAAAGTACAAGAAGGAGAGAGAATAATCTCAGTTGAATACATTGAAGGTTGATGATGACCAGAATGCTCGATGTCATCTTACATGCAACACTCGGAGAAGTATATAGTCAGATAAAGGAGCTGGCATTCCATAATCTAATGATTATAGTCTCTATTATCTAAGAATGTAAGGAAGATAATGAATGAATGTCCAGAAAACAATCAAAAGTAGTCAAAGGAAGAAAAGATTAAGCAAGACAAATAAAACTTCAGAAGAGAAAGGGGGAAATCAAGTGTAATTCAAGTTCAGCTGAACGTTGTAAGTGACGACCTTTAAGTAACTGTTAAAGACAATAAAATGAGGAAACTTTTGGAAAATTTTTAACGGTCATCAATAACATGTAATAAGCAACATATAAAGCCATGCATGGTTTTTTTTATATTATAACACAAAATATACGGTAAATTATTAAACTTTGAATATATTCAATATGTTTTTCAAATACTAGCACATTAAAGAAATGATGCATCGAAATCAATTACCTTTTATATTCACGTAGGTATATCTAGTTTAAAGGTTATCTTATACCAAGGACGTGTGATAATGTACGTACACCCGTTGTTCATATTTTATTGCATGTCCTGCGGATTTTAAGTCTGTGTAAACTCCAATTTTACTGAAGTATACCTTATCTAAAATCTATTTCAAAAAAAAATTAGATCACTCTTTTGCAGGCAACATGACAAATATGGCGGCAAGTAAAGTAAAATACCCATTGGGCTCTCCTCAAGAACATATTCCAATGTGTGAAGCACACAGTCTACCTCTTCATTTGATTTGTGAAGATTGTGATGAGTTTATTTGCGCTGTCTGTGCGAAAATAGCTCACAAAGATCATGACTGGAACCCTTTATCTACATCAGCTAGCCAAATACGAAAAGGTCTAAGTCAACTGTTCAGACGGATTAAGGAAGATGAACTGCCAAGGATTGATGCGAAGATGGAGAAGATGTTAAAACAAATCGCAAAAAATGAAAAACGTCATGAATGTGAGATAAAAAGGCTACAGAAACACTGGAATGAACTAATGTCCAGGCTGGCAGAAATCAAGGAACGACAAGAACAAACATTGAAAGACAATCTGTCAAAAAAGAATGGACAAGTGAATCTTGTCCAATCTCAGCTACTCAGGAAGAAGAACGGTATAGTTGATATCATGGAATTCATGGAGGAAAACAACAGAGCCATGTCTGATCTGAGCTTGGTAACCAACCATAAAGAACTGACACAGCTACTGTCTGACAATGTCGGTGATATCAATAACTGCGAACAATCAGTAAGATACAGTAAAGGGAACATCAGTGATGACTTGTTAGAGTCAATTGCTGGAAAGACTTTGGATATAGATGACGTCAGCGTGACGGAAACATCCTCTTTTAACTATGGAGATGAGCGAATAGTTTTATTAAAAGCGTTCAGCGACGATCTGTGTTATATAAGGAAATTAAAATCAGAGTACATTGAAGAAATCAACAAACAAGGTGAGAAAATGGAGAAACACAATATCTATCCCACTGATATCTGTGTGACTGATAAAGATGAAATTTATTTCACTGATTTTACGGACAATTCTATCAGGTTCTTATCCCCAGAAGGATCTGTTTCCACAGTTGTCAGAACACTTCCTTTGTCGCCGGGAGGAATCTGTCAGTGTCTAGGTGGTGGATTTCTGGTGACCCTAAGGGACACTGAAACAGAACTTTATAAACTGGAGTCCCACAGCAGAAATTTGCTTAGGCATATCTCGTGGACTGGTGACGTCATCAGTGAGTACGAATTCCATGGGGATGGTCAGACAAGGTTATTCACTCTGCCAGTCCGTGTTTCGCAGAGCAGCAACACTGACATCTGCGTTGTGAACTGGACGAGTACTTCCAAAGGTGAAGTGATAATTTTGTCCTCTTCTGGTTCTCAAAAGTCCGTGTACCGTGGACAGAACCTGGCAGCGGACTTTAGGCCTACTGATGTAGCAAGTGACCTCCACTGTAACGTTCTCCTCACTGACCATTACAACAACTGTGTCCATTTGCTGAGTCCTGAAGGGAAGTTTCTAATGTATCTGATGACAGAGAAAGAAGGAAAATTTCCATATAGACTATCTCTGTACAAGTCTACTCTTTGGGTTGGGAATCATAAAGGCCTTGTTAGAATATATCAGTACAAAGTGTAGTGTACCGAAACCGAAGAAAAAGGGCACTATCACACCTTTATAGTTTTTTGGGCCAAAGAAAGTGGCAAAATAATTATATTCTTTCACAGAACTATAGATATATGTTTAAATAATATCACTTCAAGTATCCAAACAGTTTGAAATCATTTCGCTACTTCTATTGTACAATTAATTATGTTTTGTATGATATCTTGTTATATTTACTAATTTTAGCATTAATGAAATCATACTTGACCTTGCATATTAGGACTTTTCCAACTTTCTCCATTCTGTCATTGAATAGAGAACAATCACTTGAACCATTCCTGTTTCTCAGAGAAGGAAGAGAATTAATTAAATCAGGATCTTTCTTATGTTTTTTTCCGGCGATGTTTTTTATATATTCATATAATTTTTTTCTATCTACCGAAGCACAAGTCGTCAGATCGCTTTAATCTGACTGACATACTGGGTGTATTAAAATGTCAAGTTGTGTAACTTCCCTTACCCAAATTCGTAGGTTAAAGTCTCTAATAACTCCTTTTGACTAAAAATAGTAACAAAAATGTGTTTATGAAAGATAAAAGCCTCCGTACACGAGCTCACGGCGAAGGTTAAAGTTTATCGAATGCAAGTCAAATTCCAATGTCAAGGTCAAGAGATCAAAAGTGTTGGTATCCAAAGAACGATCTTGTCTTAGGGAATACATCTAAGAAATATAAAAGCCCTAGCCCTAACCGTTCAAAAATTATAACCAAAGTTAAAGTTTTCCAAAAGAAAGTCAAACGGCAAGATCAAAGGGTCAAAATTGTTGGTTCTCAAGGGAAGGTACTGTAACAAGGAATACACATGAATAATATGAAAGCCCTAGCTCCAATCATTAAAAAGTTATGGTCAAGATTAAAGTTTTTCAAAAGTAGGTGAAACTCCAAGGTCAAGGTCAAAAATTGTTGGTACGCAAAGAAAGATCTTATTACAAGGAATAAACTTGTGAAGTATGAAAGCCGTAGCACCAGCCGTTCAAAAATTGCCAAGGTTAAACTTTGGCATTTTCGCTAGCCAAAGGTTTCTGATCCGCTACTCTACTCATGACACCCTTGGATGAGACCTAAAACAGTTAAAAGCCGAGGCCCAGTGTCACGGTAGGCGTTGGCACGATAAAGAACCTTCACTGCTCAATGGCCCTGAGTGCCGAGTAAAGGTTTAAAATTGAAGCCCTTCACTGGTATATGGTGACACCTCTATATGGATGAAAAATTCTCGAACAGGACGTAAAACAACATACAATCATGAACCCTTGGTCTATGTATGAAAAGTCGGCATTGTTTACGTCACTTGATCTCGAATCTTACAATTGCGCACAGAATGCACCATCGACAGAAATAAAAAGCGTAGTATTTAAGGAGAATAATTAACAGGCAGGTATCAAGCAATGTTTATTTGTTATGTAAGGTACAAATATATATCTGCAAAAACAGATTTTTGATCACATTATGTGCAAAGGTGGATGACAACTTAGCCATTTAAAGAATGACACATTATCTTACGGAATGTTGTTTACTAGTGCTTTTCATTCACAAGACTGAAGAGTCCAGATACATCCAGAACGGAGATATCGTCATTTACAAAACCATTCGCTGATTGGTCGAACCATATCAATTGAATCAAATCAGAACTCGAGAAAAAAATCCCGACTTTTCATAGCACCGTAGGCTAAGGGTTTGTGAGGAGAGTATCGGATCAGAAACCCTTGGCTAGCGAAGATGAAACTTTGGTAAAATGTTGCAAAAGTTGGTCAAACTCCAAGGTCAAGGTCAAAAATCAAATATGTTGGTACCCAAAGAAAAATCTTGTCACAAGAAATACACAAATGAAATATGAAAACTATAGCTCCAACCAATCGAAAGTTATGGGCAAGGTTAAAGCAAAGTTAAGATTAAAGACAGATGGACAAAGCAAAAAATATACCCCTGAATCTTCTTTTTTTTTTTTGCTTAAAAATATTCCGGTGTCAAGTATCTTACAAGAATGAAGTTGGCGGAAAAAAGAGTGCTTTTTTTACTCGGGCATAAATATCCACCGCGGTGATATTTTTTAATTAATCGCAATTTTATTTAAATTCAATATTGTTACATTCGCAAAAATGCGTCTTTAATTTTTTAATAATTAGGTATACCTCAAATGCAAATAAATAACTAGTTGATTCTGAAGAATGCCACCTTATGCTGAGCTAATCTAATGTTAAATTAGCTACATAATGTACTCATAGTCTGGTCAAAAACTGTGTGCTCGTAAAAACAAACATTTTCTTTATTAAAAAAAATTGTATAAAGGAAAAGCCATATACAATCTTAAGTGACAGTTTATTGCACATATTATATCTAAGAGATAAACATTTTCCTTTAGTTCTTTTGTTTTTTGTTTTTGTTTTTGTTTTTTAATTCAGAGCACTTTATAAGTTGATTGGGCGGAGTATTTTTTTAGTGTTCAAATATGAATGAAAGGCTTGCAGTTATCATTTATTTCTGATTCACCTAAATTTTATATCGATCTGTTCTATATAATACAAGTAAAAAGATCTAGATTTATCTTTTAGTTCTATCACCTACATTTTAGCCTCACCGTGGGTAATTTAACTCCGCCCAAAAAAGTGGCTCTGTCCAGACTAAACTAGAGCGAAAGTAAATTGTAAAAAAATAACTATACACTAAGGTCATAAAAACATCGTCCATAAAGAAACAATAAGCAACAATAACAATGATTTGAGTATAAAATTGCTAAATACAGAAGTCCCTCCTGATATTGATTGTGGAGATAACATTGGATCTGGTATAATGGGGGACATTTTTTGTATTATCCAGTCATTTATGATTTCCTCCAGAATGTCCAAGCTAATAGGTCCAGTTTTCAGTATCTGGTGGTGAAACTCTTTGACGTCAAACTTTTTACCTACAAATTTCGAAAATACATATGTTCAACATGGAATGCACTTATAAAATATTATTGGAATGATAAATGAGTGTACATATAATATTATTTGTAAAATGCAGATGTAGCTATGAGTATTTACCCAACATATTTTCTGCTCGGGATCGAAGTTCTCTAATTTTCAGTTCCCCTACTTTATATGCACAGGATTGTCCAGGCCAGGTGATATACCTGTCCACTTCTCGAGCTACCTCTCCATACGGAGCGTTTGTGTATTTCCTCATGAAATCAACAGCTTTTTCTTTCGTCCATCTGAAATACAGAATCTTTCAAGATGACAGAAGCCAAACATTGTTTGAAAAGACATTTTGAAAATTGATGCGAAAATACATTATTCTTATACAGTTATTTTCTTGACGTCAAAAATGCGTCAGAGATGTTGTTTTATTAACAAGTACCAATATCTCTGAAAATCAGACAACAATTAAACAAAAAAATTCTGTCCTTTCTAATGAAAAGAAAACATGCTTAACAATCAAATAATTCGTAATTTGTATTTTTCCTGCTCTCTCCACAGGCACTTGTTTCTGTAATAAATTTTTTGACCCATAGTAGTTATTATTGTACTATGGGTCAAAAATTTATTACAGAAACTAGTGCTTGTGGCTCTCTCCCTGAAAATTAATTGAAATATACTCAAGAGATGAATTTATTTTTTAATTTTTGAGAATTCATGAGGACATGAACTACGACGCTTCACACTGGCATAGTCCAAACCTCGGCTGATTCCGTCACCTTCATCAAACATTTAGAGATGAAGTACGAATCGGCCGAGGTGTGTCGAGTTCCATGAGGCGTTAGCGCCTCATCATAAATATGCAGGCGTGAAGCGTTGTAGTTCATGTACCTCATGAATTCTTAAAAATTAAATTCATATCTTATATTAATTATTTTTCTGATGACTTGCCGCATATTTTTGTCATTCAATGATCATTTTAGAAGAAAAAAAGTTTGCACTATATTTTTGACTTCAACCACATCACAGTGGAAATATATTCTTACTCATCCCGCGGTAGTTCATGAGAACATTTTCTAATTTGCAAAAAATCTTAAGGAAAAATATTTGGAAATGTAAATATATGTACATGTACTCACCCAAAAGCGTGGATTCCCGTATCTACAACCAGTCGACACGCTCTGAAGATTTCTGATAAATATTTCTGAAACCTGAATAACACTAGAATTAGTACTTTTGACAATAAAGTCTATTTCATAAGATGTTGTTTCTTGTCTTGCTTAATTGCATTATTAAAAAATTACACCATCTAAAAAGAAAAGATTCTTACGTTTCTAAAGGAGTTTTATAAAATCCCATCTCCATCCCTAACTGCTCTGCATACAGCGCCCAACCCTTTGAGAAAATAATTGTTAATTTAATTGGAATACATGCATGAACAAAGATACTTTTACTTTAGTTATATTTTTTTCTCGAATATTTGCATACTAACTACAATTTTTACACAGAATATACATGTATTCCCTGTAGGCTTTTTCTCATTTACATACCATAATACATGTGTATACATTTGTACTAAATGCAAGCTGGGTAAATAATGCCTTTAATGTGACAGAGAACTTTAACAAAATGATCAGCAGTGCTTTTTTATTAACCTCACTATATGCTGCATAAGTTGGGTATGTAAAGGGTATGGCATATCGTCGGCGGAAGAGGAGATGACGGCGATATAACGGGAGGGTTTGCTGCCTTTTGTAACATTCCTGAAATGATGTTAAATAGAGTTCAATGTTTAATCAATTTATCTGAATAATAAAATCTTAAAAGAAGAAAAAATACATTGCTCAAGTCGATATTACCTGAAAATGATGGCCCGGATAAGCTTCGTGAAAAGCCAGAGGAAGAACATTAGAGGTTGTCCTGAAAACACGAAACAAGTCTATCTTACGGTAAATGGGTATTTGTCCTTAATACATATTAATAATGTATCACTTTTTTGGATAGAGTCATGGGAAAATACAATGCCAACACTTTGACAATTTAGTATCAAGTCTTTATGTTAGTGGAGTTCACTACCCTCATTTAAAAGTGATTTGATAAATTGATACTTTGACAAGTGTCTGTATAATATCTGTGTGTATCAATACAATAATATGGATTTCCACAATCATTTATTTTTGACAAACTGGTTCTTTACACAGAGCAGACAAATTTTAATTATCTCACCTATTTTCGTAGTGTACATTTATATAAAACACATTATTGGTATAATGGCCTCTTGCTGGTATCCTTGAATTGTTATAAGTAACTATTCTGAAATTATAAAATTAAAAAAGTAATTGTTCACAAAATCCCAAAAAAAGTTTTAATTAAAAGTCAATAAAAGAGGTATTTCATCTCGTTCTTTGCAGTAAAACTGAATTTCTTTTTGTGGTTGCACTGTAATAGGTCGACAATAGTTTATTACACAAAAAAAAATACATTATAAGTTAACATGTTTTGTATATATAAGCCCTCATCTTGCAACACTGTAAATAAAGTGAAAATAAAAGAATAGACATATACAGGCGAGGAGCCGGGGATACACACTTTGTATTACATGACTTGCCCACCAATTCTTTTTAAACTCCTAAGGGGGAATAAAACTGGTGAAAAATATTTTTGGACTTTGAGAAATCATGTCATATAAAGATGAAAATTATTTCATATAAAGGTGTACATATTTAGTTTATCTAGTTCAATTTTGAGTTTTTCTACTTCATTTTCGACATAGGGTACCTGTATACATTTCCTCAAGAAAAATGATCAAAGATGAGGTACCTATTTTTTTCAGAAATTACATGTACGTTGGGAAAAGGCAAGTTAATAATACATGTACATGTATATTCAACTGCTTAACATTATTCTCACCACATACGATTTTAAGAATATTTAACCATTACAAATTATGTCATGCAGATCGACTACCATTAATTTTATCTTACATCTAAGGGCAGATCACTCTAACTGCATATTATTAGTAGAGTGTCTTGTTTAGAGCTTCCTTTTATACTTTTAGTTTATTTCAAATCAGTTTGAATCTATATGAATGGGATGCTTCTTAATTCGATCGTTTTCCGTCTTTTAAAGATAAAGGCACATCCATGGTGTTTAAATGCGATTTTTCTTTAATTTTTGTTACTTATTAATAATTTGAATTTTAAATTAGCTTCGAATGTTTTGAAAACAATAAATTTGGTTTTGGGGAGATTGAAAAGAAAATACTTTCTATAGAGCACTTTTTTGCAAGTTTGATGGGCGTTTTTGAAAACTAATTTTCAGCATCTTCAGTATGATTCATCTCTGTTTCATAACTTCTATACGGAATAATTGCACTTTTGGAGGCAAATGTTTTCACAGAGTTGCAGAGTGTGTAGAGTGGCTTTCTGTAATTGACATGTACTTGTGTTTATACAATGCGTATAGAAGTATTAATAATTAATTAATACAAACTTTAGTGGTGTAAGTGGAATTCTCTGGAATGAGCTCCATAACGAGTCACGGGCGCTGTTAATGGCTCTTCTGTAACTTTGGAATACGTTCCACTACAAGTAATAAACATAGTGTATTAAATACTTAACAAATCTTCAAATGGACATTTCCACATTATGTTACTATCTTCATTATCTGTGTCATCGAATGTTAATAGAGTGATCTGATCTACCATACCTTTGTGTCTTCATGTAGATTCTTTTTGTTGAGGAACCAGGCAAATTCTGATATTTTCCCCGTAAATCCGACTTGCCTCATCACCTAAAATTGATTTCCGGTATGGCATGTTCGCAATGCAGTAAATATGATGTGATGTAGTATTATGATTCTTTTTTCTTTATTCAAACATGCCTTAAGAACATTCATTGTATTTGCCAAGTTTTAATCGCTATAAATGATAGATATGGTAGGAACCCAACTCTGTGTTATTGGAACGACGTTTTCAAACTAGAATTTCATATAACTTCAAATTCTGTTAATCACTTTTTACTCGCGAGAACTTTATTTTCGCGTACGCGAGACAGTCTGCTCGCGAAAATTATATTCTCGCGTATATTTTCATTAGTATAGAGTTTAAAGCTCAGAATTCGGGAACATTTTGTCTCGCTTATAAATACCAAATACCTATCTCGCAAAAATAAGGTGATTTACAGTATATTTCATCATCTTTTCTCTTGAACAATATTCTCCTACTTAACACATTTACATCTATTACTACACAGAAATACTTAGCAAATCATCTTAAAAGAGAAGCTTTTATAGTTTGTACCTTCTTCATAAGTTTTTCTATTCTTTTGATTTCATTATGTCCTAGATCGTGAATCTCCTGTGGTGAGAGTCGAGTTCCCAAGTGGTAGTCCAGACAGGCCTGATAATACTCCAGTCCACCAGGTAGGGAACTAACTCCTATATTCCTACGACTGGCCGGGAGGTATTCCTTTATAGACAAGAAGCTCAGGGAAGTTTATACAAACTAAACTATGCTTTATCATTCTGCAAATCTTAATACCGTTTCTGTACATACATAATTATTGTTTTGAAAAAGTCCTCGTGCACTTTTATTGCAATGCAAAACCTAGGATCTATGTATAGTTAACCAACCAGTCAAGATTTATAGAATAAATTTATCAACATAAATTAAGTGCTTGCAAATTGATATGGGAATAAATATATAATTATTTATCTTGTTTTGGCCAAACATATACTTTAAGATTTTAATTTCTCTACAAGTACGTTCCAAAGAAACTTGGAATCAGAAAATGCCGTCACATTTTCTGGCTCTTGCGGGAATAATTTAATTAAACATATAAACATGTATGTTCAAATTAAACCAATATAAAAATACATCTATCTTTGTAACAATTCAATATAAAATATAATCTCTTAAAATCATTTCATTTCACAGCTTGTTTGGAAGATTAAGATAATTACTTGAATAAACTTTAATCAACTATCAATGAAGCTGTGGATAAAGGGACTCAAATAACGATGAGTTTTAAACAACTCATTTCCCTGCTAATTTTAGACATATTTAATCTCCAGTTCAAAAATTTCCTAGCATATCTCTGGTTCCCTTGCTCTGGTTGACTTGGGCAGAGCAATTATATTCAAAATTTTCTAGTAGATTTCATGCTGAAGTGAAGTATAAACTAAGTACAATTATATACTAACCGAATCAATAAATTCTGCCAATTTATTAAGAGTCTCCACTATGTTCTCTGTACTTGTATTCCAAACAAGTAACTGGCTGCTATGTCAACATAAAAGAAACTTTATAATTGTGACGATCTGACTGGGTTTCCTTTTATCAACTTATAAATATAAAAAGGAAAATACCTGTAAGACACATACAAATTCAAACACTGACTTTTATCTACTCTTGTATGCACGGTACACATAGTTCAGAATTTTTAAAACAATTCCGAAGAATTTTATGTATAGCAAGAATCAAATAATTGATGTTACAGGCGTATACATATGAATCTGGATAGAAATATTGCTCGCCAAAGCCAAGAATTGGCAATTAGAGCAATTATCCATTTTCTCTCCTATTTCCGACAATGAAAAGAATGAGTTATAGACGATCATATACAATGTATGTTATACCTTGAGGAGTTTTGTGACGAAGAGGCATTGAAATTTTCATGTCTTTGGTGTCTGTATACGTAAAATATTTCAGACCATATCATTTCCAGCATACCATCCTAGATATATAAAAATAAATCAAAATGAATCACACGTAGCATGGATCTTATTTATGAACAGTGGAATTGGTAGATGTATACCTCTGGCTCATTCTTTTGAAAAAAAAGTAGGATGGATGCCCATATATACCTATGTTTACAGACTAGTGAGCTACAAATCTGCAGCTATGAAAATGGTCACTATTAACGTTTTCAACTTAATCAACATTACATCTCTATATACAATACACTCAATACATCGTTTCGTAGAGGAATTGAATTAAAAGTCGAATTTTAATTACAGTCATGTAGTTTGCAAGGTTTTGTTAAACGATTCTTTCTGTATGTAAAAATAAATATATGTATGTACAGTGTATATGTATAAAAAAATCATATTTAAACAAGATGTGTTTGTGAAACACTGATGCCCCCGTATGGCAACTTAAAGCAAAGTTTAAACTTTCTCAAATGCAAATCAAGTATGTTGGTACCCAAAGTAAGGTCTTGTCTCGAGGAATAAACCTGTGAAATATGAAAGCCCTAGCAACAACCATTGAATAGATATGGAAAAGGTTAAAGGTTTTTCAAAAGTATGTCAAACATCAAGGTCAAGGTCAAATGGTCAAAATTAATGGTGCCCAAGAAATACGCATGTGGAATATGAAAGCCGAAGCACCAATCGTTCAAAAGTTATGACCAAGGTTACAGTTTTCCAAAAGTAGGACAAACTCCAAGGTCAAGGTCAAAGGGTCAAGGTTGTTGGTATCCAAAGAAAGGTCTTGTCACAAGGATTACATATGTGAAGTATGAAAGCCCTAGAACCAACCGTCCAAAAGTTATGGCCAAGGTTACAGTTTTCCAAAAGTAGGTCAAACTCCAAGGTCAAGATCAAAGGGTCAAAGTTGTTGGTATTCAAATAAAGGTCTTGTCACAAAGATGACATATGTGAAGTATGAAAGCCCTAGCACCAACCGTTCATAAGTTATGACCAAGGTTAAAGTTTTTCAAAAGTAGGTCAAACTCCAAGGTGAAGGTCAAAGTTGTTGGTATCCAAAGGAAGGTCTTGTCACAAGGATTACACATGTGAAGTATGAAAGCCCTAGCACCAATTTTTCAAAAGTTATGACCAAGGTTAAAGTTTAGTAAAATTTTGCAAAACTGGGTCAAACTCCAAGGTCAAGGTCAAAATGTCAAATATGGTGGTACCCAAAGAAAGGTCTTGTCACAAGAAATACACGTCTGATATATGAAAGCCATAGCTCCAACCAATCAAAAGTTATGGACAAGGTTAAAGTTTTTGCGGACAGACAAACAGACAGACAGATGGACAGTGCAAAAACTATATACCCCCGAATCTTCGATACGGGGCATAAAAAAATCAAGCGCCAGAAACATTTCGAATGATGTGCTTACGTATATATGTATAGGTACAACGAAATTGTAACAATTATGCAATTACTTTTTTCGGAATAAACTAGACACTTGGTAGATTAATTTGTGAGCATGAGACTTTTGAGCGGTTACCATTGAATTGATGTGATTGGTCCGGTTTAGTTGAATGGCACTCTTCATAAGTTGAATCTGCTCTTTGATCTATGTAGATAACAATAAAAAAAGCATCAATGGACTAAAACAGTTTTATTAAAAAAAAGGTATATAAAGTTTACTCGTATTGAAAGACTAGGATATAAAAGTGATATGAATTCCTGAACAGAACCCCTTGCCATACTTGTTGTGGAATGGCTCGAAGTCTTGAAAGATATTTCTGGGGATCTGAAGTCATAGATTTCGAAATCCAATTGCGGTGTTTCAAAGGTGCCTCAAGAAAATTTATAGGATTCAAATTTCCCCATCTACAAAACACGAATCAATTTCCTTTAAATTACATTCGTGCTTTTTTTTAAATTTATTTCTTTAATTCCTTTTAAGAATATAATTGTCCTTCTTCAGTTTTTTCGGGTTAAGAAATTGGAATGAATTCTTAGGACGAAGACTTACTCTCTGAATCTATAGCCTTCCACATACGTCTGCACGTGGTTGCGTAAGATTTTTAAATCTTGCAGTTCATTATGAGTGAGTAGTTTTTTGTTGATGGTATTAATCTGGTTCAACAGCTCTAAATTCTGATTCTGTTAATATAAAAATAAAAGTCGGTTATCGAGTCCAGACAGATAAAAATAATGAAACAAATGCATTCAAGTATAATCCTTACTCTTCAAGTCTAAAAATTCGAATCTCTATCTAAATCTTTTAAATGCGACTTTTAAAGGTCAAGGTGCTATCAAGAGGATGTCACTGCATAATTTACGTAGAGAATGCTTGAATGATTTCTATCTGTGCCCTTGGATTTCTCGAGTTTTTCCGTGATTTACAGATAAACTGATTTCTCGAGTTTTTCCAGGATTTACAGATAAACCAATTCTTATGTAAAAGAAATCAAAGAGCGCGCGCGCTGATAGATATAAATGCAAAGTTAATATAATTGACAAAATTAAGAATTCTTTTAAGTTTTTTTTTTTTAATGAAAAGGTATAAAAGGAAGGACAGTCTATTATCTATTCATAGAAATAAATCTAATTGCTGAAAATAAATAAGTTGAAAAAACTAGTGTATAGAAATATGACTGCATTATGCATGCTAATGTAAAATCAACATGTCTCAGATGCTATCACTAATATCAACATTGATTAAATTCATCGGATTATTTTTTTTTTAAATTTATCCATGTTTAAAATTATCTAACCCTCTCTATCAGTCTAATATTCTCACTTTCCGCCTTTCAAATGCTTGGAATGTGAAGGACTCTGCCCTCCCGTCATTTCCGGTCAGTCCTGTCGACTCAGAAAATTCCGGATATTCAGCTTGTATCATCTCAAACAACTTTCGTTCCAAAACTCGCAGTTTTTGCCCTTCTTCACCTGGGTAGGAATATATTTTAAATGATACGCATAAAAAGATAATGATTATATTGTATGTATATATTTGAGCATATCAATTTCTTTAATCATAGGTTTATTGTTGGTTAACGATTTGAAGTTTTTATTGTTTTAACTAAAGGCTTGATGTTCTTTTTTCTCAATTCGTCTGCGACGTCATATAGAACTTAAGTCAAAGACGTCTGCGTCAGTCATGCGTCAGGAATTTTCTCTCTATTTCCCATTCATCTTATTGCCTTTAATTCAAAAAAAGTCGAGCAGACGTTTCACAAGAATTCCAGCGCCTTGACATGATTAACCCAGTAATTGGGTACGTCTGCTAATTATTGGGGTCAGCCGCAGTATTTTCTCAGATAATACTAGATAATCCCTGCGGGCATATGCACTTTTGGGGGGTGTATTGTTTTGATTACACGAGCTTGCAAAATTTAGTCATTCTTTGAAAAATTCTTAAAATTGTCAGTCAATATCAAAATGCAACAAACTTAACTTGCTAAGGAGCGTATGAAGTGTTTCGAGCATTTTGACAGGGCTGTGCAATTTAGGTACAAATATTCGGAGTGGTGCTAGTATAAGTGGCGCTTGTTTATAATTGATTTGTGAGGTGAGAATGTCAATAAAGGGGAGAAGCATAAACAACTTGATGAGTGTTTTTTTTCCTTCTTGATATATATTGGTTTTCAAGAATATGTATAAACCTTTGGCGATATCTTTTGTGCAAATTTTAAATTTGATTTCTTTAGTTTTAACATAGAGCTAACGTATAGTTAAGCTTTAACGTAAAGCTAACGAATTATGATTGCGTCAATTAGTAAATTTGTTCCTTGGTCCGATGAGATGTGTAATTGCTTCAAAAGAGGTAGTAACTAAGACTTCATTTTCTAAACTGCTCTCTTGTGCAGTTTCAAACATTTAGATGATTAAGACACTCATCAATTCGGGCTCTCCTTCTGCCATTTACTTATGTCAATAGCAATGGTTTATACATGTAAAGGCAATGTAGGTGGTTCTGCTCTTGTGAACCTCCAAGGGAGCCGATTCTGAGTTCTAATTTTAATGACGTCAACTGTTATGAATAGAGAATCTCTCTATGCAGACAAAGTGTTGACTCTATAGTACCCCCCCCCCCCATCCCTCTAATACTTGGAGAACTTCTCTGAGCAAACAAACTGTCGACTGTATTGAATCTCTCATAGACTTCTCTATTTAATCACCCTAATATGTCAGAATATGGCTAAACGTATCTCTTAAGTAGTATCAATTAAAATAAACTCTAATGTATAAGAAAACACTACTGTCGTCTCTAGTAAGCACTATACGGCAAGTCAAACTATAGTTTAATTCTCGTCAAACGCTCATACACAAATCTAGCTGTGTTTTTATAAGCCTCTCAAGCACCTCATACTATCTCTATTAAACCTCTCAGAGGCGCCATGCAATACCTACTGATCCCTCAAACTATCTCTATTAAACCTCTTAGAGGCGCCAGTACTTACAGATCCCTCAAACTATCTCTATTAAACCTCTTAGAGGTGCCAGTACTACCTAACGATCCCTCAAACCATCTCTATTAAACCTCTTAGAGGCGCCAGTACCTACAGATTCCTCAAACTATCTCTATTAAACCTCTTAGAGGCGCCAGTACCCACAAACTCTCAAACTATCTCTATTAAAACTCTTAGAGGCGCCAGTACCTACAGATCCTTCAAACTATCTCTATTAAAACTCTTAGAGGCCCTAGTACCTACAGATCCCAAAACCATCTCTATTAAACCTCTCAGAGGCGCCAGTATCTACAGTTCCCTCAAACTATCTCTATTAAACCTCTTAGAGGCACCAGTACCTACAGATCCCTCAAACTATCTCTATTAAACCTCTTAGAGGCCCTAGTACCTACAGATCCCAAAACCATCTCTATTAAACCTCTCAGAGGCGCCAGTACCTACAGATCCCAAAACTATCTCTATTAAACCTCTTAGAGGCGCCAGTACCTACAGATCCCTCAAACTATCTCTATTAAACCTCTTAGAGGCGCCAGTACCTACAGATCCCAAAACTATCTCTATTAAACCTCTTAGAGGCGCCAGTACCTGTACTGATCTCTCTATGGTTCTATTGACCCTCTCTGCGACGCTAATCTGTATAGCCTCTAGTAAGTCCCTTGGGACCTCAAATTAAGGCTCCTATTTTATAATCAGTTCAGGAACATTAGACTGACGTCTTCGGTGATTCTGTCAAAGATGTCAACTGTCCCTACGAAGAACCTCTCCGGAGATAGACCGCTAATATTTATTTCTCAAATAGAGATTTCACTGATTTGTAGAGAACATCCCGGGGTGTCAAGCTGATGTGTCTACTGAATGTCTCTGAGAAAACAAACATTTAACGCTGTTCAACATCCTGGAGCCCAAATGTCGACTCAAGTTAACTTCTCAAGGTCTCTGTGCCGAGGGAACTCATCAGGGACCTTGGCCAACTTTAGTGAATCTTTTCAAAGAGACCCAAGTGCCTTCTCTACTCTTGTAAAAACTTTCAGATGTCAAACTGTCGTCTTTTTGGAATTTTGAAGGAACACTAATCCATATTTAAGAAAATCAATCAAACACGCAAGTTTGTAACGTTACCACAAGTAATCTTCGAAATAATACATTGTCGTCTCTAGCAAAAGTCTGTCTGGGTAGTCAAACTTTCATCCATAGCGATCCTCTTTGACTTTTCACGTCGCCTTTAGTGACAAGCTCCAGACAGCTCAGTATTACGTTAAGCTACAACTCCATATGAAATTTATTTTCGTATGGAAAGTAGTCCCAGAGAATTGATACTGTATGGAGTATGCTTTAGTGAACGTTGTTGAAACATTACACTGTCGCCTCTAGCAAACGTCACTCATGGATTTCAACTGTACAAGAACTCCAACAGTCGTTTCTGTAGTAAATCACCTGGTAACCCAAGATTATATGGCCATAGTTAAATAGTAAACTTTTTTTAGGAACATGTGTTCTCATCTCTACTTAAGTTCCTAATTTCTGAAGGAACTCAAGCTGTCGTCTCTAGAAATAAAAGTTGTTTCTTGAGAAACTCGTTTATCGTCTCTAGTATAGATGATCATCTCTTAAGATTAAACTCAAGTTGTCGTCTCTAGTTAGTATTTTCTTAAGAAACTCAAATTATCGTCTCTAGTCTCTGGTATAGCATCTCCTAAAGCTAGATTCAACTCAAGCTTTCGTGTCTGATATATTTTTCTTATGAAACTCCGTCTTTTTACGAAAACAAACTTCATAGATATTGATTGTTGATTGGCAACGGTTGGGGGGTAGGGGATTGGGATTATGACATCACGTATGTATTTCATTTAACATTTGCTGTGTTTATCTAGAATATGAGTTACCCGGTAAACTTTAAATTCGGAATTTTTAATGGGCGTCTGTGAATAAAATATTTTTTAACAATTGAATTATTCGTCACTGAATTATAAATCTAGTAGTTGCTTACATGTACATGACAAAGGTGCGTAAAACTACATGGTTTCTAGTTTTAAGTTTACGAGATATACATTGGAATTAGATATGTATTTGGTCAGACTTTTTCGTGTATTGGGATCCAACACTTCTAACTTCATTGGCTTCGCCAATATGGTAATCAAATGTGATAAAATAATGCTTTAAACTTTATGTGAAAAATACTATCTAAACTGCAAAATTCTCTCTCTTATTGTAACCTAACTTGTCTGTACATAGGATATTGACAATGGATATTCCTGCGTGTTGTCCTCGTTAGAAGAAAAAGACATTAATTATTCTAATTAGTAGAAGTACTGGTTTTTTTATTATACACTACAAATGCAAAACCTCCGTTCTATGTAGACTTTCTGGCTACTGTTATTGGATATTATATATAACAGTATATTACATTTCTTCATTATTCTTGTCACGTATACCGTCCACAAAAATCCCAATGTTGATATATCATATTTATAATTAAACGTTTCAAATACTTACATGTAGCTATTAATATAAGTTCTTTTGATTATAATGTTTAGTCTAGCAATATTTCATTACACCTTAATATACATGTATTTTCTTTGTATCTTTGTTTCTGAAATGTACTTGTAAATATTAATTACAAAATGTGTGAGAATCGATTCTTAATTGTTACGTGATTAAGCTCCAAAGAAAAATTTAAAATGTAACATGATTTTTTTTTTTAAGATGTGTTCTTTTCCTTTTTCTCTAAAAGATGGGAAAATGTTTATTGAAATCTAAAATTAATTGATGGTTAGGTTGATGGGAAGTAGTAATAATTTCAGGAACTTTGTTCCCCCTTCCCCCCCCCCCCCCAAATAACTTTTGTTTGAAATTTTGTACTCGTATTTCAAGGATGTACCCAATTCTGAAAATAACGACAATCTAAAAAGCATCATTAAACTCGTGATAGATAATACTTCATAGTCAAAATTCACTACAACTGTAATTGTTTGTATAATTGAACAAGAGGTCTCTGACGAGACAGTAGCTCCTCGGTTTGTATTTTAAGTAGTACGAGCAAAACTTGTACCCAAAGTCCTTGTATTTCTTTTTAATTTTACATTTACAGAATTACTGCATTTTGAACTTGTCCAAAGTTTGATTGAAATCAAACACAAACTGTACGACAATAAGCAATTTGAAAGAATTTCAGTTATTATACTTTTCATAATGGTCAACCTTGCTACTTAATCTTGAAATCAAAAACCAACAACCAGAGTCGTGTACTTTAGAGTAATATTTCTATTAAACAAATTAATCAAGTTGAAGAAAACCCATATAAAGAGAACGCCTTGAAAGATTTTCTCTGAACATTCTATCTCTACTAATGATGGTAACATAATTTGAGGACACCAACATCAAAAACTGGAAAAAAATAATTGTGAATCTTTGTGTACTCTATTTGAGTACCAAGTTTTATTAACATCTGGAACTATAGAGGGAGTAGCGTTTAGAATGAATTTTATAAAATTTTCTTTTTTAGTTACCATGTCAACAGCGTTTGTTGAAATCATTATGTATTTTAGTTTAGTCAACTTTTGTACCAAGTTTTATTGAACTGTAAGATGATTCACGTTTTGAATGAATTTGCACAAATTTTTATCTTTAGTAATAAGGTATATGTAGCATCCTTCATCAAAACAAAAATTATAGAATAACATCTTATGTGTGTCTATTCCTGTTCCAAGTTTCATTGAATTCGGATTAATACTGTAGGAGTAGCATTTTGAATAAACATTATGCAAATTTCTATTTCTAAGTGAGCATGACAACACCGTTAATCTAAAACAAAGACAGATGAATATAATTCCGTATATTTGGAAGTAGTTCTAACTTGTATCAACTTTTATTGAAATCGGACCAAAACCAAAAGGATGAGGAGCAATAAAAATATCTACATACAAACAGAAACAGCTTTGAACAGCTAAAAACAGCTTTTCAACTAGTAGAGCTCTTTAAAAAGCAGCAAAATTTTGAGGAATACGAAATAGCATTACTTTATTTTCTTTTTTTCTTTTTTTTGTGTTGGATTATTTGGATGATGTAAAAAAAAAAAAAATCTGGAACATCCTTAATTGTAAAAACCCTAATCTGCGCTATTTGTCAATTTTATTTATTTTTATTTTATTTTATTTTTTTTTTTTTTTTTGGTTGAAAGTTTTTTTTTATGTATAATTATGCGGCACTCACTCGAATGATTAATTTAATGAGAAAGTATCTAATTACCAACAATTCGTAAATAACCAATTCATCTCATAGAAAACAGGGTCTAAAGGTGTATTTATTAATATAAATTTGTAAAATTACTGACAATTAATTGTCCTTCACAATTAAAAAATGCCAACAATTGAAAAGTTGTCGTAGCGTAGGATCAGTCAGTGTAAACTATATATAACTAAGTAATTTCCTCTTTTTTAAGATCTTAAAAGAATTTTACAAACGAAAAAATCCTAACAATATTATCACAATATTTTTTTTTTCATATAACAATCTAAATGCCCACAGGAATCCTGTCTGTAAAGTATTACATGCACTATTTTGTTACATAATTCAATTACCTATAATAAACAACACCAATCGTATATTTACCTTGCAGAGCCTGCAGTGATCCTGGAAACACCAACAAAAACATACACACTGCAACTTCCAGTCGCTGCATACTTGACGGCTAACGTGATAGCAAATGACCACGTTTTCTTACTGTACCGGCATAAAGTCACGGCCATTTCTCTTTTCTCTCCTGCTGAGCGAAAAATGATTGGGTAATCTAGTTCAATACATGGCATGCGCCGGAATATACATGGGCGGTTCAGGACCCCCTCCCCCTCCAATGCAGGTTATATAAAGGGATATTTGTGTGTGGGCTCTTGGTATTCGGAAAATAAACCTACCGGTATACAGTTGAGGAAGCAATAAATATGAATATTGTGACATATTAATAATATTGTCTGCAATTCTGATTTATATATTATAGAAATTACTTTGAGATTCTAAATTGGAACAGTGTTATAACAAAATATTGTAGAAAAGGGAAAATTGCTATCAAAAATGTAACTACAATATACATATGTTTAAGTGAACTTTCAAGCCAAATTGCAATCTTTACTTTTGCCGATATATTTTTAAGAGAATTATATGTGTATGATATTTGTTCTGACTCAAATATCAAATACGTGCTCATTAATATAGACTTTATTTTGAAGAAAAAAATATATATGCAATGTTGAGCTTCAGTTTTGAATTCTTTTAACATGTTTTCTTTGCATAATGTATAATGCATTTCGACCTGATGTAAAACAGAAAACATTAGCCTAGCTTTTAGGAGAAGTTTCTTTTTCATGCAAGTAAATTAGAAAATTCACCTCTATATCCGAATTGTACAGTTGTAAATATTTCTTATTTTACGAGGTAACTTGTCCAAAAGAAAAACACGTTAGTTCAGACAATTGTCCCCCGTTTAAGAAAAAAAGAAGGGGTGGAAGAAGTGAAGAAATATGTAGATGGAGAGAAAAAAATAACATTGACCTACAGCATTTGGCCTTAAAGTCGATAAGGATCTATTTCGAGTAAAATAAATTTATGACTTAAGTTTCTTTGCAAAAGCTTAGAGAGAACTTAAGTGATCCCATGAAATGCGTGTTTGCAGTATATAAATTTCTGACCTTGGTCTTTGACCTTTTCACCTCAAAATTAATAGGATTCTTTTTCTTATGCTATATTGACTAATGCATAAAAATAATTGTAAACCTCAAAAAACTAGTTATTACAGGAAAGCATTTTATGCAAGCTATGAATTTTTTGCCTTGACCTTTTGACCTATAAATCAAAAGAGGTTAAAGTTATTGGGAGTTGTGATATAAAATTTCATAGAAGAAGCTTGAGGAAAACTAAAGTTATCATCTGGAAACCGTTTTTGGATTGTATGAATTTCTGACCTTGACCTGACCTTTTGACCTAAAATCAAAAGGGGTGTCCTTTAATTTACAAAGAGTTATGACGTATAACTTCATTGAAAAAAAATTCAAGGAGAACTAAGTTATCATCTGGAAAACATTTTTTGCAATATATGAATTTCTGACCTTGATCTTTCACCTTTTGACCTCATAATCAAAAGGGATCTTTTTATGCCATAAGAAGTTGTGATGTGAAATTTCATTGCACAATCTCAAATACATTTAAAACATCGTCCGGAAACGAAAGTGTTACACACAGACAAAATGTATAAGTTTCTTACCTTGACCTTTGACCTTTTCACCTCAAATTAGAAATGGTCTTTTTAAGGCCATCGGATGTAGTGATATTAAATTTTATTGAGAAAAACTCAAAAAAAACTAAAGTTTTCTGGAAACTGTTATTTGCAATGTATGAATTTATGAACTTGGCCTTTGATCTTTTGACCTCAAAATCAATAGGAGTCTTTCTTAGGCTACAACACTTTATTGCAAAAGCTCAAAGGCCTTTTGGGATATCGTTCGGAAACGAAAGTATTACACACAGACAAACGGACGGACGAACAGACAGACCCAAATTAATATCCCCCTTTTCTATAAAACCGGGAGACCAAAAATATAACAATTAAAGATTACTAAGTTTTCAAAACTTTAAAAGGTAATTTCAGGGCATTCTTAATGAGACACTTGACAAAATGACTCAATGACTTTACAAAATGCTTATTTTTCTGAAACTTTTAATCTTTGGAATTTTCCATTAGACACATCAGATACTTGTAGAATCCGAGGAATTCTATTGGAAAGCAATTGGTGTGGTTTACCAAGGTCAATACACTTGTTTCTCATGTCTTCAGAAAAAATAAAAGCAATATTTTCAATGATGCTGTCAGAAGAATTTAGGAATATGTCAAACAAATCCATCAAACAAAATGACAACTGACGGAACGTAAAATGAAGTTACAACCTTCGGAAAACTTTACGTTTCATATGATAAAACCTTTCATCAGACACTCAGAAGAAAGTTCTATACTTAGCAAATATATCATTGTATTTTTTTAATTCATTCTTCAAGGAGAAGATGTAACATTCATGCATACAATGACAGGATATACGAGTACAGGTATATGCATCGTCAAAGGTGTAGATAAAGGGGAGATGAGGTAGAGAGAGAGCCCTCATCTTTCGATATTGAGGACTTGTCTTTGTCCCAGATCTATACGATTGATAGGGACTCTGTTTTTGAGGTTTCAAATGTATAAACTCTCACATTATTTGCGAACGAGTCAATTTTCTGGTTTATACCAGTATTTACAATAAACACCGCATGCTGATCATCTTGATATAGCCTTAGTTTACGACACGCTGAGAAAGTAATATTCTTTCTACTTGTATCATTTGGCTTTATACATTTGTGCTTCCCATCCCCATTGTTTGTCCCGTACACGGCCACTCACCTTTGTTTAAAATGTTTTTGATCATTAGCTTACCCAGGTCCATTGGAAACTTGAGTTGTGGCTTTGCTTATATGTTTTCAAATTACGGTTATATAAGGAGCCTCGGCATTTAAGAAATATACCCCCTCCCCCCTATTATCCGGAAAATGAAGCAAAGGGAAAATCTACTTAGTCATATCTCATATACAGTTATTGCTGGTTTTTGAGGTCAATACGATGATTTAGACACCTGAGGAGTACAATATTCACCGAGCCCGAAGGGCGAGGTGAATATTGTACTTCGAAGGTGGCTAAATCATCGTATTGACCGAAAAAACAGCAATAATTGTTTTATTATATCATTCAATGATTAAATGACACACACTCATTAAAGGCAATCCATGCCATCTTACTTGTTCACATCTACTGAAGTACTAGCCGAACATAATGAGAGAAACGGGGTTAAAAAAAAACCAGTTGTATTATTTTAGAATTTTTAATTCTAGTTTAGGTGCAATGTAGAAAAAATAAATGTCAGGCACTTATATAGGATTGATTTTGAAAAAAGGGGGCAGTAAAAGGAAAAAAATGACACCCCCCCAAAAAGGAAAAGAATTCTCCAAACTCAAAATTTTATTTGATGGGATGTAAAGGTCCATAAACGAGGGGATGGGGGGGGGGCTTTCATTGAAATTTTTTATCCTTAAAATTTAAATTAAAACTTTACATTCTCAAAAGGTGGGGAGAGGGTTAATGTTATGTTCATATGAGAGGAAGTCTGGTGCAAGTGAAATAACTTTCCAAAACTATGTGCATCAATTTGGAATTTCCCTATCTATTTTTGGTCCAGTGAAGAATAAATAATTCCTTATATTGACCTGGAAGGTCACGTGCAGGTCAATATAACGTAGTATTTTTCTAACATTGTCGGATCTCAGCCAATCAGAGAGATGGGAATTATTCAATCATATAATAAACACCTTTATATACCCCATCCCACCCCTTAACCGCAATGACTGTTCATAATTTTTCTATCAATGCACATATATATTGACTTATGTAAAATGTAGATGCAGATCTGTAGCTTGCTGGTCTGAAAAAAAATGGGATGATCTGTCAATATATTTTTTTCGGAGAGCTATGTAGTTCTGCAGGTATGTAAAATAAATCTGAAATGAATGTATATATATATATATATATATATATATATATATATATATATATATATATATATATATATATATATATATATATATATATATATATATATATATATATATATATATATATATATATTGTAGGTAACTTAAATCATCTGCATACTGTGCTAAAAAATGTATACTAGTATATATTTTTTCAAGATATTAACATTCCATATAAATTTCAGCATATACGAACTTGTAAAGTCTGAAGAGAAACACTTTGTTACATTGATGTAGTAAAGTCAAACTACGGGGGGAAATGCAAAAATTATCACTTCATTTTTTTTACTATGAATCCCGGTACGAGTCGATAGATTGCCTATGCTGATGTTTCGGAGTAAACAAGAATTGTGAAAAGATACCAAGGTCAATGTAAATGTACACCTTTAATTAACTTTGGTCTTGACAATAAAATAGTGCTGAAATAAGACTCTTCATGCTAAGAAACTGTTAAAGAATTCATTCATTACAGGTCTCGAGGATGCTGCTCAGTATTTGTGTACATATGAACTCCTGAGTTCGTTGATGTCTCGTTTTACTGTCTTGGTGGTTTTTGAAAAACCTGGAATGTTAAAAAAATATACCGATTTGATTCCTTCTCAGGTCTCTAAGAATACACAGAAAGATCATTAAAGTTTGGAATCATTATGGCATAAATAATGATGTGCTCCTTATGTTAGTATTTCATATGATAAATTATTACCAAAATGAAATTAAAACGAAAATAACGAATTTAAAGAAGCATAAATTCTGATTAAAAAGGAGTTTTGTCAAGTTTTTAACAACCCCCCCCCCCCCATTATTGGTCTCCTGCATGAAAATGAAATCATAACAATATTCTTAAAGATGATTTGGTTATTGCATGAAATGTAAAAGAAGTTCTGGAAACATAGTTTTAGTAGAAAAAATGTTTTTCGATCCCCAAATGTCCCTGAGGGAGAATTTTGAAATTCCAAACCTTACTGCACATATACAGGAATTCCAAAATCTTGCTTCACATCTACCGAACACCAGTCAATTTGGATACTGTGTAAAATATATGAGGAGTTTGGGGAATCAGGATTTTTGTGGAAAAAGTCATTTTTCGACTTCCAAGGTGAAAATGAAAATTCCAAAACCTTACTGCACATCTACAGGACACCACCAATGATATTCCAAAAGATGAATATTGGCTACAGCAAGAATTAGGTGATTGAGGAAGAAGAAAGTGTAACTGTCAGACGGACCAGGAAACCAACAATATCCACGTACTTTCTTTAGAAAGTGAAAGTATAGTTAAAGAATTTAATTAATCATAAATTGTGTATAAAAGGAGTTCTTGTACATTCAACCAATGTGTAATCAGGGATTACAAAGTTTCGGTTTGTAAAATACCAGCATATTTTTAAAAAAGATTTGGAATTTTCAATATTCAGAAAAGAAAAGACTCATGCCGTGATCAGCACTGAAACTCAAACTTAATGACAAAGCACGACAAGAGTTTAAAGAAAGGTGTTTTCAATCTTTAGCTCCTTATTGGTACCCATATGAAAATGAAAGAACAAGGTTCACTTAGGGCCTTTTTTGGCCCTGTGAATTTCTGAAAAACTGAAACTGCTTAGTTTTAGTTGACAATGCATTAAATTTCATTTAAACATTTGGCGATTGCGAATCCACGAAAAATGACGTAATTTTCTGGCTAGTCAATGCATTATGACGTCATGAAATACGTCATTTTTCTCATATCCTGAACAATTCTACAAAAACAGCCAATTTTTAAAGCTATTTTTCGATATTTAATATAGAGCGCAATCTCTGATCTAAAATATGCAATTATTTACTGATAGAACCGTTTCTGAGGATTACAAAACATATTTTATTTTTTAGATCAGAGGGTGCGCTCATATTATTTTTCTTCTCTGAAAGCACTTAAATATACATGTTTTCCTTAAAATTCAAGAACATTGCTATTCCATTAAGCTTGTTTTCCAAGACCTGGACTTTAAGGAGAAAAATTTTAATAGGAAATGAAAGCACCAAGTCTCTACTTTATCTTGATGTTTAAAATGGAACATAAATTGTTAGTCAATAAATTGGTATATCTACAGGGCCATTTTATGCATAAAGTGAACCTAGCTCTTTCAAACCTTATTGCACATCTATTATGGGACATCTCATATTCCAAACGTTGAAAGGCTCCTGTGTAAAATGTTAGTTTGAGAAAGAAGATACATGTAGTGATATGACAGACAGACGGACAGGGACAGCAACCGTACTTTCTTGATCAATTTTTCCCGCCGAATAACGAAAAAGTAGATGTCATCACTGACAACGCTTTAAGTGATACTCAAAATCCGAAATAGCGTGTTTTATCTGATGATGATTGTAAAATTCTGTGGCATTCGCCCTTTCGAAAACAAGACGTCCATTGGCCAATTCGTTCACCTGAGTCAGTGACCATGTTGTTCTTCATCAGATTTTTCCCTATTTATTCCTATATAAAACTTAGATCACATACATGTATTGATGCCAAAACCCTTCCCCGGAAGTCATGATTTGTACAAACTTGAATCTACACTACCTGAGGATGCTGTCATATAAAAATGACTAATCGTGCCTTTGCTGTTCTTGAACCGGAAGATTCTTAAAGATTTTCCCTATGCAATGTTTGTTTGTAACAGGAGAGGAGAAAAATGCGACGGACCAGACCGGGGTTCGAACTGCGGTTTGGTACGTCGCATTTTCTCCTCTCCTGTTACATTTGGTGCCGTGCCATACCCTAGAAGTGACAGTGAAAGACCTTCCAGGGAAGACCTTGGGTTGATGTCTTTGGGGCCAAAGACCTTTAGGGAGGGAGGAATGCTGCGATCAGACTGGTTCGTTCCCCATGGCCAGATAGCTCAGTTGGTAGAGCACCTGACTAGAGATTCAGGGGGTCTGGGTTCAAATCCGGGTCTGGTCCATCGCATTTTTCTCCTTTTCTGTTTGCATTTGGTGCCCTTCCATGTCCTGGAAGTGACAGGTTAAAAGACCTGCCAGAACATCTGACTGGAAATTCGGGGCCCCGGGTTCAATCAAGTTCTGGTCAGTCGCATTTTTTCCTTTCCTGTTACATATTCCTGAAATGAAAAACTTTGATCGCCCATTGTGGTCTAACCCTACCCTCAGGGTTAGGATTTGAACAAGCTTATATCTACACTATGTATTACATACTGGGCCCAATGGTTCTTAAGATCTTTAAAAGATATCATTAAATTTTCACTTATTATTGATTATCTCCCTTTGAAAGAGGGCGATGGCCCTTAATTTGAACGAACTTGAATCTCCTTTACCCAAGGATGTTTTGTGGCAAGTTTGGTTGAAATTGGCTCAGCTAGTGGTTCTGAGGAAGATGAAAATGTGGAAAGTTTACAACACATGACACACGGACGCCGGACATTCACTAAAGCCTTTGGCTCAGGTGAGGTAAAAATTACATTTTGCATAATAAATGTTCTTTTTATTAGTCTATCATAATCCCACATAACTTAAAGCCTTGTTGACACAAACAATCTTAACAAATGATAGGGTTCATGGTTTTTCTTTGTCTTATTTAAGTAATAAAAAATAAGAATGTAAATTCTTCAAACACAAATACGTGTATTATGATGAATTTTCAGGAATTGCTTTCTTACGAGGTTCCCCTCCCTCTTGTAAGCCTTTTGGATACGTGTATTCTATACAATTGTAACGGGGTATTCATGTACTAAAGTTCTTTATCAGCTAGAACCGGTACATTGTCTACTTCTGACGAAATATTATAACATGCACCCTGAACGCATGTTTGGTTAATGCTTTACTTTGGAGCATTTTCACGAAACAAAACTACTATTACGAACGTGTTAGAAAACAAAAGTACATGTACCTACCTTAGCCGGTTACCAAAGAGAGTAGATCGGTTTTAATAATGCAATAATACAAACTGTAACTTTGGGAATCTCCGTAGCTTAAGTGTTTATTCTGTTTGAATTTGCCAAACCCTTAAAATATTCTTGATGTTAGCAATGCCAGTTCTATGTGGCTTCCATCTCTCCTGCCAACCTTCAATAAAAGAATGGGCCCCGGGGATAAGAAATGCTATACTTTATTACGGGTAAATCTAAGAACATACAACAAAATCACAAATCCCTTCAACAATCATTGTGAATATCTCAAAATAGGTACAGGTTCCAAGGAAGATTAACTATCAAGGTTCACCTAGTGAACCTAGACCTTATAATTTAGAAGATGGGTATCATACTTAATCGTATTAAGCAAGTCAAAAAGTTACAAACTGAAACTATCGTGACCTACTTTTGGGTCGCAATGAATTTTTATCTTAAGCTACATTAACTGGATTAAGTTTTGATGATTGAAGACACAACATACAATGTACATACAGTGTATGTTGCCATAAAATTCTTAATTTGAATAATGTTTATATTTTATAGATTGTCACATTGAAACCTCAACACATACAAGCATCAGCTGAGGTTTGATGACCCTAGGTGTCAGAGAGTGTCCGAGATGAAAAGATTTGACGATATTCAAAAAGTAGGTCATCAGCATGGTCTACTTTTGCGAGGACACAGCCCTAGTCCCATAAGAAATCAGGAAAATTTGACCTATTTTTTTATTTACACATTTGGATGTATTGGCCATGTCAGAACAACTACTGGAGTATCAGCTCTGTACCGTCCAACTTTCCTGACATTTTAGATTGGACTTGTGACTCCTGTATTGAAAGTACAGTCAAATCTCGTTATCTCGAACTCGATGGGACCGAAAAAAAACTTCGAGATATCCGAGATATTGAGTGTAAAATACTTAAAGAATGAGTAGTTGGGACTTCCGAATCACTTCGACATATCCATGGTATTCAAGACACCGAAGTTCAACTGTACATTTGATCGGCAAATCGATAGACTTTATCATCCGTTCATTACCGAAAAGCATTTTGGAGCACTTAATTTAACAAGTTTGACTGAATTAAAACTTAATCATGAAATATTCATTTGATGTGTTTGATGTTCCAGAAAATGAAATTAACATTAGTATATTCAACACTGAATTATCTCTTAATAAGAATTCACCGTTATAACTGATCAAGAAACATAAAGAAATTATGTAAAACCGAAACATACATGACAAGAAATAATGCAAATGTTTTAAATACGATTTGCTGTCGGAGTAAAAGGCTACAAAAGCTTGAAATTGCTGTGTAACTGTTTCTTTTCATGGTCAAGAGCGATAAAATTATAAATGTACAGTTATCAACAACTTTCGATCATCTAAATAAAATAAAAGGATGCAGTTTACCAAGAAGCACAACATACAACAAGGATATTGTGCTGATGGGTACGGTATGTACATAATAAAATTAAATTATTATTATGCAAAAATTAACTATAGTTGACCTTCATATGGCACTGTGGCAGCCCAAACTACTTTTTTTCTGTTTTTTTTTTTCTTGAATCCTCGGATATCTCGAAGTTTAATCTTGGCCCCCTCAAGTACGAGACACTGAGGTTTAACTGTATCATACTTTGGGGGGGGGGGGGGGGGGGTATGAAGTTTTATGTCTGTCAAGCAAAGACTTTTCAAGAACACTTGGTTTATTGACTGACCAACATGTGCAAACCAATATGCTCCCTTTTATCATAGCAGGGCATAATTATAATCAAAGTTAAATAATGCCGTTACTTGGGCAACAAACCTATGACAAAAGCATGCTGCAAAAATAGTCAGTTACGGTTGATTTAATATTAGCTATGATTACGGGGTATATATGAATTTATTATGGCATGCAGTAAATTAAGAATAAACTAATGAAGAGGCATTTTCGCACATTTTAATTTCAGTACGGTGTGCTATGGCACTACACTGATTATACACAACCTTCTCTGTAATACTACTTGTTGACTACACACACTTATGTTTATACATAATTTACAAGTATCATACAATATACAAAAAAAAAACTAAATATGGTATCATGGAGGGTAAAAATTGATCGATATCACATGTATTTTAAAATCAAAGGCATCTGGGTTTAAATGTTAGGAGTAACCATCCTCTATGTATGCTGGACCAATTAAGGAAGCTCTAAACGCTTACTAAAAGTGCTTTTTTGGACTTGGAGAAAAATCTATCATATATAAGTGTGCATATTGAGATTATTTAGTTCATTTTCAGCAGAGGGTACCTGCCTTATTTTTGCAGGAAAAATGTTCAAAGACAATGGACTATTCGTGAACAGAAATTCTGTTGTTTCCTCAGATCGGGAAAGTTAATGGAAATAATGATTTCAATTACTTATTCTTGATCTAATATAATGCTAAGAATATCTTAATCTATTACAAATTGTGCAATTAACAGTAAATAATCATTTTTTCTTCCTTACTTCTAAGGGCAGATCACTCTAACTGCATAAAACTACCCCACAAGTAGAACTCTTTAGTGTGCAGTGTTAGAGCTTCCTTAAAGGAGAATGAATTCTATGAAAGAATGAACAAAAAAAGGTAGTGTAAGGTGTAAGATACTCTTCTTAAGTAAAAAATAAAAATAAGACAAAACTTAGAACCCCAGACTAAAGAATTTCATTTCTGTAAAAATGGAATAACTGAAACAGTACAATATACCAAGACACCTGCACCAAAGAACACACAAATTTACTTTCCTATCCGACATTCAGTTAAGTACTGGTTAAATTACACTTCTTTCATATTTTGTATTCTTGATGCTAAAAGAAATTCTAACTTTTTGTCAAACTATGAAGTACAACATATTTTCTCAACACTGTGGAAAACTTGAACTTTTAGGATGCCTGCTTTCAAATGCTCCTTACACAAGTACAACATTTGTACTTAAGTATTTTCATGCGACTGTTCATAATCCAATGGTAAAAGTTCATGTAACCTTATATTTGTAAAGTGAGAAAAGTAAAAAAGAAATACTAGAATATTTAGGGTGTTAAATACCAAGTTTTACAGGAAGTTTGGATAGTGAAATATTTTTATGTCATCTAGCTAATATCTAATACAATTAGGAGAAAAAAGGTATAAATAACAATAAATATCAAAAGTAAAATTCAAATAAAGTATTTTGTTTGCCCCATTAAAACTAAAACACAAACATTTTAATCAGATCTATATGAGAAAGAGTAAAGCTTTCATTGAATTATGCATAAAAGCAGACACTTCAAATTCTTTCCATCTTCTTACTGTCTTCTTTACACGACAGCACCCAGTGCATATGTACATTATAAATAGCACTTTTAGTTTAAGATCACATTCCTCTGGAAAACACTTCACATGTACTTACAGTCATGTATCAAAGAAACAATTCCTTTGTATGAAAAGTTGAAATATATTCCTATTGATTCCGGTACTACAATATATATGTAGATAAAGACTAGACAGCTATCCTTTTTAAATAGTGGTTTGAAATGTGTATGTGTACCCTTCTAAAATCACAATGGAATTTTGATATAATACTTTCTGCATTTGAGTCAAGATTGTACACTTTAGGCACTGAGAATTATCTTCACTGCCTCCTAACTGGGAGGCTTCATGAGTTTACTGTTGTGGTCGTTCACACTGGAATGTTCCATGGGGGTTTGGAGGGAGAATGCCCCGAGACTGACTGTGTCATCCTCATGATAAAGTGTAGTAGCACTGGGGTAACTGCTCAACAGTGATATAGAGTCCTGTCACAGAAAAAACACTCATTAAATTAATATCAATCAAAGGTCATTCATCATATATAATTACTATGGAATCATTTTAATACCTGGGGATCAATCTTTATAAGCAATCAAAATTTGATGGTTTCTTCTTAATTTCATGAGTAGCTTGTATAAACAGAAGATTCCATAAAACTAATATGTCAACAAAGTTACTGTTTATATTGATGACATTTTTTGGTTAAGGGTGACCCACATAAATTAGTCCCTCAAAAACAATTATGATTCCACAATAAACTGCTTTGCTTACGCTCTCTTCATTTACAAGTACTCACCGTGAGGTCCATACAGCTGGCCTGTCTGCGGTTGAAGAGATCACCACCACGACGTGGTGTTCCCATCACATTAATTGTGTTGTGGTTGTTTTCATGGGAGAATGGACTGAGAACAGTGGACACTGCTCGCTTTAATCGACTCGGTGTTTTGTTGAAGGAAAATGCCCTACTCACTCTCTTGCCCAGTCTGTTGAATATAACATTCAAATGTTGATTTTTTGGAGGGAAAAGAATTTCTATTTTGAAATCATATTTTCTTAAGTATGTTCCCTTGTTTTAACTGCCTGTTGCAAAGCAACATTGGTGTGCTTTTTAAATTCATTTTTCTCCATCAATATTTCAATTTTGCACCATTATTACACAGTTTTAAAGGCTAGATTATAATTTAATTGCTAAATTTATACTATACTGTTCTAATTTTCTCTAATCTATATATATTCATATATTTTAAGAAACTCACTTAGCAGCCCTGCTGAAAGTGCTCCTACCCAGAACACTGGTATTGATTTGTAGATCTCTTCCCTCCACTGTGGCTATCAAACCTTCCTGTTTTAAACAGAATGTTGAATCAGGATAGATTTTAGGTAATCATATTTAATCTCTCTTTTTTTTTAAATAAAACAGTAAATTTCTGTATGACAGAAGGAACTACATGTATCTAATCCAACACCTTTGCAACCTGTCTCCCATAAATTCCAACCTAAAATTTCTTTCCCACTTTACTTTTTCCCCATTTCTTTACACTATTCAGTTTGACATCCTGTCTATTCAAGCACAAAATTTGTGTCCCAGTGCATGTTGGATTAGACAGGTTTCATAATAATTTAATCCCAAAAGTCAGCAAAAAAATAATGGCAATAAACAGTCTTTGTAAAAGGAAGTCAGAGCAAATATTTGTTGTGATTTACAACCATTGCTTTACTCTGAAAAAAAAAGTTCTGGTAAAATAACAAAGATTCATAATACTAAACTGTAGATTGTCTTGCCTCTCTTTTGAAATATCCTTACAATTTTAAACAATACAAATACAGAGCCCTGTGATTGCTTAGAAAACTTACATGATCAGCCAGACACCTGGTCTGGGCAATAGACCTGGCTAATGAGGTCAGAAAGTGGAATTTATTGAAGTCTGTCTCGTCAATCATGAAGCTGTATAACTTGTCCTTGTCATCTGTATGAGACCTACAGATGATCCCAAAACTGTTCTGACAATCTGAAATGAAAGACACCAGCTTCCTTTACACAGATTGAAGCTGTAAGAATTCTACAAAAGTATAAAGTATGACAAGTAAATCTTTTTATATATACAACTCTACATGTACCAGAAAACAATATACATGTACATGTATGTAGAGTGGTTTGCTGATATACTGTAGGTGTTTGGATCATTAAAACTTTTCACGTGAATTAAATTTTATTTCAATGTTAAGAGATCATTATGATGCATGCAATGAACAGGATTCTTATACATGTTTAATTATAGTTAAATTTTCACACGAAACGAAACAAATTTTTGTATCCCAGTCAGCAATATGGAAATTTTCTTGTGTCACTCACAAAGCAACTAAATATCAAGTCACTTTTAAATATTTTTGAGCCAATATCGAAGAAAATTTCAGATAAATGTAACCATGACAGTTCATTACCTTCTGATTCCCTATAGTTAATAACCCGTTTGACTGACTTCAGCTGTAGAAGACCCAGATGTTTGTATGGCTTCTGGGGACTCCTCCGAAGGGCGGGGCTCTTTGCTGTACTGCCATATTTGGTTCTACGCTTACAGATCTAACAAAAAGTCCCATACAAGAGTTATAGGTTTGTCTTAAAAAATCAAAGATATTGTGTAAACTTTTTCATTTCTCATAGAGAAATTAAACATTTTGAAAATTTATCCAGTTTCACCTATCATCAGTAAACTTTACCCTACTATAAAGGTAACAAGTACTGCCAGGAAATTTTAATGTTATCAGCATTACATTTTTTCATATCTTGCTGATATTGAAAATTAATGCCCACAGACCTCCAGAGTATCTGTAAAGAGGAACAAAGAGAGGGGGAGACTTCGTCCACATAGTTCATCTGAAAGTTCTATCACATCAGCCTTGCTCACAAAACTACGATGGGAGGAAAGAAGAGTAGCCTGCAATCAAAATCAGCTGATGTAGAAACTGCAAGTCTATGACATTATTTCAGTAATTTGTTGATTATTCCTATGTTTGCATCGAAAGAAAGAAAATTGACCTTCTCAGAACAAAAAATATGTGTGCTGGTTTTTTGAGTATTAAAATTTTGCTCAGATATGACTCTATTAAGGGATTGGTACATAAACGATTGCAACAAAACATGCGATTATTATGTGTAAATGCGACAAAGGAACCTATAGGTACAACTGTCATCCACAAGCTGTGACAGCAGAAAAATGGTCACTCAGACTTTTAAAGATACCCTATATACCCGCCTATATAGGTCAAAAATCTGTCTGACTTACAGGCCAGTTAAAGAAACGTTGATAATTTTCTGGATGGCGAAATGTATTTTTTTTTTAACAACTCCGACAGTTATCTGACAAAAGTTTATTATTTATTTTTTAAATTATTTATATATCTCATGCTGTCAATAAACTAGATTTACTGTAAAAATCTATCATTTATTGGTAAAACTGAATTGTGAAAACACAGGTAAAAGCATTAGAGCATTGATCTGACAACTGATTCTGCCTAAAATTTGTACCCACTTATAAAAGGGTCAATGACAAATCCCTCTGACAATACAGGGTTTTTTAGGGGTCATAGGGGGCCTGTAATAGGCCCCATTCCCAATGGTAAAAAGTGTGTGTTTTTCCCAATTTCATCAAAGAAAATTCCCAAAAGACAATTCAAAACATGACATTAATGTCAATTATTCTAAATATAATAGGAAAAAATTAAACTTAAATTAAATAAAACATCAGAACAGCAAACAATTAAGTTAAGCTGATTTTCAATAAAGATTTATTGAATGTAAATAAGTCAATAAATGCCTTGCAAATAAAGAAATGGCTCCTATTTGAATTTATCTCGAAAAATGTGAATTATGATATTTTTCCCAATTTTAACTAAATGACACTATTTTTTCCCAAATGGAAAGGCCCAGGCCCTTGATTTTAAGTCCTAAAAAAAACCTGCAATACATAACCTTAAAAAAATACAACCTACTTACGGTACAAGCAGACCAAATTTTACAGTAATTCATATCCACCCCCTTACCCCTTCTGCTATGCAGGTTTGTTTTTACTTTATGATATACATCACATGTACATAATTCCACAATATGATACTTACAGGACAGTTATCGATTTCATTCATAATATCAAACATCACAACCTGGTTCTCTGTTTTTCTTTTATCTTCATTGATATGTCTGAAAATAAAAAAGAAGAAGAGATTTTACTAGTTTTCATACAAAAACAAACTTCTGTCTGTTTCTACAGCAATGATATGTTAATACGTTATAAGCTGTTTGTAGATGATTTTTGAAGAACAAAATTAACTTACGTCATAATTTCTTTAACAAGGTCTATGGCATTTTCTAGTCTCTCATAATCAGGATTATCTTTGCTGGTTTTCTTTATTATATCTAAAGAAGTAGTTCACAACAACATCATATTTATCTTATTTAAAAGTCATCTTCTTCACTTATTAATAGGTATTCCCTCAAGTGTACTGTGAAGGATATTTTTAGCACTTTTCAAAAAAAAAACACCAATTTTTCATTAATGTACATGTAAATCAAGGAAGGAAAAAAATCTCTTCTAGTTATAATTTAATGCATATACAGTAAAACACGCTTATATCCAACACGCTTAAAATGAATTGATGCTTATAGCGAAGTGATTTTCATTCCCCTTGACTTTAAAATATATCAAACACTACGTACATACATGTATAACGAATTACGCTTATAATGAAGCAAAATTGCCCATCCCTGGCACTTCATTATAAGCATGTTTTACTGTGCATTAAAATTTGTCTAATCTGGATGTTGTGTATTTGGAATCTAGGCTATCATGATGAAATCTTTTAGTCCCTTTTAGTAAATTTCATTGTTTAAATGTTATATAATCTAGAATGTTGTCTAATCCAGCCAATTTCTGTGGAACCAGTATACATGTAAATATTCAATGTAAATGACCCTTTTTAATCCCATTTATCCAAAAAAGGTTTGAAGAGTGTTTGCTCTATCCTATTTCCAAACCAGGGGCATATTGGAAAATGTTCAAAATTTTGACTTTTTTTCCTTCTATCAAAGTTTGTATACAGAAATAATGGGCAGTATAAGTTCCCTGTAGCTTTCTTTTTAACAATTCAATATCCTCATACTTATGTTTACATGTAAAACTTTATTCATGTATCAAACAGAATTTTTAGCTGCAAATTAAATGTTCAGTAATTATGTGCCAAGTCAGACTTACCTCCAAGCAGCAGTGAAACACTGGGTAGTCTCTGTACAGGCCGAATCAACAGCTCTGTCAGACTCTGACGACCACACTCGGGTTTACTCCGACACACCTACAGTATAGGACAAACTTACTGATGACCAAGAAGTGAGGAAATAAAAATTCACATGTACTGGCACCAATAAAGATATGAAATTCCATTTAACAGGTTCCCAGAAACATTCAACTTTACAAGAAAACTTTAAAAGGAATGGTTAGTTAATACAAATTGAATTTAGAAAATCTGGTTAATTGAGTTTTGTACATGTACCCTGCACCAAATTATCATAACAAACAGTTATAAACAGAAATCATTTAATTAAATTCAATTAATATTTCATTAAAAATGAAAAGGATCAAACAGAAAGCTAAATCTATAAATGTTCTCTCCCAGGGAGAGAAGTATTTTCAAATACAGAAATTCAATGATAAATGAATCACTTAAATATTACCAGTCAGTATGTTTATGTTTGAATTTTACTTACTTTGAGGAAAGCATGAAATCTTGTGTTTGTTTTATCACATTTAGCTATGGTTTCTTTTGTTTGTTCGAAGTAATTCACAAACGGAGGATATGCCTTCAGCATTGCTTCAGCCTGCAAAGTACAACATTGTATCTACATGTATAAAAGTCATTTCCAAGCATCCCTATTTGAATTGCAACTTTGCAAGTCATGAATTCAAAGACAGAAAAACAAAAGCATTCAAATAAAAACCAATAGAGGATCTTTTCCCCAATGTTTGCTGGGTATTAACATATTTTATTACACTTTGAACTCTGACCTCTTGAGATAATCTGGCCTACTTACATGTTTTGATATGACCTGACCCACTAAGCATTCTTCTGTCCAGTTCTCCATCATAGCTGTCAGCTCCTCTTTGATTTCACAGTGAACTTTGTAGATAGGGGGAATGTTGCCAAATATCAGCTTGATATCTTGTGGGGCCAGAATAGCACCATGGTATTGATTGGGTTTTTCTATTTCTGATTTAAAAACCTGCAATTACATGGATCATGACTCAGGATACATGTACAATATAGTCTAGTCAGGTAAAGGTTCTGTCATAGTCTATTCTATTATTATAAATTTCAAAACATAGGTAATCAGAGATTACAGAGCTCACCTCAACAAATGTTGTCTTTAAGTAAGGCAAAGTCCCACACTAAACTAATAATCTAGGAGTGTGCATCCCTAGATGCAACATTTTATATGCAATTTTGGTCTGATAGGGCTTGCAGTTACTTGGGAATGGACTTATCTGAAAACTTAAAACTAGTCACTCATTCAGAAAATGTAAGTCAAATCCAGCATCCGAAGCAAGTTTTGAGATTGTTCGTCCCTTGATGCATCATCCATGCAAGTTTGGTTCAGATAGACCTTATAGTTACTTGGAAATGAGATCTGCTCCAAAAACTTTAATCTGGTTACTCATCCAGAAAATGTAGGTCAGATCCAGCATCCGAAGTAAGTCCAGTAGTGTAAATCCTTAGATGTATCATCCATGCAAGTTTGGTCAATATAGGGTTTATAGATACTTGGAAATGACATCTGCACCAAAAACTTTAACCTGGTCACTCATCCAGAAAATATAGGTCAGATTCAGCATCCGAAGCAAGTCCAGTAGTGTGCATCCTTAGATCTATCATCCATGCAAGTTTAGTCAATATAGGGCTTATAGTTACTTGGAAATGACATCTGCTCCAAAAACCTTAACCTGGTCACTCATCCGGAAAATATAGGTCAGATTCAGCATCTGTAGCAAGTCCAGTAGTGAACATCCTTATATGTATCATCCATGCAAGTTTGGTCAATATAGGGTTTATAGATACTTGGAAATGACATCTGCTCCAAAAACTTTAACCTGGTCACTCATCCGGAAAACATAGGTCAGATTCAGCATCTGTAGCAAGTCCAGTAGTGTGCATCCTTAAATGTATCATCCATGCAAGTTTGGTCAATATAGGGCTTTTAGTTACTTGGAAATGAGATCTGCTCCAAAAATCTTAACCTGGTCACTCATCCGGAAAATATAGGTCAGATCCAGCATCTGAAGCAAGTCCAGTAGTGTGCATCCTTAGATGTATCATCCATGCAAGTTTGGTCAATATAGGGCTTATAGTTACTTGGAAATGAGATCTACTCCAAAAACCTTCACCTAGTCACTCATCCTGAAAATGTAGGTCAGATCCAGCATCCGAAGCAAGTTCAGTAGTGTGCATCCTTAGATGTATCATCCATGCAAGTTTGGTCAATATAGGGCTTATAGTTACTTGGAAATGAGACCTGCTCCAAAAACTTTAACCCGCTCCAAAAACTTTAACCTGCTCCAAAAACATTAACCTGGTCATTCTATAGCTGAAATTGCAGCATCTGAAACCTTGACTGGTACAATGAAACACACTAGAAGCATCCTCCATGCATCTCTGACTAATATAGGCCATAGAAGTACTTGAAAAGAAAACTGCTCCAGAAACCTTAACCTGGGACGCCGAGGGTATTACATCAGCTCCCCCAACTTCGTTGAGGTGAGCTAAAAATTACGCTTCACTACATTTTTTTTTTTTAAATTATATCAAATAAAACAATTCTTACATTTAAAATGGTGTGCAAGATGCCAACGTAGTTCTTTTCTGTTTGGAGTAATTCCATGACAACCTGTTGTCTAGGTGATAACTTAGATGGCATAACTTTGGATTTTTCTTCATTTTCAGCTGTTTCTTTATATAAAGAGAAAATTAACAACCATGTTAAAATGATATACAAGAAATTAGAATTGAGACTAAGATATACAAATTATAGATTGAGGCAATAATACAAACCTTCATATAAGATTTAATCATATTTGTTGATTTACATATGTATTCAAATGGCATAGGAATTCACATATCAAGTAAGAATTGTGTGTGTTTTGTTATGTTTAGTCTGGGTTTTTCCCTTTATCTTGTAAAGGCTAGTATATGAGTCCTTGAAGTAGAAAAATCTACATCCATGTGGAGTTTTTTTTTTACAGTCATATAAGAAAAAATTTTAAGAGATTGGTCCAATGAACATGATGAAATTTTTGGAAGGGAACTTATTGGTCGTATTTTCATTATTTGCAATAAAATTCAATTATAATGTTTTATTAGCTAATGATCTTTTTTCTTTTTTTTGCGCAATAGGCAAGAATAATCTATGTAGTTAAAATGTATTCTTTTAACTCACATCGACATGTCCATGGTATTCAAGATATGGAACTTTGAGATAACGAAGTTCAACTGTACATATCAAAACTGAGTTACATGCATTTAGGGTTTTAAAAACATGGTTCTGGAACAGACTCGGCAAATCAAATTGGGTAAGTCAGGTTAGCAGAACACATTTTTCCAAACCTCAAAGTCTAGCAGCCAGGGTTGTCCCTAAGAATTGAAATAGGAGGGGACATTAAAAAAAGTAGAAGGGGGTCTGGGGTTCCTCCCCTAACAAGGGTTGAGGTGGAATACTAGAGTAGTTGGCGGATAACATCATTATAGGCGGGAAATTCCCTGGCCCCCGGATCTTAGGGACAACCCAGAGCAGCATTTTCACAAACATTTTTAATCACTTTTTTCATACTGCATATGCCAATAAATTAACTGTTTGACAACTTACCAGCTATAGCATCTGACTTGTCTGGAGTATGTGAGGCATCCAGAAATGAACTTGGACTCATGGATATACGACTATATTCACTGCTGGACCGTCGTTTGTACAATGGGGAGTCCAGCTCTCCCTCTGCAGCTAGCTGTGCAATATTCTCCTTTAACCTCTTTCTTTTCCGTGATTTTGATCCAGATATAGATCGGCCAGGAGTAAATACTGACTCAGCATTTGTTTCCTTTTCAAATGGAAACAAAAATTCAAATGCATCTTTGCTAGCCAAGTTCTTCTGATCTGCTTCATTCTCCTTAAAACTTTGGTTTATCATAATATGGGGATTATTCCTTAAGTTGCAATTCAAAACTATAGATATCCATTGACCAATAAGTCAGTATATTTAATTTCTATGGTCTAAGATTTCACATGCCTTTATGGTATGGGGAGTGAAATGCTCGTGTAAGCAATGATCCAAAAGATGATAAATAATTAAGCGTCATCAAATTTTAAGTTGACTTTCAAATATAATTTGATATATAGACTAGCATCCTAAAAAATAAACATCACTTGATGCCTGCTTATTGAACATTCTTTGAACAGTTCTGTTTTACGATGCTCTTTATTTTGGTCAATGATGCAACCCATAAGTACATGTTAACACAAATATGAGGCAAAAATCTTGACTTTTGATAGCAAGATAGGCCAAGGGTTTGTGAGTAGTGGAGCAGATCAAAAACAAGTAAAATACACATATGACATATTTTATCTTGAAAGCAATTATAATCAAATGAAATATTTACTGCAATAACAAGTGCTCATCCCTGTTCATCATCTAAAAGATTTTGCTACAGGTATATGTATGTGATGGATATTCTGTATTTAAAAAGAATTACTAATAAGTTGTAAAGGAATTATTTTTAATGTACATTATAAAAACAACAAAAGAACTACCAATTTACCTTCTGATATTCATAAAATCTTTCATCAGAACATGCCTCAATTTGTATACTCCCCCAAAACCACTATAAATATAAAACAATGAACAGAATTTTAAAAAATGAATAGGTAAATTAAAATTCTACTCACAAAACTGAGTAAGCTTGATAACTGTCATGTTATATTTTTCCCAAAGGAACATTTTTCTCCAGATTGCAGTTGAAGACTTACCTCTGCTCTGACAATAAAATGTGGTAGCACTATATCTTTAGGAAGCTCTGGTGTTTGCTGGTCATCCACAACTAAATGGGTACAGTCTTCATCACCAATCTCAGCAAATATTCCACCTAAAAGACCACAATAAAATAACACATCATGCAAAAGTCAGGAACGCATCAAATGGAGATTTCATTTGACCATGTTTAATAACTTAAGTATCTGTAAGAAAGTCATATTTTGGGGATAGCTGATTAAACTGATTTCTAACTAAATATGCACATATTCTCTATTTGAACATGACAGGTTTACAAACCATTTCCTGCAGTGACTTCTTCCATATGCTTTTTATCCTCTTCACTAAAACCATAAAAACACAAGCAGCATTTGTAGAATGGAGGAACCCTGTGCTGCACCTGTAAGAACAATACACCTGGTTGATGTGTATACGATTATTATACATGTACGATAACTTTCTTATCTGAAATATTTTATTGTTGGATATGTACATGTATATCGAAGAAAGGCAGATATTTAAACCTCTTATATTATGGAATTTGAAATACCCCTTGAATATTTCAAACTCTGATACAGTGGTTCCCGTTTTTTCGAATAGTCAAGTTGTCAGCCTAGTTTTATCCAAATAGCCGAAAATTAGAATAGCCGATTGCTCCATACCGAGTCCAAAGATAGATGTATAGAGCTACATGTATTGATAATACATCGTAGCAAATTTCAAACTTGCACTTTCGTTTTCTTTTGACATGTTTACTTAATGACTTTACTAAAAATAATTTATTTCACTTACTTATGAATTTAATATGAAATTTTTTTTCAAATAAATTGACGTATAGAATATATTCTTTGATAGTTATTGCCATCTTTCTTCAGCACGTTTACATTCCTTCTTCGATGGTCGCCATTTTGGAAACGGAAGTAGACTAAATGCTTGACTAATAACCGTAAACTATTTTTCCCTGGATAGATTGTAAATTAAAAATAAACAAAAATATTAAATATATGTAATTATTTCGTTTTTATTTGTTTCTTTAATACGGTTACGTATTTTATACTGTGTGTGAGTTTACCAGTCTCGTTCTTGTCTGCTGAAGAGAGATTTTGAGAGCCATGTGGAGAAAGATGGTATGAATTTTGAGACGTATTTTTATAGAACGGACCATTTGTGATTTTTACCATAAATTTTGCACTGAAAAGTGAATAAATATTAAGCCAATTGACCAAGTTAAACGATTGAATAGGTTTATTTCATTATCCAAGCAAATTGTCATACACAAGCTAATCAGTTCAATAATTAAAATTTCACGCCGAAAAAATTGCAAATAATTGTCATAATTAACATGTGCATCATTGAACCCAAGCTGATCACCACAAACTGTAATCAAAACTTATCTATTTACTATGCCCACTATTGACAGGTGCCTGTGTGCGTCCAGGCGTAACTAATCCCCTCATTGTCGTACTCAAGCCAGTCAAGGTAATTGGTGTCAAACTGTGTAAACAAAGGCTTCACATACGAAGTTGGAGGTGTGAACAAGGTGCTGATTATCAAAAAACACTATGATAGTCCAAATTTTTGTATCGGATAAAACGAAATTCCAATATTTTCTCATCAGAATATCAGGTGAAATTATTAATAAATATATAAGAAATGGTTTTGTGCTCTGATATTATATTGAAATAGCCGAAATATTCGTTAAACCGCTATCCGATAAAATGGAAGCCACTGTATTTGAAATATTTTTTACCCCTGACATGTTCCAGATTTTGAGGACTTACCATTTTTTTCCACCTAATTCACCATCAAAATTTAATTTTTACTTAATTTACTTACTTTAATTAGTATCAAGACAAGTCCTTTACCTGAATATTTGCTACAAAGAGTTTTCAAGTTATCAAGTTATTAAACATGAGTGATTAATATCTTTATCAATATACCATTTTTTCATCTGCCTTCATTCCAATGACATCCCTGTCTGCCCATACTTTGTAGATCCAGTCTGTTTTCACAATGGGAATTTCTAAACTACTGGCAAGCTAAAACATAGAAAATGTTTTCTTACAATTACATCTATGTCATACAATGAGATAAAGAAATGCTCACTACTCGATTCAATCTGAGGGCTTTCTTTCTTTCAAATTCTACACTTAGGAACAAGTAATTTATGTAGTTGACAATTTTCATGAAAAATTAGCAGCTCAAGTTGTAAATATAAAATCACAATATATGCAGGACTTAATTGATGGTATAGACAAATAAACAGAATCACAAAACCTGCAGCGGTTGCCTGTAATTCAATATTATTATTAGATTGTCTTCTCAACATTACAAGTACTCACCCTATATTTAGGACCATCTGTGCAGTCTGCAATGAGGTGGGTAACTTTGGAGGAAACATCTCTACGTACACTTCCTCCCATGTGGTGCACTATTTCTGCTAAAGGCCTCTGGAAAAGTAATCCAATTTGTAGATCTTAAGTTATACACTACTTGCTTCAGTTATAAAAGCTTTCCAATTAATTTAATTTCCAATTTTTTTTTTCTAACTATCAATGACAGTGCATTGTGTACCATTCAATACCTACTGCGTGAAATGACATATTATTCAAACTATATTTTTCTAAAAGAGTATTGTCTTTAATATTATACATACAGCCTCTTGTTTATCCAACCCAGTAAAGCACAATATAACTCCCTCCATAGCTGTACAGTATAAGGGTCTGGAATGACATGGTATCTCCTGCAAAAGTGGCCACAGAAAATAAACATCAAAATGACAAGTTTGAAATAACAAGGTTTGACTGTATATTCATTAATATTCTTTGTGATTCTTAACTTCTTATCACTATGTATCAATTTAAAAGTAAACAAGAGGCCCATGGGCCACAACCCTCACCTGAGTAACTTTGGCCCTGCTGTTATTCATCTGATTTCCCCCTTGTAATACAGTGAAACCTGTCTTATCCGACATGCTGCGGGAAATAAAATCAATGTCGGATTAGGCAGTGTGTCGGATTACCCAGTGTTGAATATTTCTGAGCATTATCATATGTGTCAGACGACTTCATACAAAAAAAAAAATCATTTTTCGTTAGGTTAAGAATACACTTATATTTAATTGTCAAAGTGTTTGCATAATTGTGTGTTTCTTTGCTGTATAAAATAAATCTGATTAGCATTTCTTTGAGAAACAGCGTTTGTGATATAGCATTAGTAAACTCTGTACTTTGTAGTAATATACGATGTTTTTCTTTTTTTTTTAATGGCCAAAACATGGAACTGCTGATTGCTTCGAGATGTTGCAGTTTAATTTTTACTTACTGACAGTCGATATTAAAGTAAATATTTCGTCTACCTTCTCTACACAGTGGTATTATTTTTTTCTACAGATTTTTGCCATTGTTTATTTCTCAACATAGACTGTGCTATTAATACCGTCACGCGACTTTTCATACAAACGGGACGTAGCTCTAAAACTGTGATTGCGATTGAATTTTAATCAAACAGACGTAATATTTTAAATTTAATGGGCAACTGAAGACGGTATTTTTTGCTTTCGGTGAATCTTTTATGTACACAGCCTCGCTTGATTCAGTGTATATTAATCCGGAAATGAAGCGTTTTCTATACGACAAGATGCTGCCTTTCAAATTGTGTATTGTGTTACACAGTAGTTCGACGTACTCATTTTTTTTTTCATAACATGGTTCTACGAAGGACCGTGAATGCATATTTGATTTTAATTTCAAGCTGAAAATCTTATTTATTCTGTAAGGTAAAGGCGATCTAAACATCACGTACTTTTTTATTTTCTGTCGCGTGGATGCTATTTTTTCAGTGCGAGAATAAAATTGATAACAACAGGGACATATATATAACAACAGAGAAATGATTGCCTAATTTTTAATTCAAAAACTATTCGTTTATAATTGCTTACATAAACACTTTCAAACTCGTACGTGTAATTAACTACTCTCTAAGTAGACCAATCTTGTGACCAAACGAGACATTCACGTTACCTGGCCAGCGGCTAATTACGGTACAGTGTAATTATGTCGGATTACTCAGGTGAAATCATAAAGTAATTATCTAGTTCTGTTGACAAAAAAGCGCCGGAATTCGGAATGTACAGTGGTCGGAATATACAGTGTTTTATTCTATATAAATTATAAAGAAAATTTTGGGAATAAAATATTAGGTCGGAAAGTCCAGTGTGCCGGATTGCACAGTTGTCGGATTGCACAGTGGGCACTGTACCTATTGTGGCCCCACCCTACCCATGATTTGAACAATTTAAAATCTACACTATACCATGATGCTTCCACATAAGTTTCAGCTTTTCTGGTTCAGTGGTTCTTAAGAAGAAGATTTTTCCTATATTAATATATTTCAATGTAAAACTTGGATTCCCTATTGTGGCCCCGCCCTACTCCCAGGGGTCATGATTTGAACAATTTAGAATCTACACTACCCCAGGATGCTTCCACTTAAGTTTCAGCTTTTCTGGCGAAGTGGTTCTTGAGAAGAACATTTTTTAATGACCCACCCTATTTTTGTCTTTTCCTGATTATCTCCCCTTGGAAGGGGGCTTGGCCCTTTATTTTAACAATTTAAACTCCCCTTCACCCAAGGATTCTTTGTACTAATCTCGGTTAAAATTGGACCAGTGCTTCTTGAGAAGTAGTTGAAAATGTGAAAAGTTTACAGACGGATGGACGACAGACAACGGGTGATCAGAAAAGCTCACTTGAGCTTTCAGCTCAGGTGAGCTAAAAATAAGTTTTAAAGTAAAACAAGGCTAGCAAAAGGTGGGGGTTTTTTTTTTGGTCACCTTGTTTTCTTTGGCACAGAGCAGTATCACAGGGGGGCCCACAATGTTTGCCTCAGCTTTATAGAGATTGTGAAAAACATCTCCCCCAAACTCAGACAAAACAAACACTGTCTCAATTTCAGAAGCCATGTGAATGAAGTCCATCCCTGTTTCAGATAAACGGGTCTTAACACCCAAAGTCTACAAAAAAAGTTAACATGAGCAATGTACTGACAAGAAGGAAAAAGAATTCAACATTAAATATAAAACATGATCTGGTCCTATTTGACATCTTGCATACATCCTCTATGCATGATCTTTTCTTTATATATATTTTCAACATTTTATGACATTTATAACATTTAACAAATTACAAATTAAAAACAAATTAATTATTAAGATTCAACTCTCTTATTTTCATTTTGAGGTAGAAGGATAAGAATCTCAAATATTGATCTCATGAATATGGATAAACATTATTACATAATGGTAATAAACAAAAAATCGTGAAAAGAGATGATTTTCCAACACATTTCAGAATGTGCTTCAAAAATTTCACCTTGAGAGCTTGTCGCAGATCTTCATTTTCTTGAGTCGCTTCCCCTACTAAAACTACCTGCATGGGTCTATCCTCTATAATAATAAAAAAATCTTTTTCAAGTGATATAGAAACAATCACTAACTTGTTGTAAAGTTTGGAATGTGTACTTTTAAATCTTACTGAATTTATGAGTTTTAATTACCAAGTAGTAAGTCCTGAACTGACCTTATACAAAATTATCACAAGGTTAACAGCCATATTTTAAGGTAGTAAATTACAATTCTTGGGAAAATGTGAATGAATATAATAACACTCAGATAGTACAGAATAAATAAATTTCAGTAATGTTTAATCATTCTGTTTAGCGTTAGTGTCTGATTAGATGCAACATGCACTCCTCTAGCACACTTAATTATAAAAGAATGACAGATCTATAAATATGCACCATATTATGATATTTTTTGGTTCAAATATGTGTGGTATTTAAAATACATATACGATAAATATTAGCATATGATTAATATAATTAGTATTACAGAGTACGGACTAAAATGCAAGCATATATATCCCTCAAAATCTAAAAGATGATGTATCCAGACATGTTATAATATATAGTTTACTAAATTATCATGATATAATGTATATGCTCTGCTACATTTTGCAGATGACATACCCCTCATAAAATGTTTGTAGTATGACATTTTTGTCATCGGTGAGTGCTTTAATTGAAGTACACGAGTTGCCCCAATTTTATATACTATAAAAGAACGATAAAAAAATAACTCATGGGAAGCAGGTAAAATGACATAGTAACATTGCCTGAAACTCTCCAAGGATATCTGTTTGGTGTTTTTTTATGAAGTAAAAGTTCACTTCAATGCAAAGAGATTCAACTTAAGGTGTCCAGATTAATTTCTCATATCAAACACTCCAAAATTAAATATATATGTATCAGCTAGTCTGACAGTGACCATTTGATACCTGATAAATGCCAAAATATTAAGGTCATAAAATCATACATTGACATACAAATGACTTTTATAAAAAGATAGGCCTAGACCTAAAAGTTAAAACACATACATGTAATGATGCAGAGAACATCATTTTGTGACAATATTACAGCAGGAGACGATTTAAGATTTTTGTTTCATTTACATGCAAACATCAAAATATATAAAACAATACAAAATCAGATTAATTGTTCTACCGTCTTCTTTCTTTGAAGCCTCAAGAGGCTTGGAATCTGTCGCCATTGTCGGCTATATTCCTTCGAAAATGGCGCTGTTTAAATCGTACGATGATTTTGATTGGCTGTTCAGTTTCTCTCAGAAAACTAACTCGTACTCAAAAGTATCAAACGTCGATAATTATAACACAATACTGCTGGCATTTAAACGATTAATTTTTTTATATCTACTTTTTAAAAGAAATAATGGTAGACAAAAAAATTATTGGATATGATTAAACAATATTTGAAAAATAACAACCCTGAATTATATTTCATTGAACGAGTTAGCTTGAATTAACTACCTACTACTTTCATTTTCGTTTTAACTTCACTACAACAAGAAAGAAAACTTACTAAGTTACTTGTAAATAGCTTTATTTCACATTCTTTAAGGACATATGCTACGTAGTTTGAACTATATTGTCTTTTTCCATGGAGTTGAAGAGTTCCGATACTTCTAGGAACTGTGTGCTACATTTTAATGTCTATATATATATGCTGTTGTACACTTGTAAAAAAAGTTTGGATGAACAAAACATCTAGAATATATGTTTAGTAATTTTTGTATATTTTTCTTTAAACTATACAAGAATTTTAATCAATTGATATCTTTTTAAAACCCCTGGTAATGCATGCTGATTTTTTGTCTACGAACATAAGTTATACGAAGATCTAGGTAAGGTATGTTGTATATGTCCTTAAGAGTGTAAAAGATAATCATGACTGTGATTTCTGTACTGAAATTTACAAGCTAGTAAATACTTATATCTTATTCCTTTCCTCTTGACCTTGGATTTAAAATCTGATGTATCAAATTTAAACATCCTCTTGATTCAGGTTCAAAGGATTGTTCTGGAGTCAGCCCATGAACATGGATGGAGCATCACGACTCATCCAGGTTGTCAATCTTGGTCGTATGGGATTCAGAGCTGCAGAGCAGGTCCAGAACAAATACAAACAGAAACATTTTGATTTTTTCCATGGAAGAACACCATCTGCAGATAATACTTTGTTGTTAGTTGAGCATGATCCTGTGTATACGATAGGAATCAGAAGCAAAAACTATGATGAAGAAATTGAGGAAAAATTACTCTGCACTGGAGCAGACTTTGTCCGAACAGACAGAGGTGGACTTATAACATTCCATGGGCCTGGACAATTGGTTGCTTATCCAGTTATAAACTTAAAACATTTTAAACCTAGCATGAAGTGGTATGTGTGTGCATTGGAGAAAACCATGATTGATACCTGTAAAAAATTTGGTTTAAAGGCAAATGCTGATCAAGAAACAGGCGTGTGGATTGAAGATAGAAAAATAGGAGCAATAGGTAGGTCGAAAAAAAGAGCTATCGATTGTTTATTAGGTACTGTAATTTATTAATTTAAAAATGAAAGAGAAGACCGACAATATGCAGTTCTATTTAAAGCAAAATGCATGAATGTTTCAAACTATGTAAATGAACATGTATATGTAAAGCCAATCTGAGTAACATGATTAAAACAGATCTTTGATTTGCTTTGAAATTCTGATGGTCACTACACAAAGCAACTATCAGGTGAAAACATCAATAATCAATACCGTCTACATTTGGGGGAGACTGAAATTCATCATTTCTGATAATGATTATTACATGTACTAGTCATAGAATTAATTTTTGTTATACGACTAAAAGTAATTATTTTTAAAGAAAATTATGAAAAACAGTCATAAAAATTTGGAGCTACCTAACCTCTAAAGATGAGTATTACTATATTTCTCTTTTTTAACAGAATGAGAGTTTGTGCAGATTGAAATATCTCACTTGTTTTGCAGGGCATTGTTGTTATAATTATTTGTCAAGATATTCTCAGAACTTAGGTCTGTTGCAAGACATTGTACTATATCTTATTATTGTGGTAAACAGCATGAAAACTAGTGCATCAGTTCGATCTAAAAAAAATTGGATATTTTACAGATAAAATAACTATACAGTTGAACTTCTTAAATACCATGGATATGATGAAGTAATTTGCAAGTCCCAACCATTTATTCTTTAAGTATTTTACTCTTGATATCTTGAATCTTTGGATATCTCTCTGTTTTTAGCTCACCTGAGCCGAAGGCTCAAGTGAGCTTTTCTGATCACATTTTGTCCGTCGTCCGTCCGTCTGTCTGTCTGTCTGTCCGTCTGTAAACTTTTCACATTTTTGACTTCTTCTCAAGAACCACCGGGCCAATTTTGACCAAACTTGGTACAAAGCATCCTTGGGTGAAGGGGAGTTTAAATTGTTAAAATGAAGGGCCAAGTCCCCTTCAAAGGGGAGATAATTAAGAAAATACAAAAATTGGGTGGGATCATTAAAAAATCTTCTTCTCAAGAACCACTGGGCCAGGAAAGCTGAAACTTATCTGGAAGCATCCTAAGGTAGTGTAGATTCTAAATTGTTCAAATCATGACCCCCGGGGGTAGGGCGGGGCCACAATAGGGAATCCAAGTTTTACATTGAAATATATAGGAAAAATCTTTAAAAATCTTCTTCTTAAGAACCACTGGGCCAGAAAAGCTGAAACTTATGTGGAAGCATGCTGGGGTAGTGTAGATTCTAAATTGTTCAAATCATGACCCCCGGGGATAGGGCAGGGCCACAATAGGGAATCCAAGTTTTACATTGAAATATATTGGAAAAATCTTTAAAAAACTTCTTCTCAAGAACCACTAGGCCAGAAAAGCTGAAACTTATGTGGAAGCATGCTGGGGTAGTGTAGATTCTAAATTGTTCAAATCATGACCCCCGGGGGTAGGGCGGGGCCACAATAGGGAATCCAAATTTTACATTGAAATATATAGGAAAAATCTTTAAAAATCTTCTTCTTAAGAACCACTGGGCCGGAAAAGCTGAAACTTATGTGGAAGCATGCTGGGGTAGTGTAGATTCTAAATTGTTCAAATCATGACCCCCCGGGATAGGGCAAGGCCACAATAGGGAATCCAAGTTTTACATTGAAATATATAGGAAAAATCTTTAAAAATCTTCTTCTCAAGAACCACTGTTCCAGATAAGCTGAAACTTATGTGGAAGCATGCTGGGGTAGTGTAGATTCTAAATTCTTAAAATCATGACCCCCGGTGGTAGGGCGGGGCCACAATAGGGAATCCAAGTTTTACATTGAAATATATAGGAAAAATCTTTAAAAATCTTCTTCTCAAGAACCACTAGGCCAGAAAAGCTGAAACGTATCTGGAAGCATGCTGGGGTAGTGTAGATTCTAAATTGTTCAAATCATGACCCCCAGGGGTAGGGCGGGGCCACAATAGGGAATCCAAGTTTTACATTGAAATATATAGGAAAAATCTTTAAAAATCTTCTTCTCAAGAACCACTAGGCCAGAAAAGCTGAAACTGGGGTAGTGTAGATTCTAAATTGTTCAAATCATGACCCCCCGGGATAGGGCGGGGCCACAATAGGGAATCCAAGTTTTACATTGAAATATATAGGAAAAATCTTTAAAAATCTTCTTCTCAAGAACCACTGGGCCAGAAAAGCTGAAACGTATGTGGAAGCATTCTGGGGTAGTGTAGATTCTAAATTGTTCAAATCATGACCCCTGGGGATAGGGCGGGGTCACAATAAGTACTACCGGGGGGGGGGGGGGGGAGAAATCAGGTGAAAAACAGCAAGGCCAAAGTTACTTAGGTGAGCGCTGTGGCCCATGGGCCTCTTGTTTCTCAGTCCCATTCTCGATTGAGTTTAAGATAACGAGGTTTGACTGTCTTAAAATTCTAGTACACAATGTAGCAGCAATTAGTGACCCGGATGAAATAAATTTTGTGCAAACACTCATCTTCTACAATTAAATGCAAAACTCAAAATATGAACAAAAATGATGAAAACATATAGTTTGTAAAAATGACAAAAATCCATCATTTTCAGTATTATGGATTTTAGTCTCATCCCTGACTCTCAGTGACTGATCTATTGCAAGGTTCATCAAAATCACTTCCATCTTTGTGATTTTTGAATGCTGAACAAAGTTCTGATTGCAACTTAAACTACTCAGTCCTTCAGCAAATATATTAGGACTGCTGTTACAAAGGCAGAATATGTCTAATGCAATATTTACTATTATTTGTTTTTCCTCTTTTCAGGAATACATGGAAGTCGTTATGTGACAACTCATGGGATATCTTTGAACTGTAACACAGACTTAGACTGGTATAAACATATTGTACCTTGTGGAATAGAAGACAAGGGGGTCACATCCATCACTGAGGAAGTCGGATTGGAGGTCAAAGTTCAAGATATTTTATGGCCATTTTTGGAGAGCTTTAAGGGACAGTTTAATTGTGATCTGTCATTTGAACATCTCTCAAAACAAGACCTTTCACTCATAGAAGAAAGTGAAAAGAAATGTAAACAAATGATTTTAGAATCAGCAATAAGAAAGAAGAATCATATACATGTGTAGGGTTTTGTGCTTTATTTCAATAAATTATTATCAACCATCAGATTGTAAACATTTTTTGTTGACATTATTAAGAAGCAGAACATCAGTCTTCCTTTATAGATAGAGGCTTAGAGTGTAGGTTCTTAATCAGAGGAAGGAATATTAACTCCAGATTAAGCTCTTGTACACCAATTTGAAAAAAAGAGCAAAGTTATTTCCCTTGACACACTGAACATGGAGAGATTCCCGCTGCTTTGAATGGGTATCAGGTGTGACACCTGTGTTGTAAATTTAATTAAGATATCACTCAAATTCACTAGCACCAAAGTTGTGATATAACACTGCTGCTGTTCTTTTAATTGGGTCAACCACAAGATATGAAAATGTGTTTTCGTGGTCCACTTTTGCAGGGTAAAACATTTCTTCACCATCCTGAAAGGAGATTGAAAATAAATCCAAGGCATGTTTCACTAATGTAATGTTCAGAGTAAGTTTGGAAATGAAATACCACTCTAATACATGTATTTATGAATCATTATCTAGGATAACCCTTTCAAAAATCCTGTAGAATTTTAATTTATCCATAACTAAAGCAAATTCAAATGTACTTAATTGATAGGAAGTTCTTTATTATATTGTCTCTAAACACTCACTTTTGCTATGAGCTTGAACACACAGGAGACAATACTGAGATCTTTGGTATCTGGATTCTTTTGAACACTTTTAAAAGAAAATTGAATAATTATAATCAATTATGAAGAAAATCAGTGTCTACTTGTGCACTGCACCTGCAATTGGCCATAAGCATGCTTTAACTTTAAGTAAACAAAATTTCTTAATTCTATGTGGATAAGGGTACTAACAAGATGTTATTTGTCCCCTACCGATAAAACCTTTGTAAGTTGATGCATCTTGGGTCCTCAAAAAATCTTCAACTGAAAAGTAGGTCACCATGACCTACTTTTGAATTTTTATGGCTATATTTAAATATTTTGGGTACTATTTGGCTTAGAATCATCAAACTTTGTCAGTGGATGCATCTTGGGTCCTCGGAGTACATCTACTGAAAAGTAGGTCACTGTGACCTGATTAATTATTATTTCAGGTATTAATTGGCTTAGAATCATCAAACTTTGTCAGTTGTTGCATCTTGGGTCCGTATAGTTAGTCAACTGAAAAGTAGGTCACTGTGACCTATTTTTGAAATTTTATGGCTTTATTCCTTGGTCCTCGGAGTATGTTGACTTAAATGTAGGTCACTCTGACCTACTTTTGGAATTTTATGGCTATATTTAAATATTTTTTGGTACTAATTTGCTTAGAGTCATCAAACTTTGTTGGTTGATGCATCTTGGGTGCTTGGAGTACATTGACTGAAAAGTAGGTCACTGTGACCTGACTAAATATTATTTCAGGTATTAATTGGTTTAGAATCATCAAACTTTGTCAGTTGTTGCGTCTTGGGTCCTTGGAGTATGTCAACTGAAAAGTCGGTCAAAATGACCTACTTTATGAAATTTTATGGCTTTATATAAATATTTCAGTTACTATTTGGCTTAGAGTCATCAAACTTAGTTGATGCATCTTGGGTCCTCAGAGAATGACAACTGATAAATAGGTCACCATGACCTACTCTCAGGTACTAATTGGTTTAGAATCATCTTAGGTTCTCAGAATGTTTTACCTAAAATGTAGGTCATGATGACCTACATTTGGAATTTCAAGGCTTTATCTAAATATACATGCAGGATACTTAAAGGCTTCAAATAGAAGTGATAGGTTGTACAATTTATCAGAAGAGCGATTCAAGGCCCTTGGGCCTCTTGTTGGGATTTTCTTTAATGTATCAGTGAGCATCAATTGTACTCCATGTAAAATCTCTAGAACAAACAGCAATCTCACAGAAATGTCACTAGCATAGATTGTTGTCCCCCAATTTGGCTAAAGGCAGGGATATTAATTTGGGCCCATCTGTCAATCTGTCATTTCAATGTCACTTTAGTTTCTGCATATTTCTTAAAGTTCTGTAGTTTTTGCAAAGGAATTTTATATCATTACTTCCTAAGACTTAAAATGAACCCAATTGATTTTGAGGTCAAAAGGTCAAAGGCCAAGAACAGAAATTCAAATATTGCTTAAAATGGATTCCAGATAATAACTTTGTTCTCTTTTAACTTTTGCAATGAAATTTAAGGTAAACAATCTCTCTAACTTTAAAAAAAAGATTAAATTATAATTGATTTTGAGGCCAATGGGGAAAGGTGAAGGTCACAAGTTTATCAACTGTATGAAATGGTTTTCAGATTCACTTCAATATCCATATTGATTTTAAGGTCAGGTGAAAGGGACAACGGTCAAGGTTCACAAACTTGTATATTGTTATAATTGTTGTGGATTATATCTAAAATAATCTTTCTTTCAGTAAATTAGCTTGTTTTTCTTCAAAATGTGATTAGTATAGTATAGAAAATTACTTTGAGAAAATTTTCATTAATTTTGACTTATACATTCATGATTGACATATTATGCATTATACTAGCCTGTACGTACTCAATACAGGGAAAGTGGGTAAACAAAGATCTAATAATAAAGGATACCTGATCAAATCCTTGTAGATCTGTTTGGTGACATCCAAGTAAGGTTGTATTTCATCTTCAAATTGATTAAACCTACCCCCCAGGCAAAGATGGAAAAATATTCGGAATAAAAATTCATCTCTCTCTGAATCACTGTACAGACAATAGTTATCAGAATCATCAATTAACAGCATCTGAAATAAAGCGATTAAAATGACGATTTTAAATAGGTATGTAAACTAAGGTAGAAAAAAGGAGCCAATCAAAAAGACTTAAAACATAATTTGTATGTAAAAGACTTTTGATATAGTAGTATATGATTCTACCATGAATATTAAGGAACAATATTTTGGCTTTGTTTGCCATCATCCTGCTAAATGTCATCCAAACAAGACGTAAAAGATGAATACATTAAGCAGCAAACTACTTCAGCAATGCAGATCAATGCTTAATGTAAATTGCTTACATTGCAACTCTATTAATCATCTAGATTAAAAGATTCTGAAGAACATTGGTGCATTATATTCCTATACACAAAACGAAAATTTTGAGTTACATGTACTTCAAAACAAAACTTGAGTCAATTTAATTTGGAAAAACATCATATCATTACTTTTCACAAACAGTTTCTTGAGGCAGAATTTGACAACACAGTCATCCAAGTTATCTTGAACTCAATGGGACCGAGAAAAAAGTTTGAGATAACCAAGGATTCGAGATATCCATTATCCAGGGTAAAATACTTAAAGAACAAGTGTTTGGGACTTCCAAATCACTTCCACATATCCGTGGTATTTGAGATATCAGTGTTTGAGATACCCAGGTTCAACTGTATTATAAATAAGATTATTTTTTAAATAATATTTACTTACTTTTCTTAATTCATCTGAGATCTGGAACTCTCCATAAAACTCATCAAAACATTTGCTGATGTGTCCTGACTCCCTCACTACACCTTTGTCTGTGAGTCTGTCAAAGAGAGTCATGGACAGGACAGAGCATGGTACAACCTCAGCAGTTACACTGGTAGCCGCAATTCCTGGGAGAAAATCCAAAAAATTACAAATTTATAGTAAAGGGAGTTTGATGAAGAAAGCCAATTAATAGCAGTACATGTAATAAGAATTAAGCCCAAGGGCCATCATGCTAATCTGATTCCTTTATTTAAGTTTGACTCCTATTGTGGCCAATGATTTGGACAAGGTAAATGAATCTACATGGATTGTCAGTTGTAGTACATAAAAATTACCAATTACAGAGCTGCCAACTTTATAAAATTAAAAAACGTAAGACTAAGTTGACCCGCCAATTGGACCCCCGGTCGCTGGATATTTTTCCATTTTGTTCTCATTAAAATGGACAATGACAATACAAGTAAGTGCTGTAAGGACTATGATTATTTTTACTTAAATAATGAAAACTGAAGGTGGACAAACTTGAGAATACCCATCTTCCCAAGTCAAAGGTTTCTGATCCACTCCACATAAACGTTATCATAAACGTTTCTGCATATTATGTGGAGTGAAGTGAATCAGAAACCCTTGACTTGAGAAGATGGAGAATACCGGTATTCCAAATTTTTAACGGACATAAACGGGTATTGTAAGGATAAATAGAATAATTGTAAGGCATATTTTCAATGCTCAAACCATAAGCCTTATGCCAAAATCGTAAGGGTTGGCAGCTCTGCAATTAATATCTTTCTGTTCTTGGGAAGATTTTAAACATTTTTCCTGTCAATTTATATGTAAAACTTCGACCCTGGTTTGTTTTCTTCCAAAATATGTATCCAATTTTTTCAATAAAAAGATTTTATATTTGACAAATGATTGATGTGTAGATATTTTACAAGAGAAATTTAAAAATGCATTTACCTACAACTGTCCACTTGTCCCCTGATATCATGCGTAAATTTGAAATTACATTTGGATCCTTCATAAAATCCTGAAAAAAAAAACAATTAATCATTGCTAAGGCATGGCTTTGGAGAATAAAAATGAAGCTGCACTGAAAGCAGTTCTAGTAAAGTAATCACAGCAAGCATTTTTTAGCTTATATATGTGTCTTCTACCCAAAATAATAATCAATATAAAGAAAAACATAGGTAATCAAAGATTACGAAGCTCACCTCAACGAATGTTATCTATAAGTAAGGCAAATTTCACATCATATTTTTTTTCTAGTTAGGGAACATCCCAAGATCAATATCCTTACAAGTTTGGTTTAATTAGGACTTGTAGTTACTTGGAAATAGACCTGCTAAAAAAACTTTTAACCTGTTAAGTAATCAAGAAAATTTTGGTCAGTTCCAACATCCAAAGCAAGTCTGGAAGTTTTCATCCTTAGATGCACCATCTATGCAAGTTTAATCATAACAGGCCATAATATTATATAGCTACACCAAAATAATTACCCTGGTCATTCATCTGGATAATGTAGGTCAGATTCAGAATCCAAAGCAAGCCTGGTAGTGTCCATCCCTAGATACATCATCCATGCTAATTTGGTTAAAATATGGCTGAAATTCACTCATGTTGAAAATCTAAGTCAGATCCAGCATCCGAAGCAGGTTGGTTAGTGTCCATCCCTAGATGCATCATCAATGAAAGTTTGGTCCAGGTACGGCTTATAGTTACTTGGGAATGGACCTGCTCATCTGCTCATCTGGAAAATCTAGGTCAGATCCAGCATCCGAAGCAAGTGTGGTAGTGTCCATCCTTTGGATGCATCATCCATGCAAGTTTGGTCCAGGTAGGGCTAATAGTTACTTGGGAATGGGACTTTCTCCTAAAACTCTAAATGGGACGCCGACGCTAATGCCGACGCTGACGCCGGGGGTATAGCATAAGCTCATCTCGACTTTGTCGAGGTGAGCTAAAAATCAACATAATTATGTAACTTTTTATTTCTCGCTTCAAATTTGCACACCATATTGACCTTTGGAACTATCTGCATTGTTCGCTAGTATAAGCATAGATTTGAATTATCTGCCCCTGTTTAATTTGCTACATTGCCAACACACTGAATGAATTTTATCATTTAACTGCATCCACATTTTATAACAGTATCATTTTAATGATAGAACATTCTATTTAATCATGAGTGTGTTTGTTATGTCAAAGCCCAAAGACATAAAGATGTCACTAAGTAAATGAAGATGTGATAAGATCGTTCATTCATAAATAAAATGAGTAATATGGTCATATGTGGTATGCAATGATAATTTAAATGACATACTTTGCAACAGCAGCATGTATTTAATAACATAATATGCGAGTTTCGAAATTGTAACTCTCCTATGATAGAGGCGCAAAAAGTATCCATATCAGCATGGAAGTGGGACAGGTTGTTAATGTATACAAATGTGCATAAATAAATGAACAATGGCTATGGCTTTTACAATTCATTTAATGTTTTAGAGAGAAACATTTGAACATTTTGATGGTTTTATAAAGCTCTACTATACATATTTACAAAATTTACTTTTAATTAGGATACTTGAAAACGAAAGAACCGTCATAGCCTTTATAAGAAAAATAATTCTTTGATTGTACAAACCTTTTCTAAAAGGTTATTGGGCTCTTTGAAGTTATTATAAGGGAAAAAGTCATTCAGAATGCTGACGTACAATGATCACATGCATGTGTATTTATTAGAGATTGTCATATATCTTCCCTCATTTGATAAGTTCTTATCCACTGATACTTTATTTTGTTCCGATTTTTATTTTCTTTTGTTCCAATATTTTGCTCATAGGAAAAAAATTGACGCCTTTACTTTAATTCGGTAATTTTCGATTTGAAAAGTTCATCCCGACAATCAGTTATAATGGTATATAGATGATGTAATTATATCCAATATATAAATAACTGTCCCACCTGCCTGCTTACACAGAAACAAAATTTAACTCCCCTCCGTAACAAAAGAGCACACCAAGGGAGATAATCTCGAAACTTGCGTATTGTTTATCATTGTTTATCACAACATCATAATCTATATGATTCGCTGATCTTTTTTTTTATTTTTTACCTTTGCAAAGTCATCCTTTTGATACGACTGAAAAGGTTGGTCAAAACTAAACATCTGGGCACAAATTCTTCCTTTCATTGACCTACAAAAGACTCTAGTTCATAGTTAATTCATATTCTTTTTTCATCAAACTCTATTAACAATGCAGAGAATCAATGCACCGGTAAGATTAGTCCGAAACATCTGACGTTTTCCAGGCTTTTTTCAAGATTTTGATATTTTACGTGCCAGGAAAACGTCAGAACCGGCGCCATTACAAAAACTGGAAATTTCACCGTCTCCAACCGGATTTGATTTTCGATACTTGCGAACTGAATTAAATGTCGAACTTACAATTTATCAGTAGCACAATGCTTTTAGTACTCACCAATATCGATGAAAAGAAAATACCACTCCACATTTCGATACAGATCTTGCAAGATTTTAAAATGCACGAAATGAAAAGAAAAGTCGACCGTTTGATAAAATGTTTTCACCAAACTATATTTCATAAACAAACCCATAAAAACGATGTTGGCGAGTACTAAAGGCATTGTACTATTAATAGGTTGTGAATTCAGCATTTAATTCGGTTCGCAAATATCGAAAATCAACCCGAGAATGCCGCCTCCAGTTGGAGGCGGCGAATTTCCAGTTTTCGTAATGGCGCCGGTTCTGACGTTTTCCTTGCACGTAAAATATCAAAATCGTGAAAAAAGCCTGGAAAACGTCAGATATTTCGGACTACGGTAAGATCACCGAGAGTCATCATACAGTGATACACAGCGTCTCTAGCAACATGCAACAAAGCTATACTAACCACTTCATCAATAATTCCTTATTCTCCTTGCTTTCGAGAGAAGGGAATTTTCTTCCATCTAAATACTGAAAAGTAAACTTTCGTTCATTATCACCAGACATACTTATTTTTAAAGTATTGTCTTGTTTTGGCGTGTCTAGAACGTGTAAATCAGTTTGATGCTTGAAAATTGTCGTAGTCTTAAAAGTGTTTGAAGAAAAATTAGTAACTCGTACTTCAAATATTTCAATATCAGTTTATTTGGGATAACCATGCCAAATGAACTCATAAAATTCAAAAAGCTATTTTTTTCCCTTTTGGAATTTTACTTTAGACATTACATTATATAAGGCTATATTTCCTGCAATAAATAATAAGGGGACGACCATTTGATTCTGAAGGGGGGGGGGGCAGATTATCTGTCGATCTGTCCACAAAGTGGAAGAAAATTAATAACCTGTCTCTGGTCATCTTGGAAATAGATATTCTGTCCTGCAAATAAAAATAATCTAACTCAACAACATTTGCCATCCCCCTCCCCTTTCATAATCAAATGGTCGTACCTTAAGGAAATGATAGAACATGAAATGAGAGTTTAATATTCTATAGAATCTGTAGTTACCACACAACTTTGTTCCAGCACTTAATGCACCTGTTTCTGTTTTAAAAATTCTTTCGAGGTATTAGTATGCAATATTAATTTGCTGAAGTCTGCGATTGAAGTTTACCAATATATGTATATGACACGTATGTTTAAAAAATGGCTTTCTCGTTTTAGATTTCATTGATAGGGACATTGAAATGTATGAAACTTGCTGAACAACCAATTCATGCTCTTGAAAAGTGTAACTTCATAACAGTTTTAAATTCTATTCATTACCAAATGTAAACATAAAATATGCTGCCCAGGTATTATTTGATGAAATATGTAGATTAGAGTTGTCAATGTAGCGAATAATTGCAGTCAGATTTGAGGTTTTAAGTTTTTTATTTGTAATCATCTGAATCACAATACCATTGACCAAGAAGAAGAATAGGAGTGCATTTGTGTACCAAGTATATATGTTTTTGATTTCTCGAGAACCATGCAGGTGGTTAAAAATGGTACAACTTACACGAATGTTTTTTGTACAGCACGGGAATCACAATCGCTTCAGATTTTTTTTCTTCAAATTTTGCAAATTACGCAAGTGTATATATGGTTTCCATCAGTCCCTTGCGCATGTCTTTAGTTTGGTACAATCAGTTTAAAAATGGAAAAATTAAAGATTCGGGGGCATATAGTTTTTGCTCTGTTCGTCTGTCTGTCTGTCCGCCAAAAACATTATAACCTTGACCATAACTTTTGAATGGTTGGAGCTAGGGCTTCATATTATACATGTGTGTTCCTTGTGACAAGCCTTTCATTTTGGGTACCAATAATTTTGACCCTTTGACCTTGACCTTGGAGTTTGAACGACTTTTGTAAAACTTTAACCTTGGCCATAACTTTTGAACAGTTTGTGCCACGACTTTCATATTTCAAATGTGTATTCCTTGTGACAAGACCTTTTCTTGGGGTACCAATATTTTTAATCTCTTGAACTTGACCTTTGAGTTTGACTTGCATTTTCACAAACACATCTTGTTTTTTATAAGTGTTTTACTTGTCTTCATTCAGAGCCACGTTTTTTGAAGCTAAGACAGTGAACATTGAAGTCCAAAGTCGTGCACAGGCCCGTAGGAAGCAATTTCAGTTTTTTTTTTGGGGGGGGGGGGGCACAGCTATACATTTTCAGTTTTCAGTTGAGGGGGCACTATGAACCAAAAATTCCTTGACAAGCAAAAAAAAAAAAATAAATAAAAAGAGGTCATCAGACGTTTTTATTGAGGGGGCACAAGCATATAGTAGCTCTGTTTTCTATAGTAATCTATATATCGGCAAAATTATTGGGGGGGGGGCACGCCCCCCCCCCCCCCCGGTTCCTACGGCCATGGTGCATATATTATACCGACAAATGCAGTGGAACAATATATATATTTCCCCAAGAACTAAGGTACATCGACATTGAAGCACTACCATATTTTATTAGATCAATCTGATTAAAATCAGATCCTTTGATCCGCTCACATAGATCGCTACACAAGGCATTGTGTAGCGATCTATGTGAGCGGATCAAAGGATCTGATTTTAATCAGATTGTTACTAGATGGATGTACCTTTAAATGAAAGCACCGTCGTGTAGTGTAAATATGAAGTCTGTACTAACATTTATCTCTGTGGTTAAGAAGAGACTTAAAGTTGGGATCATGTCCTCCAAGAAAGCTGGAATATCTTTTATTCGACTAATTATGACGGGAATAGACCATTATGCCCAAAATTGAAGAAAATTAAGTGCATGCATTTTACTAGTTCTCTGAAAAGTTTCGAAAGAAATAAACGAATATGAACACTATCTCTTATGATATATACATGCATGTATTCAGAATGTATAATATATAATTTATTTTGAAAAGAAATATAATGACGATAAATTACGATAGAACAATACAGCACAACTTAGGAGACTCGTGAAAGTTGCCAAAAAGAAAATAAACTGTGCGTGAATTGTGGATCTCTCTTCTCTTAAATCTACTTTTGTCTCTAAGATGTCCCCTGCCGCAAAGGAACAGGAACAACGACTTCATCTTTTTTGCTTTATTTTCGGAAGTGTCCGTGACCACGGTGTTTCAGCTGGGGAACAGCCTGCTGAAAAGGTCTGGGAACCACAAATTGTCCAGCGTCATGTCTTGCAGGAACTTGATGAGCATGTTGCTCATGCGCAAACGGTCGGTGTTGGAAACCGCTGAATTCTGGTCTTTTTGTGGGGAATCTAATTTCTTCATGCTCATTGTGTTTCTGGAACTCGGGTTTTTTGGTGGGGATTCTGAATGGCCTTGGAACCTCGGGTTCTCCGCTGTCGTAATATATTTTCCGAGGTGATGGAACACGTGGCACGGGTGGTGTTTCAGAAACTGGCGACTCGTCGATGTGTTGGTCTATGTCTGTAGATTTAACTTCGTATATTTTACTTGTTCTGCAGAGTTTGCCAACAATTGGACCAACATGATTAATGAACTGACTGAGTAAGTCCTCGTTCCTCATTATTTTTGGCGTCTGAATAAAATATAATAAGATATTAAGGTTCATAAACCCTCTGTTCACTCATACAAAATGTTGCTTTAACGCTTATGATTTTCCAAAAGATATGTATTTTATAAGTAAAATAAAAACAATTGCATCATGGCTTGCGGGGCAAATTTGGACAATAAAAACATTTCAACTTGAAAAATTTTATAAAGGAATAATAGACATTTATGTCGTTAAGAGTTATCTCTCTTATCAGAGTATCAATGAACCTTAAATTGTTTAGATTAAAAAGAGAGAGCTAAATGAATTATACTGTACATGAATTTTAAGACATCGTTTTTGGAGAGAAAATATGAACACAAACTTTTTCATCAAAGCCAACGTTCCTCTTGTACGGAAGCCGTAAAGGTTCATTTCTGAGAAGGCATATAAAAATATTGAATTCGTTATAACGAGTTAGGATCTTGTTCTAACTAGTTAATTATCTTGTTATAATATTAAGTTAGTTTTTTGTTACAATGAGATGATTATCTCGAGTTATAACGTGTTACCTCACCTCAACTATATCCACTTCGTGCCCGCTGGCACATATACCGAGTTAGAATCTCGTTATAACAAGTTAGTTATCTCGTTAAAACGAGATGGTTATCTCGTTATAACGAGTTAGTTACCTCGTTATAACAAGTTAGTAATTTAGTTATAAGGAGTTAATATGTCGTAATAACGAGTCAGTACAGTATCTCATTATAAAGAGTTATTATAATCTCATTATAAGGAGATCATACAGCTTTCTCGTTAGAAGGAGATAACGATATATCTCGATATAACGAGATAGTTGTTTGTTCTTTCGAGAAAATATAATAGCAATTTAGGAATGAAAATTGCAGTAGTTTGGACCCAGTAGTTTTTAATCGATTTTGAATTAATGATTATCAGTCGAATTTAACTTGAAGTCAATTGATTAAATGGTTGAAACTATTTATCTCTAGGGTTGAATTACGGTAAAGTTGCTATCGATAATCATATTTTGATGAGTAAAGAAATCTAATTAGAGATTTCAACTCTTATGATCAATTTCTATTATCTCGTAATAATGAGAAAACTACCTCGTTATAACGGATACTAGTAACTACCCGGTAATTCGTTTTACCCGGCGACTCTGAATCCTAACTCATTATTACTAGATACGAAATCGTTATAACGAGATATTTAACTTCATATTACAAGATAGTAAGTTATAAAGAGGTTTCTCTTAGTTTTCTCAAAAATGAGCCTATCCGGCTTTCGCACTCATTCGTCAAAACGATAAAAATACACAACTTACCACAGCCGCCATAACGGCAATCTTACTGTCCTGGTCCAACCTCCATTCCGGGTCGTAGTCTGTGATATAACAGGACCGGAAGTCAACATCTCGAATAACTGTTATTCCCTTAAAATATGATATAATCGAATAATAAGTTAACTATCATTTTTCTGTAGAAGAAAAAAAGGTCGGCAAATGGTTTAATTTTAAATTAAAAGCAAGATCATGAAAATGGATCTAGTTGCTACAATACTACAGTTGCATACCGAATTTGGAAACATATCATATACACATTACAGCATGAAATTGATAACACATAAAATGTTGCGCTTAGATCAGAGAGAATACGGATTAAAGGACTGTTATGGAGACTAATGTCAAAACTAAATACTTGAGTATGAGGACCCCAGACGTCAAGGTCATGATGATTAATATTACGTTATGATCATGCAGGCATGTCGAATATTATAAGCCTAGAAGGAAAAGAAGTCCTGACATGGATATTCTTAAAATCGTAGACATTTTTGTATTGATTGAGGTCATATTAATATGCAGCTGCAGAACAGTAGCTCTCCGAAAAAAAGGTCCTCCCTCCCAAGTTTTTCAGACCAAAGAGCTACAGATCTGCAGTTCCATTCCAATTTTTTTTTTCAGACCAGCGAGCTACAAATCTGAGCTAATTCATAAGCGATTCATATTCGCTTGATTTCGAGTTCTTTTGTAAAACATGATCACCAGCGTACATGTCACAACAACTTCTGTTGGAGAAAGATAAAAAAAAAGCTATTATAATCGTTTTCCCTATTTAACCCATAACTAGTATCTAAGCGTGGAAAGGTAAAAATAGAAAATCAAATGCACTCTTGCTTGAAATCCGCGAATTGTCTTCTTACAGACCTTTATTTAACCCGAATTAATTTATTTTCAATTCGGAATCGGTCAGAATGACCTCTTAGAATCATCAAAGTAGAAAGAATTTTAAAATATGCTAAATATTCTATCAGTAGTTACAATAGAATTCAGATGTAAGCGAGCGGTTGTCTTGGAATCTGTTTATCATCAGGAACAAATAATCCGGTATCCAGGAACTTTTTCCTTCTGGTCAGAATGGATTGTCATATATGAGATATGGGTTATCTGTTTGTCTTCCGACTATTGTAATAAAGTACGATTTGATGAAATTATGTCATTCGAACAGTGTCGCACCCAGAAAGGCAATTTCTACGGGTCTTGTTACGCAATAAATTCACACGATACAGACCATCTTCGTCATCTGGTTCGCAAAAAAATTTTGAACAAATAGCTATAAAATATATATTTGTTTTCTAAACGTATATGCCCAGGTGTCCTGTTCAGTTTTGTCTTGCGTTCATAGATGTACAAGTGTGCCTACACATGTTACAATATCTGTAATTTTGAAGACAACTAAGCTTAGCATATACCGGTAGACCTATCGACATACATTTTGACATAAATTCCTAATAAACTTACATTAAAGGTATAACATTGTAACAAATTTCGAATATTTTATTTTAGGAAGGTATATTATATACTTGCTTAAGTAAAGCACAATTTTTAACTTCTTAGGACAGTAATATCGCAAACCATTCATATTCTGAGATCCAAGGGCTTCAGCGCTTAATACTATGGCAGATTATTTATCCTTGTAAAGCTTGTCCATACAAATTCACTGTTTAATCTATGAATTCAACAATTTCTGCAGTTTTTTTCTGCTTGAGGTAAAAATGATTATCATCAGAAATTTTAGACTATGCACATGCATATGATCTGTAGATTCTTAAAGAAACTGTTTTTTTTTAAATATCATACATCTTTGGATAACGCGACATTTTTCATTTGCCGATTCAAGCACCTTTTTTCTTTTTACTTCTGATAAGTATGTATATTTCATAACACCTACGTTATCTTTATCGTTGTAATGTAAATCTGTATTCCTCTCAATGGCATCAAACACAGACTGAGGCTCGGAAGAAATCGGAAACGGTCGGAAATACCGGCCCTCGCAATACTGAAAAACAAAAAAAGATCAGTCTGGTTTTTTTCTCGACCAAAAAAAAAAATTACAATAACAAAATTATATACAGTATTATTTTTAAAAAATCATTTTAAAAAAAATTCTAATTAAAAAAAAAAAGAAAAAGGAAATGGAGAAAAAATGTCCAATTACTGAAGAAATTTTAGCAGTTAAGGTGATCAAAAACTCTTGCAATATTGCGAAAGTTCTAAGAACACTCCGAGTTTGAACTTAGACTGAAATAACATTACTGAAAAGATTTGGAATCTGACAAATAAGAAAGAATATTGGACAGATTTAAATTTTTTGTCCAATGTCTGCCGTCTCTACATATTAACTTTGAATTTCCTAATTTGAAATTTTGCTTTGAATGTGGTGCATCTTATTAAGACTAAAATATGGACCAGTTTAGCATTTAATAAGATACTAGTAGTTACTTTTCAAATTTAAAAAAGATATTTTTTTTTATCAATAAATAAATCAAAACTAGGAATTGACGATTCAGTCCAAATCCAGATCTATACGAAAGTAACAAAGAGTGATTTAAAAAAGAAAGAAAGAAATTTAAGACTATCATTTTCTTAAATGTTTTTTTTTTTCAGTATAGGCTATATCTATCAATCTATATACTATTAATAGATATGGTTTTAATGTATTTAATAAGAGAAATGTTATATCCTTTTTTTTCACTGAAATCTTACCAATAAAGCTCCTACAAAAGTCACAATGTACAAGAAATCCATTGTCTTAAAGCTGAAACTTTTTTGAAATTTCCGCTTAGTTCTAGTTAGCAAGTTTATTTATAATCTCTAACCTTTTGTTCCATCCAATCGCGATTCAGGGTTTGTCTTGGGGGTTGATAACAATACCCTAAGTGTTTGTTAAGCCTTGAATTCATAAAGCCAAAATAAACATACAAATGATTAAGGGAGAGTTCCCAGTTATTCACTGTAGACTTCTAAATTAAGAAAATGTTAATTGCTTTTTATTTAGAAGCTAAAGATTAATTGGTACGAACTTGGCTAGTGATTTGTATACAACTGACTGGCTCTTCTAACAAGAAAATGATTTGCGATCCTGGGTATAAAAGAGGATAGCCAAACTGCATTAAACAGTTAAAAACAACCCCGAAGTCTGGACTTGATAGGAACAGATTTATGTCCTTGTATCAACCACCAAATAAAAAACACGTCGGCCCCCGGTATTAGTGAAAAACCCTCGTAATAATACAAGTCTCGTAAATTTTAGGAAACGATTTCGCCTTACCATACTTAACTATAGAGGTTAGAATGATATTGCATATCAGTTATAGAGATAAATGGTTTAGGAGATAGAGTTTGAAAGATTTCACAATTTGTTGCCAGATCATTCACTTATCAGCAGGAGCCATTTCTCCATATCATTGAAAACAAAAGGCTTTTCCAGACCCCTGAGAGATTTATCACTGACCCTAACGATTTTTGACAGTCATTATTTTGTCAATATCTTAAATGACCCGCCTTCTTTCAATCCTCATATCATCTCCCGGGTTGTTTACCATATTTGTCACCCCTCCATTCAACTCAGCACTTCCAATAATAAACTTAATAAACAGGCTATATTTGAAATTGTATGAATCACCCATAAACACCTGGGGTACCAGTGTCGTTTAATGATATTTATTTGAAAATTAAGTACACGACTTATTTTAATTTTCAAATAAAAATCAGTAAACGACACTAGTTTACTAAACACCAAAATAATCTTGATTCATACTTCAATGATGTGTTTCTTGTAAAATTTCAATAACTATGAACAAGAAAATACAGTACCGACATGAATTCAATGTAAGGAAATCGTGATATTTAGTACTGTACATGTACTTGCATGGGAAACTTTTCTTATGTACAGTTGCACAGGCACCTGACGTATGGATGTTGTAGCCCCCTACTCCCCCACCCCGGAGAATTTTCTAATCTAAAAATACTAGAATTTTTTATATATCGATAGAGAGGTAATCTCGTAAGCTTAGTCCTTTCTGACATATATTTTTTAAAATAGTCATGTTGAAGATTTTATTTCACATTAAAGAATCGGAAATGATATCAAATGTCAGACTTCAGGTAAGGTTGCCAAGGATTCCTGTATTTTTGCTACGTTTACGTGTCTAAAACATTTCTTAGAGGATCGGGGAGGGGGAATTGCTTCTTCATTATAAAATTCTTATCGTCTGAGATACTGTAAACGTAATAAATTTGGTGGTGTACTCTATTGAGCGCCTTTGGAGAAAAGCAACTTCCGCTGAATCAAGTACATTGCTAAATGGCTGGTATGTATATATTTATATCTAGCTCGTTCAGAAAGCGCTAAAGCAAATCTCTGCTTATCAATTTCCGCTAAATATTTTAACAGCAGTAAAGGAAAAACTTCAGGAGTACTGCACAACAATATATTTTCGAGAATTGGTGTAAATCAGATGTGGATACTTAAAAATTCCAAGGAACTTTTAATTTAATTTAAAATCACAAAATTTTACCAAAATCAATAACATCAAAACGTACGACTTTTCAGCGCTTAATACAACCATTCCCCACGATAAATTAAAGTCCAGGCTATTTGACATCATTGACAGCTGCTTTTTCAATAAAAATGAAACTCGTAAATTTAGTTACTTTGTCATTGGTCATTTGCAAAATTATTTTGTCAGAAAACATTCTGATTGTACACACACGTACTCTGAAGTTGACATTGAAAAGATGGTCGAGTTTCTGATTGACAATATCTATGTAATTTTTGGAGACCAGGTCTTCCAACAATCTGTCGGAATTCTCAAGGGTACCAATTGCGCCCCGTTATAAGCAGACTTTTTTGTATTCATATGAAGCAGACTTTATCAAAATCATATACTTGAGAAGAGGAAAACCTATGCTATGCCCGTCAGCTCCACATTTAGATATATCGACGACGTATTATCACTTTACAATAGTTACTTCCATTCATATGACGTCTCGATATATTCCAGCGAGCTTGAAATAAAAGATACCACAGAGTCTGACACATCTGTTTCATATTTAGATATTTTACTATAGAAAAAGATGTTAATGGTAACCTTACAACCAAGCTTTATGATAAACATGATGACTTCAACTTTTCAATCGACAACTTTGATCCCTCACTTATGCAATATACCCTTATCGCCTGCATATGGGGTTTATGTCTCTCAGTTGATTCGATACACTCTTCGTATGAACAATTTCTAAAACGAGGCAAGCTATTGACAAACAGATTGACGAAGAAAGAATATCACTAGTCTCGTTTAAAGTCATCATTTCGCAAGTTCTATGGTTAATACAATGACCTTGTTAGCACATACAATCTATCATTAAGTCAAATGCTGACTGGTGTTTTTCGTACTAATTGTTACATGTAGGCCATTATTTACACACTGAATTGTCAACGGATTTTTCCGGTTTTTTTCCTAATCATGACAAGGAGCACACGGTGGGTACACCGGTCGGCAGGGGATGCTCCTCCATGGCACCTGATCCCGCCTCTGATGTTTTAGAGGTTCATGTTTGCTCTGCTCCTGATTTATATTGTTTTAATGTTTTTTGGAGCTTGAATACTGTTCGTTATCAAAAAAAATCTGACAAGCAAAAAAAAAAAAAAAAAAAAATGGGGGAAGGGGGAACTTCCAAAAATATTCTGACAAGAGCAAAAAAGACAAAAACCTAATTAATCGTCCAAATCCTGGAATTTGCCATTGCTCGACCTTAGAGCAAGAAAAAGTTGGGGGGGGGGGAGCAGCATCTAAATGACAATTTGTCAGTATTACATTTCATAATTATAAACTTACCTTCCTCACAGGAAGATGTCCCCATGATGGGAGCGATTAGTTATTATATTTAGATGTTTGAGAAGGATTGAAGTTTGTTTGGAAAATCAGAATTTAATAAATTATAAATCTAAGTCCTTAATCATTAATTTCACATGCGTCAGAAAATTCTTTTCTGCCTTCGATATATCAGCTGTTTTAAAATGTTAAATTAATTCATTATTCTGTAGTAAATTTGAGAAACAGAAAGGAATGTTTTCATTCTGGCAAAAATATAGTATATATTAGAATTTAAAGTTAGTTTACCATTCCAAATTCCTATTTAAATGTACAATATACAAGTAAATGCCTGTACAGTTGTAAGGAAAGAAAATACATATGGGACAGAAGATAGCAATGTATACATTGTAAGTAGCTAGTGTATACCTTTACAGAAACGATTTATTGCGCCAGGCCGTTTGATAAAATACCCATAATACCCAAAAAGAAAGGTAACCCATATCAGAGATAGTTTAAACATTACTGCTTTTGAACACCTTTAAACAAAAGTAACTTTTTACCGCCGTTGTGTGCACTGGGACATGGATAGGCTCTTCACATGGAACTGAATCATTGCCATTTAAAGCCTTATCAACCTTGGCCTTTCTTATTATTTCATCCAAGAAGTAATTACTGTTTGGACACAAATCGACTGCTTTACGATGTTCAAAACTATCACATTTTTGGCATGCTGAAAGATTTGCACAATTAAAAAAAACAAATATGATGAAATAGCTATAACTCAAAGCTAAGTCAAGATATTGCGTCGAACATGTTAATTTGCTTCCATGTAGTTTCTGTAAGAGTGTTCGATTAACTTGGGTGACATATAGTGCATGTGTAACGTGCAACGCGGCCGAGCTGGTCTGTATCACCGAGGCGTTACACTCAGGTTCGTTAACCTGTTAACTCAGGTTTTTGTTGACCAAATACAATGTCTTTACAAACTTTAATACAATTAAAACAAATAAACAGGGTTTCCTTTTGATTGGATGACCACTAACTGTGGTCAACGGGTATCACCCGCAAGCAAAGGATGAATCGTTTAAACGTCCAAATCTGCCCCCCCCCCCCGATAATTTACAAAAAATTAAATTAAGATTTTCTAAATATTTTTGCCTCAATCTTTCCATCAAACATTGTAGTTTATTATTTCAATTTTTACTTCCTTGCGCTGTAATTAGGTATTTATGTGATTAATATAGCAGGGGTATGTTGTTTACATCGATTTCTCATAGACTTTAGGCCACACCCCCATTTTGCAAGCCCATTTTTTATATGAGCGCATGGATGTTTCAAGTTGTCGTAAATACGGTCAAATGTAAAGAGTTATACGTAATAGTTATTGTATATTTATTATGGTGTATCCTGATTTATTTGGACGAAGGGCGGTGACGAGTGCGAAGCACGAGTCTCCGCCCCTTCGTCCAAATAAATCAGGATACACCATAATAAATATTCAATAACTTTCTTGTATCATGGCTAATCAAAACCTCAATAATTGTTATGTCCCAAATTTTCCAGCATGATTTTTAATTACACCAATAAAAAATATAGTTTTTGTCAGGTGACCGCATGGATATTCTCTACTTCCCGCCAGTATTTGTGTGTGTGTGTGTGTGTGTTCATGAGAAAGGACGTCGGATTGCGCAGCTCTCTGGACAACGTAATATAAAAACGGATTGTTAATGAAATTCATAAGAAAACCTTTGAATATCAAGGATGAAAAATTCGAAGGCGAAGAAGGGAAATTCAGGTGTTAATCGAAAATTAAGAAAAAATTATACCCGTTGATCATTTGACATATTCGAGAGCTGTGGCATGAACAAAAACGCTGTGTTAATAACTCTTCATCTGTGGATGCAGTACAGCTGAACTTTATTCTAGTTGAGCAAAGAAAACAGCAAAGATGGTATATCCTGCTAAAAGGCTCTATTACAATAGGTGTGATATTTTAAGATATTTATTTGTGGAATTCATGTCAAGAACCTGATTTCTCGATGCGGTGGATCGAATATTTGCAGAGTTCCGTAAAAATATTTCGTATTTTGGGATACGTGTGCACTGTAATTTATGTGAAAGACCTTTTTTCATTGGCAGAAATTTTGTCTTTGTATATAACAAAGTCCATTTAATTCAGTGGTACTTCAATATACATGTAATTTAAAATGTTGAAATCGTCTTGGTGTTCAATAATTTATTTACACGGCACAGTTTTTGCTGGCTCCGCCCATCGGTGTATCTCCAGTTATTGTACACTTGACTTCAAAGGAAAAACACCACAGCCATGATACAATAGTCATTTACATTCATGAAAGAAATTGAAACAGTCTTGCGCTCATTTGTTATTTTCCAAAAAGGTGCAAAATCACGGGTGCTTGTCTCCATAGTAAAGGCACCTTATTTACAAATATCAACCCGTCTTTGACCTCATGAATAACAATGCACTGAACACGTGACTCAAATCTATTCATTTCCACGCTTTGAGCACACCTACGCGACATATTGTGTCTAGTGTCTGCGAGCTATTGATGGTCAAATCATATTTCAAATGGGTAATTAAAATTCTGGGAGAAAACTTTATTGTGATTAAGATGTGTTAATATTTTCATTCGATTTTGTTTGATTTTTTTTTTTTGGTATATATCAATTTATATTGAAGTCCTGTAGCATATAGTTTGCACTTACTGCTTGTGTCTCATAAATACAGAACTTTAAAATTTAAATTACTGTAGGTATATTTGATTCATTTGCCCTTGTTCCTGAAAATGTACATCGGTGCTCCATTCATTGCCTTGGAAGATATGAAAGATTTTTTTCAGTTAAAACTGTCATTAATTTTATAGTCCGTTATTTGAAAAAAAAACCAACACCACACTATTCATCATATCTTTAGAAAAATTAATTGTTTGTTAAAAGTGCACAAATGCATACTTCCAATAGAAGAAACCTTCATGGAAAGAAATTGAAGTACGGAGCGCTCGAAAAACCTGTGTATCGGATGAAAAGTCACTTGATGAATACATTTGCACAAAAAGCACCCCTAATTTGAATCGAAGAAAGCTTCAGGTTTAATCTGAAGAATATGGTATAACTTTTTACTTCGGCACAAAATTAATTTCACAATTTTTTTTTTAGATCATGTAAAAGAAAGTCCATGTTCGCAGGTATTTTTAAAGCATAATGTTTAAAAGCAAGAACATGCATTTGTATGACCCTTTCACATGTCCGATCTAGCTATAGATATAAGTAAAAAAAAAAAAAAATTAGTCGAATGAAAAAGGGCGTTAAAAATACCTCGGAGTGATTTATTATTTATCTTACTACAGTGAGAGAGTTTGTTAAAATCAAGAAGTACAGGAGTGGATTTCGACAATTAATGAATTCCGAAATGAGGAAGATCATATTAACTTGTCTGGCATGAATAAACAGGATTTTTTGAAGCAATGCAATTTGGACTGTACAAAGTACACTGACACGGATGTTTCTTTATCCACCAGCGATGATACTGACGTTAAACTGACGTTTAATTGACGTCTAAATTTTCACTTTCTTAACTATATATTTTTTATACACCGAGTGTAGTTTTGTATCGTAATTCAACCGCCTACGTGTGTTTGTTGTAGCACTCGGATTTTGCAAAATTATATATGTATGAACAATTTCTAATTATGTACGTAATAAGCTTAAATGGATTATAATTATTTCTTTTTTTAAAAAAGGGGGGTTTCTTTAAAGTGTGAAAAATAGTGTATCCTTCATTTTACGTTCTATTTCCAAATTCCATTGTGTATTTAATATTTAAATAATTTAACGAATTTCTAGTAAATCATTTCAAATACGACTCGTAAGTTAAGCAGAAGAGAAATCAAAGTTAAGCCATCCAAATTAAAAATGTATGCTTATATTTTGTCGGTCTCTAGCATGAGAAAAGGTTTTTTAGGTGTCAGTTAATCATAAAACTTAGTACACTTGGAACACACGCTAATGTATTCATACTAATCGCACGCTTGAGAGACGCTCCGCCTTCTCATTCAAATAATACAATGACCTACCTCTAGCTGTAATGGCGAAACCGTGAAGTATAAGATTTTATTTAATCGATATAATGTATATATTGAAAGTGTCTTTCCCCAAAAAATCTTTTATGAGTATCTATACAGACTATGCTTGAAGACTTTAGCTATAATATAACAATGTTCTGATTTGAAAATGTAAAATTCTGCATTTAAAAAGGGGCGAGAAAGCAGTGTTATGAGGATTCATTCTTTCTCTGGTCCTGCAACTCCACAGGTACTGCTGCTCCTTGGCACTTCCCCCACTTCTGTGGTATGCCACCTCTCTCCTTGCTAACCTACTGCCTTATACAGGTCTTACGTGTTAGCTAATGATATAACCTTTACTGCCTATCCCCCGCAACTGTGTGCCTTACTCAGGTCTTATCACAATGTTTAAGAGGTTAAACAGCCAAGGTTTAACAAGGTTTAACAATCAGAGAAGTCCCATCAGCCCTATATTACAGCGTGTATTAATTCTATGCAGTCTTTCCTACCTCCGCAGTTTCGACCTATTTATATGATCGCAGAATTAATAACTTTTAGTGTTTAAGATATTAAATAAAAACGTACGCCCAACGTTTTCCAACGTTTTATACGAAACTAAATGACAAAAACCATTTCCGTTTCACATGCACGTCTACCAAAATTTTACAATTCGATATACCTTATACTATAATACAATTACGCATATAGAAATTACTATTTTGGATGAATCGTGAATGAAATTACCGGCCAACAATAAAAGACAATTTGAGAGCAATCGGTTGATTCTTATAGAATTGACCACTTTTCCAGAAGGTCCAAGAAGTTTCGAGTGCGTTAAGAGATCGCAGGTCGAAGGTCAACATCAAAAGTCTTAAATTTATAATTATATTTTTTTTCGATAATAACTTTCACTGGCATGTATAAATAGCATATATAAATGTGTCCGCATATACTGTCAAAGAGAGCTGGCTGAAGTCTATTTATAGAAAAGAATACCCCCACTATCGTGGACTAACAACGAAAGACTAACAACGTTGACCATGCAGCCTTCAGTTGGTAAGATAACGGTTACTCATAATTGTCTAATTTTACTGTCATCATATGTACATCCACTTCTCTGAACTATACCTTTACTGAATATGACATCATAATGAATTATGACGCTACATCAACTACATATTCCGAGCTGGCAAAACCTCGGAGATGGGTGCCGTGACCTTTGCACCTTACATGTATTTCATATCATGCACATTTGTAAAATTCAGGTCTGTCCGTTGATTAAGTATGAGACGTTTAAAACAACATTTTGTTTCATTTCTCTGGATTGACAACTCTTCAGGTTCTTGTTCACATACAATATGATATCATACATCTGTTGATTAATTAGGATTAAATGAGGATATCCTGAGAAACCCATAAGAGGAGCATGGTTCTTTCTAACGAATGTAGTCTGATGCTTCTCATTTAAATGAATTCCGATGCAGAGTGAAAAATGTCCTAAAAATCAGGCCACCCACTCCACCCCACCCCACCCCACCCGCCCATGAAATAGTGTGAATCTAATGAGTCTAATTCTAAAGTGTCAATATCCGTAACAACAGATCGTTAAAACAAATTTAATTCCCGTCAATTTTTTTCCAGAGTTTGTTAATAAGTTAAAATATAAGGCTTTGTGCCTGTTTCTCTACGCATTGATATGAGAATTGGTAAAGTATGTTTCAATTATCAACAATTACATAAATGTAATACATTTAAGCATCAATTGATATCATACAAAATTAAAAACATCAATAAATTTATGCATTATACAAAATAATTACATTTAGATTATATATGCTTATTGTGATAAAGTACCAAGGGCACGTGTTTGAAATATTTGGTTATCTTATTTATGACGTTTGTGACTGAAACGCAAAATTCAGCAAACATTGGACAATTAAAGATATCTCCAAAATACATGATACACCTCATGGGTGGAGCCGAGGAGATCCCCCCTCTGAATTTTCCAGATGGAGTTATTAAATTCCTATGTAAAAGTAAAAAAAAAAAAACCAAAACAAAACAAACACACACACACACACACCTTGGACTCCCTCCCCTTAGGAAACACGAACCCATTAAAAGTCTATCAGAAGAAAATTGACTGAGGAAAGTGTCCCACCTCCATGAAATAAATTTTTTTAGGTTTTGGCAAGTTTAGATATTTTAAAAATATTTTTTTGCTCATCAAAATAATTTCCGAGTCTGACATTTGTTACCGTTGATGTGGACCCCTCCCCCCCCCCCTCCTTGACAACAAATCCTGCATCCGCCCCTACATGTACACCTAACAACAAGTCCACAATAATAATAATAAAAAAGATAATACTGAGTATATTGATGATGTAGATAGAAATCTTAAATGAATCTGTAACTTTGATTATTTCATAGCCCCTTGACTACCATATGCGCGTAAAGTTTCAAGAACCGCACGTCGATAATTAAATTAACCCAACTACCAAAAAATACATACTTTGTTATTCCTAAAAAAGTATTTTTTTAAATTTACTTTTTGGAAATTAACTTTCTAAATATTATATAAGCATTTTTTGACAAATATAACATTCATTAAACAAAAACGTAAACGTCTAAAATAAGGCATTTCCTGTGCTTTTTTCCTCCTTTTGAAAAGATTGACAGCGTTGTGTCATGTTGCTGGTGATCGGTTGGCATATGATAAAGCACAATGAATTCAAGCAGGAATTTAAAACCTTGATCCGCCCCCGCATGCACTTTATCTCTGTGTTGTGTGTTCCTTGGACTTGATCTCAGGCTATAAGTGTCACACTTCCTCGGTTCGGACAAGAAACATAAGTAAGTAAAAGTTTGCATGTACATTTGCTCATTCAGTGGGATAAAAAAAAGTTAATATATTAGCACAGGTATTTCCGCTATACCTGAAAATTAGTGAGTTATCGTAGAGCAGAGAAAAATCATGAAATGGGGCACCCAAAGGGGCAGCATCTATATATAGTGTACAATCAGTCAATGCACGATGCAATATGGGCTATCTGAAACTTGAAGAAAAAACCTCTTGAATCGCGCATTTATCCCCCTTTCTCGTCCTTTTTTGGAAAATAGTGATTATATAAACCATTCTGTTTTAAATGTGCATGCATGACCTTCAGATCGATCAGTGTGCTCACACGTATGTAATATGTTGTAAACAGTATAACATCAATGTCAAGGTTTTTAAAAAAAAATCGTTTGAAATTATTACGCCCTTTCAAAGTACCGCGACATATCAGACGAGTATCCCTAATAGCAAAAATAGTTACTGGCGATTCAAGGATTAATTATATCCATTAATGCTTCATTATAAGAATATTGTACGTGTGCAGAAATTGACGTATTCAAAATTTAGCGCAACTTCTGGGTATTTAGTGCTTGGCGCAACCAGGAATTAGCGATGTACACACTTGTATTCAAGAATGATTTATTAAAGATGTATTCATGAATTAGCGCACTGTGTTGTCCGCTCCAAAGTCGCTAAAATATGAAGCCCGCTTTTTTAGTACACATACAGTATGCTGTGGAAGGAGAAAGAGAGAGAGAGAGGTGGAAGAAGGAGTGGAAGGGGGATAGTATTGGAAGGAGGAAATGGGGGAAGGGTTTCCTTGTCTAATGTATATATGTTTAAATTTAACTGACTCCTTGGACACTGGAATATACATGTTTTTTCAGAGTAATTAAAAAAACTATATAGGTCCATGGGAATGTATACAGCAGGGACGGATCCATGATAGAGTTAGGTGAGGGCGCAAACTTCTTAAAAAAGTTAAATGATATTAGCAGAAACTCGCAATACTTGTATAGTTAATATGAGTTTAATATCATAAATTAAGTTCATAAAGCTAGACTTATCATTTCTTCCCTTAAAGGTGATAAAGCACTAAATCACAAGTTTGGAGTACTGCATATACATATAACATATATATTACTGTAAACTTATCAAAATATCAAAAAGGCAACTTCCGCTAATTCAAGTATACAACGTAAAAGTCTTGCACAAGAACTGAACATTAAGAAAATCTACGCTAACTTAAATTGTTCAAAAATCATTTTCCATCAAATTCGTACACTCTAGGAAGTAATTTCATTTTTTATTTTTTTTTGGGGGGGGGGGCAACCAAACATTTTCAGTTGGGGGGGGGAGCACAAACCAAACAGAAATTCCTTAACAATCATGTAAAAGTAGCTTCGTTTTCTATAGCAAACTTTATATAGGCAAAATTATTGGCCCCGGTTGGCCCCGGTTCCTAAGGGCCTGGTACTTGTATTTCTCTTTTGAGAGGTTGATGAATAAATAAATCTTTCAACAAAACATTTTACATGCATATTATATCAAAACTGTTTTTTAGACGATTCTAAAATTAAAAAAGAGTTTCCGTATTAATACTTTCCATTTTATGTCTAATATTTTTACAGAGATGACAAAAATCTTAGGAATAGATTTCGCGCCTCTCCACATACCGATGGAGCGTCGACTCCAGACATTAGCAGTTCAGCAATGGACGCTGTCCTTTTTGTTCCTGGGATTTGGATGTTTATTTTTCATGATTTATTTACTATTTACATCCTTTTACTGGATCCCACTATTATACATGGCCTTCTACGTTTACGATAGAAAGAAGTCAGCTCAAGGTGGACGACGATGTCAATGGATACGAGAATGGGCTGTGTGGAGATATTTTCAGCGATACTTTCCTATAACTTTGATAAAAACAGTGGATCTGGATCCTAATAAGAACTATATAATGGGTTTTCATCCTCATGGAATACTCAGTGTTAGTGCTTTCTGCCACTTTGCTACTGAAGGTTCTGGCTGGAGCAAAACATTTCCGGGCATTACGCCATACTTACTGGTACTTCCGGGCCATTTCCAATTTCCTGTATATAGGGATTACTTCATGGCAGGTGGTAAGTTCATAACCTTAGAAAAAGAACTTCCAATGCTGCACAGAAGAAAGTAACTCGTACGTATAATTTTGAGTGCAAAAACTAATAGGTCATGATTTTTTTTTTATTTTCCAGGGGCAGTTGAAGCTACAGCAAAAAGTATGAAATTCCTTTTGACGAGGCATGGGACAGGAAATGCTCTTGGTCTAGTAGTGGGCGGAGCTTTAGAAGCATTAGAGGCATTTCCGGGAAAGTTTAATTTGAAACTCGCAAAGAAGAAAGGTTTTATCAAAGTGGCACTTCGGACGGGGTAAGATACATTAAATTAAACACTTATTGGTTTTCACAAAAATTACAAAAATTTAAACAAATAATTTTGTCATACTCAGGGCATGTTTAGTTCCGATGTTCTCTTTTGGTGAGCACGAATTGTTTGTACAAGCAGAGAATCCTGAGGGATCCCGACTGAGAAACCTCCAAAACTGGTTGACAAAATACACTGGGTTCTCTCCCCCTGTTTTTCACGGACGAGGAATGTTCAACTACACGTTCGGTCTAGTTCCATACAGAATTCCTGTCTACACAGTTGGTAATAACTCAAAACTATTTTTACCTGCATTACTCTGCTTTCAGAATGCCAGTTGCAATTAAGGTTCATTGACCCTTGGATAAGAGAGATAACTCTAACTGGATAAATGACTACAGTATTGTATTACTAGTACTCTCAAAAACAATTCCAAGGTAAAAGGTGATTTCTATCAAATTTTTCATTCGTAGAGATATGCCGAATTTTTTCTTCTTCTTCAAATTTCAGTATGATTTTAATTAGATTTCTTTTAGATAGACATTATAATGAAAGCAAAATGCTACATGAATGAAAGCTAGATATACCCTGTAATTACTTAGATATAAATGATACATGTAAAAGCTGTATATATAAAATCTAATGGACTCCATTAGATCTAGGTCAATTTCATTGAATCTGATGATATTAGCGATTGAAAACCTTAAATGGAATACATTTAGTGTCATAATTTTATGAATAGCCCTCGTAGATATGTATTGTGATTTATATTTTATATTTTTTATGCAGTCGGTGCTCCAATACAAGTCGAAAAAGACGAGGATCCCTCTCAGGAGAAAATTGATGCACTCCATAAAAAGTACTTAGAAGAATTAGAAAAACTATTTGAAACGCACAAATTAAAGTATGGTGTTCCTGAAGACAAGCATTTGCATTTTATAGAGTAATTTCTACGATGACCTTGATTAGGACAAATACTACAATATACTGATTTTCGCTAAGGATTTTCCCACCACATGCAGATTTAATCGATACGTATGTTTTAATATTTACGCAAAATGTGTTATTGATATATAATATATGTAACGTGGCATTATAGCGTTAACTATTTTTATATGCGTTGATCAAAGCGGCTGCCATGGGCCTGGTCTTCCGCTGCATCTTGTTTATATTTAGGTTAATAAAGTTGTTTTTGTTTTCCTGTTTTCATTTATCGCCCCTGCCAATTTCAAATCCTCGAATACATTAGTTTGAGTGTCATTAGGAATACCCGTACCCTACCTTTGTTACAGTGTTATAACGGCATGGTAAGGAGAGTCAAAACTTTCTGAGTTGAAATGTTTCAAAAGCACAGATTTTCTAGCAATGAATATACATTCAATACGTACTAATCCAAGTATCTTTGCCAGCAATGTTTCCATTTACTTTTACATTTACTTGCCCTTGGGGCTCCAGAATGGACTCTTAAATTGTGTCAGCACTCTTTCGAAGAAACATTTTATATGACCTTGAGACCTTAACCAAATTAGCGAAGTTTCTAGCAAAGCAACACAACATCTCTAGCAAAGGACTGAATTTATGTGGTATCCATTACATTGTAAAATGTGATTTACTTGATCTTTTGACCCATACAACAATGCATAAGCTTCTTCAAATGGCCATTATTTAGCTCTTTACCAAATGTGAGATTACGAGTGAATTTTAATTTAATTTTATTTTTTAGTAGTACGTACTAGTATATCCAACACCACTATGGACCCATACCCAATAAAGCAAGTTTACTGTCTTTCGACAATTTACCTTTTTGCAAATGCTCGTGGTTTCATTATTTTTCGCTGAACCAATTTTCGTTGTTTTAATTTGTGGTTGACCCGGAAAACCATCAAGGATCGAACTACACATTAATAGGACGAATTACTGATTTTCACGAAGTTACATTTCAGCGAACAATTAATCGCTACCTCTCGGGCCTTTCTGACCTGGGGGGGGGGGGGGGGGGCACGAAGGCCTGCATATGTGTGGCGGTCATGTCATGTTGTAAATTTTGAATTTACTGTCACACGGTAAATTCAAAATTTACAATATGACAGTCAGACGGGTTCGATCGCCGGTGGCCAGGTAGGACCGTAGCGTTGGTGGAGCACCTGACTGGAGATTCAGGGGGTCCGGGTTCGAATCCCGGTCTGGTCCGTCGCATTTTCTCCTCTCCCGTTGGTGCCGTGCCATGGAATTGACAGGTGCAAGACATGCCAGGAAAGAGCCTGAGTGGGGCCGAAGACCTTTAAGGAGGGAGGAACAGGTCAGACAGGTCCGATCGCCAGTGGCCAGATAGCTCAGGTGGTAGAGCACGACTGGAGATTCAGGGGGCCCGGATTCGAATCCCGATCTGGTCCGTTGCATTTTTCTCCTCTCCCGCTATACATGATAACCCCCTTCAAATGTAGGGCGACCTCTTATCTGTAAATTCTGGAGCTTAATTTCAATGAATGTAAAAATATTACCTAAAATATACTAAAGAGGGACACACAACTGTCTATTCAGTACTTTGATATATAGGATATATTTTCGTATAACTTGTTTTAAAACGTCCGGTTATACATTCGAGGTGTTTTTGCGAGCTTGCTGCAAAGACCCGAGAAGATGTGATTGGTCAACAAAATTGTATTTTTTTGCCAAAATCACAAAATTTGATCCCAATTCATGAAACCATAGTATATACTAGATGTAATGTGAGGATCATTTCATCATTTACATATTCATTCTGCAAAGTCATAACTAATCAAAAATTTGATACATGTATATATATACATGTATTTATATGACGTTTTGTTCAGATAATGGTGCAGCAAACTTTTAATAGAATGTAAGACTATATCTTTTAAAATACTATTAATAGAAAACAGAGTAAGTAAAGACAAATTTTATGCATGAATTTTTCACACAATATTCAGAGGAAAAATAAATTGTTATTATAAAACAGACATAACGAATAATTAAAAATATGTAAAATAATATTCAGAGGAAAAATAAAATATTATTATAAAACAGACATAATGAATAATTAAAAATGTGTAAAAATAATATTCAGAGGAAAAATAAAATGTAAAATGTTATTATAAAACAGACATAATGAATAATTAAAAATATGTAAAATAATATTCAGAGGAAAAATAAAATATTTTTATAAAACAGACATAATGAATAATTAAAAATGTGTAAAATAAAACAAAACGCCAATAAATATCCATGTAAAAGTCGGACGGTTATTATCCGAGACAAAGTAGATTATACAGAAATAATTAGAAAACGATAAAACACTCTTTTTCACACAGTCTTGTTTTATATGCATTATAGACAGAGATCCAGTACTTGTAGAGTCATGTAAGGAACTAAAAATTAATTGCCCTATAAAAAGCCGCGTACAAAAACAGCACTTTTGGTCTCTTTGCCAAATACATGTAAACGGAATTCAAATGTCCTGGATCAAAATTACAGCTGAATCCAAGTACTGAAGAATTTGAGAATGTTATCTAACTTATCTTAAATTTAGTAACACTGTGCATCAACAAAATTTTGTTAAAGTGAATTTGAGCATTTGAATAAATATAAAAGTTGTATACATGAAAGAACACTTGATTGAAAAACAATATCACAGAAATATAGATTTCTTGTATATAACAAATAAAAAATATTATTTTTTTATTCTTGTGTCAACTCGCTAGAATTCCATTCTGACAAAATAAGTCTGCCATCGTCAAAACTTAGAGTTGTATAAAGTATAAATGTATAAAAACAATTTTATAAATTGATAAACAAATGTATTTGATTTTAAATTCGTCAGTGTGCTTCCATTTCGTCAATTTAGGACCGGTACAGCCATTATAGTCAAATTTTCATATGCAAACATATATTTCTTTTTCAAATATCTTTGTCCGAGATAAAACTACAAAGGAAATAGCTTTATATCTTCATAAAGTCATCTGCTCGTCACATGACGGAACTGCTTTTCCCCCGTATGTGGCATAGTAATACACTGGGCGGGGTTTGTAGACTCCGATTTCGAATTATTGAATAATCGAATAAATTTTACTTAAGTATTTAATTTTCTTATTCATTGAAGTAAGGGATCAGGTAAAAATGTATGTATAAATGAATAGCTTTCTCTTTTTTTCTGGAGGGGTGGGGTGTTATGACGATGATCAAATACTAGTAGTTTACTCACGTTATAATTTTATGTATAAATTCTTTCCTCCTTTTCGCAAATTATTACATAAGAAAACTATTTGATCATCATAACAAAACCAAAACCAAATTTATAAAAATAGACACTATTTCTGTGTATATTTATCATAAGAGAAATCTTTCCATTCAAAGTCTTCGATATAAAATTACAAAAGCTCCACCTGATCAGCATGCACTTGCGAGGTGTTCTTTAAAATATTTAAGTGCACTATGAGCGGAAACACTTTTAAAAATACATGTGTATTTAAAAATAGCACAAGTTTGAAATGCTTCAAAATTGACCTAAAAAATATACATCTGTATTTATAATACTGAATTTTTGTACACGTGTCCAAGAAAGTATTTTGACCTCCAGTAATTAAAGTATAGTGCATCCCCAGCAGCATTGATCGGGATACTCCGGAGCATGGACTCTGCTCTCCAGACCGTAGACGAAGTAATTGACGTCCTTTTCTTTGTGCTGACAAAAGCATTGAGTCACTGGTACCATACGAATTATATGATGCTGAAATTAATTAAAGTACCTATGTTTTAAGAAAGAGGTGAATTGTGATGTCTTTTGGAATATTGTTCTGAACGATAAGGTAAAATAATATCTCTTTGGTAAGCAGGCTTAGGCTTTAAAGGATTATGCACAATATGATAGCCTTGTTCTTTGTGTATATTTTATGCATTTACAGTGTCGAATGTTGACAATAATTTACCTGCATGTGAATTCTACGATTAGGAAATTGATGACTGGCAACCAATCTGCCTGAAGCCGCATTTATTTCAGTGACTGGAAACCGAGATATCGGCATCACCTAAATGATTTACAATTGTCTCATTAAGGAATAACTGATATGTGATAAGCTGTGGGGTTAGGAGATCATACAAAACACGTACATGAAATCTGCATGAATGACAATTAAAGCCACTTATGCATGAATTACGGTATGATCCACTCTTCAACTCGATGAATACCCCCACCCCCTCCTTCACACCCACAAAATTCAAGAAAAGAAACTATACTGGACGTACTCTTATTTGTGTGTCCTCAAATCCTAGAGTCCCCGCAGCTTGTGAGACCAGATGGTCTGGTAGTTCCGTCTTCTCCACAACATGCTCCCCTATGTTATTTTTCCTGGAATGGACATTGGTGAAATCATGATGATTAAACTTAACAATTTGACTAGTCATTCCATTTGAAATACGAAACAATACATTGTCTTTTTTTAAATATTCAAAGATATATTTCTGGAGTTGTATATTTTTCATATTAACTTTTTTCAATATATTTAGAATCTCCTATCATATGTACATGTACTTTGAAATTACAGTTTCATCTCAGTGAGCGGGGCTTTTATCTTGCGTTGTCAGTCAGCAACACACAAAAATATTCAAACTATTGATGAAGGTGTAATATTTAACGGTATTTACATGGTAAAAAAATATATGAATTTTGATTATACACATACCAGTTGATTGTGAGTTTGATATACCATTTTAACTGACAGTGACTCTTACACACGGGGCAGGTTATCCGACCGTCTCCTCCACACCGCGGGCATCTACATATAGGAAACAGTCATACAACATGACACATTGTATTGTAATACATTAATTTTAAATATAAAATTAGTATAATAATAGGGAGAGGTCTTTTAAACTTACAAAATCTAATAATGATTTTTTTTTTGTTTCCAAAGAAAATACCCGGTAATATAAAAAATGTAGCCCTTTGGTTCGGTCAATCAATAGATATATTGACTTCTCAGAAAAGCATATCGACTTCGCACTTCGAGGTCAGTCGATATATCTATGATCGACCTCATCAAAGGGCTTTGTTATACCCTTATAAATATCTTTCTATATATTTATTACAAATAAAAAGTCGAACAAAGTAAATGTTTTTTCATCAGTCCACCAATTTCATTGTTGACCGGTCTGCCAGTCAAACATAAGAATTGTTAGACCGCAACGTCACTGCTACGTCACAAGCAATTAATCGTCGTTCAATGTCGGCGACACGGAAATAGCCAAAGTTTCAAGAGTTACCGCGTATGCTATCTGAAAGATGGCGTCACGGGAAAAATGTTTTGTAATAAATAATTTCTGTGTTATAATAATTTAATGATTTTTTTCATTCTTTGTTGTCATTTTTATTTAAAAAGCCAAAATATTACTTATTATGAAATTGTTTCATTATATGAGTAAATCTGTTTAAAGGTTTTAATTTTGGTGTTCTATCTTAAGTGAAGGGTATAACAAAACAGATATGGACTGGTATTCAGGCAACATATGATTTTTTTTGGACCCGGAGGTGAAAATGTTGCCCTTGACTTGCGGCCACGGGCAACATTTCACCTTCAGGTCCAAAAAATCATATGCTGCCTGAATACCCAGTCAATAAATGTTAAATATTTATATAATAAATGCATTCAATTATAACTCCGTGTTTACTATTTACTGATAGATTACTAGATTAATTTAATTAAATTACCGTTTGCAAAATTTGAAAAATGAAGGATAAAATCAAATAAAGACCTTCTTTTCCCTCCAAAACACCTTGAGCATGACACAATGCGTTGCTCTCCATTACGGTACACCCGTCTCCTTCCTGTGCCGCGACAAGTCCCGCATCTCACCTATTAAACGTGATAAACGACTCTATGTATGAAGACCACCTTTAAAAACGTTGTATGTTTTTATATATTTTTAATTCAACATTAATTAATTCTGCCGTCGAAGGAAACATATGAAAATGTACGTTTGGAAAGTAAATATACATCATGAGCTGAATTTTCTGAGTTAAATCAATTAGTATTCTGTTTGAAATTCTGAAAGAGAACATACCTTTCCTCTGCCCAGACATTTACCACATCTCACATATCCCCTCGCATTACATTTATGACAATCCTGAAAAAAAACCCATAAACTTTTATTTTTCTCTCTTTAATACCCAGAGCAATGGAATTTTTTATTAATTTCATCTGCTATCTGTAGATCTGTAGCTCACTGGTATGAAAAAAAATGGGATGGAATACCATCCAAAATTCTCAGACTAGTGACTAAAGACCGACAGCTGGTCATTGATCTGATTTTCATACAATTTTCAAATGTTCTAGATTTATAATTGAATTGATTACATTTCTCTGATTTCTGAAGCAGTATACTAATATAGAGAATGAAGAGGGTTTTTTTTCAATAATTGCACCCACATTGGTTTTTTATTTGGAGTGTCCTGAACCTAAGACCCCAAAAGACTGTCCACACAATGGATACAATCAGGCAAGGAAGTTTTATCACCGAGTTTTAGGCAAAACTTCCCTATAGGAGACTAGAAATTGGGGACGTACGCTATACTTGGTAAGTTGAATATATATCGAGGTCAGATCAAGGTCAGGTGAATCAATAATAGTTTTATCTTTAATAATAACGTAATCCTATATTTCATCATAAATTAATTTGAAAAGTAGAAGGAGATACATGTAGCGATAAATGTATAGTAACTGACCTCTACATAGGCAGTGAAAGGAACCTCGTGGTGCTGCGTTTCATCCACGAAATATTTACTGAACGAAGCTGGAATATCCCAGGGGCCCGGGGCTGGACCATTTTGTGGTCCGTTAACGGGTTGACCTGTTAAAATCGTCACAGATTTGTACATTGCAAAACTTAGTTTTATTAAACAGAAATCTTTAAGCAAGTATGTAGACTATCTATTATTTTTCGCAAAGGATTTCTTAAAATCATTATGAATAATTATTCTTGAGGAAATTAAAAGTTATGTACATAATTATATGTATTTTATAAATTATCTTAGAGTGATAGTTGTACCATGGAAAGGTTCAAAATCCCACTTCGTACTTCTTTCTTCTGTAAACGTTTCCAATACATACTAAAAACAATGTTATAAAGTTACAAGAATTAACCAAATTAAAAAAAAATTAAAGTTCATATTTCCCATGTTTTTTTTTTCTTTATTTGCTCTAGGGTAGAAGCAAGGGTAACTGTTTGGATGAGTGATTTAAACTTATTCATTTCTTTGAAATTAATTAACATTTCTATTGCCATATTATTTAACCTAATACTAGTTAGGTTTCTTTCATTTCAATTTTAAACTAAGTACATTATACTTGAGGGAAAAGATAAGAATATTTTTAAGAAATACATGACACGTATACACGCAAAAAGCAAAGAACAAGGTAAATTAAATTAAATTAAACTGTGAAATTTTAAACGAAGGGCACATAATTATCGAATCCGGATAGAGCCACGTAGTTTAATATCGTACCATTGAGTGTTGGGTCGATTGCGTGATCCCACAATGATGACGCGACAGTGCGATAGCGCGATGAAGACGCAATGACGCGATTATGCGATGACGAACATCACTTCATTGTTATCGCACCACTGCGTCGTAGCGCTAATTTCTCCATGGTACCGTCACCCATTTGTCATCGCGCTATCGCACTATATACCGTTATCGCACCATCGACCCAAATCTGAATGATGCGACAGTGCATGGACTACGTCGCCCTATCAGGGATACAGAACTATACAATATTTTGGTATAATGAAACCCTGCTTTTGTACCTCTGATTAAAATAACTATTCATACAAATATAACAACACTCACATGGTAAGAGGTAGATGATTGTAGTCCTTTGAATATCAGTTTTTCAGCTGCACCCTTTCCCCAGCAACACTGTTGTGAAACATGTTCTAATAAAGCTTGTCGCGCAGTCTCTTCGGAAATAACAGGTGCACTTATAAATAAAGAGGAATCTTGATTAATTCAAGTTTTACAATTTTGGAAAACTACATACATGTGATTTAATTTTCTTAATGGGCCTATTTGGGTATTTTCATGATTTTGAATACTAGTATTACTTAAATTATTATATACAGTGTATGCATTGTGCTCGTTCTATTAATCGTTTTTCCTGTAATTTTAGAAATTAAGTGCTTGATTGAAAATGTCTGTTGCTTGAGGCTCCCACACTGAAAATCGATCCCTTGAGGAATCTAGCATTATAACTATCCATATTAACAAACTCTGTAGGAATCAAGTACTAGTATATTTCAGGCTAATGTTGTTTTTAAAAACTCAATAGTTTGGGATCAGTTTGATCTCTATGTTTTTAAACATTAATGATTCTAATTTAAATCAAACTAATTGTCTACAGGATGTATCCAATTCCATAAAAACTTGTAAGGAATAATAGTGCAATACCTCATGAAATCCGGCTGTTTACTATCCTTAGGGGGTACAAATTCAATGGGTGGAGGGGGAAGTAAGGCTGTTAATCAGAAACATCGATATGTTTATAACTGTGACAGAACAATTAATTTAAGTGTTCAAAATTTTATTCATTATTTCGGCAAACAAATTTTACAATATCTGTTTGAATAATTCAATATACGTAATGTCCTTTCAGTTAGAAATTATTATCATTTCTATAGCAATAAATCATTCATTATACACGTATTCAATTGTATTTCTCTTACATTGGTCGAGTCGAACATTGCTATATCCAGGTACCGTGGCAAAATCAAGTTTTGGTTTGACTTCAGTTCCCTCTGCATTAAGGCCCTCGCAGACGACTTAAAAAAAATGTAAAATTTACATAAATTGAAAAAATTCTTTCAGGGGATTGATTTTGATTTGAAGGAGCTTTAGTTGTCTTTTTTCACAAAATTTGATTTTATGAAAGCCACTCCAGATTATATATTTCTACGGAAGCCCATTTAGGACCTATCAAATATATTTTTGAATTCGATATAACGAATTGTCGAATTTGTTATAACGAATTTGATTCGATATAACAATTATAACGAATTCAATCTGTTATATCAAATTTGTTGAATTCGTTATAACGAGTTCAAAAATTTGTTATAACGAATTAAATTTGTTATAACGACTTCTAAAACTTAATTGTTATAACGTATTAAATTCGTTAAAACGGATTCCTTAATTTGTTATAACAAATTAAACTCGTTAAAACGAATTTGACAAATCGTTATACATGTATCGAATTCATATATATTTTTGTATAGGATCCGATTGTTAAGTTTGATAAAACGAATTTAAATTCGTTATAACAAATTTATAATTTGTTTAAACAAATTTAATTTGTTATAACAAATTCTTGAATTCGTTTCAAGTAATTTAATTCGTTATAACAAATTTTTGAATTCGCTATAACGAATTCAATAAATTTGTTATAACAGATTAGATTCGTTAGAACGAATTCAAAGAAACTGTTATAACGATTAAATTCGTTATAATAAATTCCGACAATACATTATATCGAATTCAAAAACATTTTTTGATAGGTCCTAAATGGGCTTCCGTATATTTCCTTTATGAAAGCAGTATATAATGAATTCAGAGATTTCAATCAATTCTTGCTCTCAAAGATTGCACATAATATAAATTGTTTATATACTTCATTGAAAAATTTTTTAGCTTGCAAGCCAATAATTGTTCTTTATATACCGGTATTACATTACACTATATAAGCAGTTACTTATAGTGTGGGTCTGTATCTTTTTTAATTTTACATGAATTTTTTTTTTTTTTTGGGGGGGGGGTTACGAACTAAATGTTTTATTGGTCAATAATACATGTACATACATGTGTATCAATATGCAATGTATGAAAGCTACATGTAAAACCCCTTTAGTACAAATAGTTTCCATTTACCTGGTTCGCTTTCATCCACTTGATCGTCATCACTCTCAGGACTGTAAATATATGATATTTTAAAGTTTTAATCCCTTTAATATACATTTATAACAATTAAATGAGTACGCAACGCCATCGAACCTAGGGTATACGTTCAGAGTGATCACACCCCTTTAAAAAACAAGATGCCTATGGGCCACATCACTCATCCGAGCATATTGGCTGGGAAGAAGCAGAAATAGTTCAGTATTAAACCGGGGGAGGGGGGGAAGGACTTAAATTTACACTACCTCAGGATGCTTCCATATCAATATTACTAACCATGGCTTTGCTGTTCTTAAACAAAAGAATTAAAAAAATTTTCCCCCGATGTATTCCTATGTAAAACTCTGATCTCTCATTGTGGCACCACCCTACCCAGCCTAAATTTGAACAAATTTGAACTACCCGAGGATGCTTTTTAATAATATGACTAATCATGGCTTTGCTGTTCTTGAGCAGATAATTTTTTCAAGATGATTCCTATATATTCTTATGCAAAACTTTGACCTTCTGTTTTGCCCCCCCCAACCCCTGGGGTCATAATTTGAACAAACACGATTCTACAATATCTAATGTTGCTTCCGTATAAATATGACTAATAATGGCTTAGTTGTTCTTGAGAAGAAGATTTTAAAGATATTTCCTATGTATATAATGTGTATGATCAGGTTCTTAAAAGGAATACAAAGGTTTTCTATTTATTTTCTCTGAGTTAATGATTGGAATGATTATTAAGACACCTCTGTCTGAGGGTATATCACACAGTACTTAAATTTCCTCTTATCTAGCGACGGGGACTGGGTAAGGTACTACTTGCACCGTGTTTCTCCCCTAGGTTCCCACTGATAGATAATTACCGGGTATTTCTATCTTCTTCAGATTTTAATTACTGCACCCAGATCTTAATATCAATTCCCTAGGATACTTGACACTGGTGTTTTTTAACTTAACTTCTTTATTGCTGATTCAACGTGCAACTTCTTATGGTAGCTTCTGAATGTTAGAATTTCCCAAAGCTTTGCCTTATATACCCTTTGGCTAGTCCATTCCAAAGGTTGTCAGGTCATTCCAATATTTGAAGTCTTCAATGCATTTTACTCAAATATCCCTTACACCTATATTTTCCTATGCAAAACTTGACCCACTGTTGTTGCCCCGCCCTTTCCCTTGGGTCATGATTTGAACAAACTTGAATCTACACTACCAGAGAATACTTCTGTATTAATATGACAAATAATGGCTTCACTGTTCTTGAGAACAAGATTTTTGAAAATATTTTCTATATATTCCTATGGTAAAGTTGGATCGCTTGTTGTGGCCCAGGCCCCTGCCCCACCCCCAGGGGTCATGATTAGAACAAACTTGAATCTACACTCCCTGGGAATACTTCTATTATTAATAATATGACTTATCATGGTTTTGCTGTTCTTGAGAAGAAGATATTCTTAAAGACATTTTCTATATATTCCTATGTAAAACTTTGACCCCCTCTTGTGGCCCCGCCCTACTCTGAGGGATATGATATGAACGGGATTATGATATGAACAAATTTGAATCTAGAGTATGTAATGAAGCTTTCACAAAAGTTTCATCTTTTCTTGCCCAGTGGTTCTTGAGAAGAAGATTTTTAAAAGATGCCAACAAATTTTCACGAATTCTTAATTATCTCCCCTTGAAACAGGGCGTGGCACTTCCTATGAACAAACTTAAATCCCCTTTACCCAAGGATGCTTTGTGGCAAGTTTGGTTGAAATTGACCCGGTGGGTCTAGAGAAGAAGTCGAAAATGGGAAAATTTTACAGACCATCGACAGACAACGGACGACAGAGGGACACTGGACACAATTTCATCAGAAAAACTCACTTGATCCTTCGGCTCAGGTGAGCTAAAAACACTTGAAAAAAATAATGTTTGTTTATTAAAATATATTAATGCTGCTTTATTTTCGTTTATTTGATATGTGAAGAAATGACTTTAAGAATACAACAGAACCCAAAATGGTACCTATTTATTTAAAACAAAAATACCTGGCTCTGAGGAGGTTTAACCCCTCCCAGCCCCCCACCCCCCACCCCCGCTACTCCTTTTGGCTGAGAAACCTGGCGATGCCCCCGGTGCTCATTGCGAAATCTTAAGGTAGAACCTATGTCGGAAAAGTCTTTGTCACAGGATTTTCAAACTTTTCAAAATGAGAAATTAGCACTTGCTTATTTATCAGTTAAAAATACATGGCATGTTTCCTTAATTGTTATTAAATGTAGTGCAGTCGGCGCAGTTTAGAATGATTATTATACACTGCAACTATAATTTTCAGCCATTTTAGGGGGAGAATAAAGAAAATCACAAAAATACTTCTTCAAACATGTTGTTTATAGACTTCAATAACTGAAGAATAGTTAGAAATATTATCAAAAATTAAATTCCTTTTTCTTCAATTGACATAAAAGATTAAATCCACATTTCAATAAATATACTCAAATGCACTCAATATTTTTAAAAGGATTTTTTAGTCCATCTACAACCCTTAATTTGTAATCTTTGTGACAGTGTTTTCAATCCTTAATATTATGAAAAACATACGATTACAAATGATTACGAAAAATGATTAAAATATATATCTTTCCCAGCAAACTAATGAGAGAAATATTTTTTATCAATACAAGTCATTTTGACCTTTATGCACTTACACAGGATTTCATGATTAAATGTATGTTTTCGAGTTACTTTTAGATTTACAATATGAATAATTATTTATCCAAAAAAAAAAAAAATGAAATTTCTATTTTTAAAAATTAATATTTAGCAAATTGTTTTTATTATACACAAACCACTAAAAACCAAAATGAATAATTAAGAAATAATTATGAAAATTGATACTGTACTTTTCTTTTCATAATAGACATTACAAACATTCAACACAATCTTTAATAGATTTAAGACTCTGACGATATATCATCAAGATATTTGTTCTATTTAATAGTTGACTGAAGATTTCTTAGCAATTTTGCATTCCTTCAAAATAGTTGCATGTCATTTATTTTTCAGAGTTGTGTCATTAGCTGAGACAGTCTTGCATTCGTTCACTTAACTATGACGTCATACGACGTAGGTTCTACGTTAATTGCAGTAAAAGCGCGTTAGGCTCTTCCCTCATTTCAGTTTTTTTAGCTTCACTGAAAGATAGAATCATGACTATGAATAAGTCAGGCAAGTACTGAGAGAGAGATTTTTTGTTCTTTTTGTTTTTTGTTTTTTTAAAAATAAAAGTTCTTTGCACTTTTTAGATAAGAAATATGTCAAATAAATCTTAACCGGGTGGCAGTAAAAACAAAATTTACATGACAAATAAATAAATAAATAAATAAATAATACATGTGCGGCTAAAATTATTACTTTTACTTATAATAATATGGCTTTAGTTGCTATTTTCATGAATTTTGAAGAAGGTTTGTTGTATCATCTATCCTTGAAACTACTTATTCGTTATGGTCTATCGAGTGAAAACGATGTCGCAATGAATTTAAAATACAAACTAAAATATTGATTAGCAGAATATGGGATTATTTTTTTTTACATAAGGGGATTGAAAAGCGAATGATTGCAAAATGCGTATATCTTGTAACCCTCCCCATACCCCCTCCCCTTCCCACTTTTCTTCTCATAAATAGAGCATAGATCTAGGAAATGTATTCGTCACGCTCTATTTGCTCAAAATGTAATATATCAATCATAAATACACTAGCAACCCACAAATATGTCATATCAATGATAGGAATCTTTTTATCGCAGTATAGTAAAAAATCTTTCAGATAATACACCATTCACGGTACTTACCCAACGCTTGTCATGGTTACGGTGATTTGGATTTCTTGGGTGTCTTGAATGGCAACGTTTTCGTCTAATGTCCAATTACTTATACAAAGAAGAATTATAAGTAAAGATTTAAACCCAATATGCATGATTATGGAGCGCCATCACTGCCTTATAGGATAAAAATGTCAACTTATCATTACATGATGTGAACATACCTTTACGTGATGGCAACTTTTTATGAAGTAAGGTAAAAATACCTTAATATTATGTCAATACTATATTACACGAAGTAAATATATTCTTCCATTATGTCAACACATTGTAACTTGATGGCAGAAGTTCATTATGTGAAGTGAAAATATTTTTGCATTGTGTCAAAACTTTGTTGCCTGAAAGAGATATTTCTTCACATCATTTCATTTCTTTATTACGTGATGTCAAAATTGCATTAGGTAAAGTAAAAATATCTTTACATAATTATATTCTGTAATTAAACTTAGCATTACGTTAGGTCAAAAGTCCATTTCTTTTCAAAGTGCGTGTATCTTTACATTACATCAAAGCATTACGAGATGTGAATGTATCTTTATATTACGCCAGAAGCATGATGATGTGAGGTGAATATATCTTAACGCTGTGTCAATACTTTATTACGTTGTGGGAAAAAGTTAATTACGTAATATGAAAATATCTTTATATTATATCAACACTTCATTACATAATGTCAAAACTCCATTCCATGATGTGGATATATAGTTAGGTTATGTTAACTCTTTCTGATGTGATGTAAAAATATCTTCATATTGTGTTAACCCTTTATTACGCTGGTGCCAAAAGTTCTTTATACTTTATGTAAAATTACATTTACATTATTTCAAATCTGTATTTTTCTATATGAATTGCGAACACATCTTTATTATGTCAATACTCATTACGTGATAACGAATGTTTGGTACGTTTTCAGTGAAGTTATCTTTCCATTTCTTTTGTTGAAAGAGGACGTAATTACATCAATTTAGTATAGAGTGGACGTGGACGACTGCGTTTTTGCTACTGGGACAGGCCCGTAGAACGCGGGAGAAGGGAACGGTCTCCAACTTTTTTCTGAGTATAGCACTTTGCTGTAGTAAATTGACCTGTAGATGCTGTTTTTGCTTGTCATTTTTTTTCTGGGACCCCCCCCCCCCACTTTGAAACCGTTGCTGCGTACGGTCCTGTGGGAGGGAGATTGGAGCGGACCAGTCCTTTTTCCAATCAATCCGGGGCCAAAATATCTATCTCCAAAATCGGCCAGTCCCCTATCTAAACCAGATGTCCATGTCATAGAAAGCACGCACACACCATGGCCGTAGGAACCGGGGGAGGGGGCACGGGGGGTGCCCCGCCCAATAATTTTGCCGATATATAGATTACTATAGAAAACATAGCTGCTATATAAAACATCTGGTGACCTCCTTTTTTTTTTTTTTTTTTTTTTTTTTTGCTTGTCAAGGAATTTTTGGTAGTTGATAGTGATCCCTCAACTAAAAATATATGGCTGTGCCCCCCCCCCCCAAAAAAAAAAAACAAACTGAAATTGCTTCCTACGGGCCTGCACACATGTGATACGATGTGTTTACACTTATTGAAAAAAGGGATGGTTAACAGCTGCTAAAAAGCTAAGGACAATGTCTTGTAGAAAGATAAGAAATAATAGACCTTTATGAAATAATTCAAAATATTAAAAAAAAAAAACTGCATAAAACAAAATTTTATGTAACATTTGATGGGCGAAAATTGTCAGGTTAAACTAACTGAATTTCAGCGTTAAAAAAATATAATTTTACATCAGTTAATAACGACTCCACAGTAACATAATCCTACATAAGTTTAAACTTGATATTTAAGTGAGGAATAATTATAGGTCTAGTACGAATTCTATATTATATGTCTTTTTTTTTTTTGCATGCGTAACATAAAATGAACTTTCGGCATAACCGACGTATAATCTGTGTAATGATCGGTATACTAGTAAATAAACTTCATATAGTAAACTTTCTGTATTGTATAAAGATATATTCACTTCACACAAAGAGTTGAAATAATATAAGATATGATGCTGACAACAGACTATGCACTATTGGCACAATGTAAAGATACAATGGCATAACGTAATAACGATATGATTTGCCAAAACGAAACGGCAAAATCACATCACGTAATGGATTAATCACATCACGTAATGGATTTCTGCCATCACGTAGCATATTGTTGACATAATGTAGTAAAGAATTTACCATATATATATATATATATATATATATATATATATATATATATATATATATATATATATATATATATATATATATATATATATATATATATGTCAATTTTTTCACATCATGTAATGAAATTCTGACATCATATAAGGAAGAGTTGATATATGAGGATAAATTCACATAATGTAATGAACTACTTGCACCACATAATAAACAGATAAAGAGTGAACTCACATAATGTAATGATAAGATGATACAATATAGGTATTTTCAGAGAATTTATGAATTTTCGAGAACATCTAATAAAGAGTTGACATTATATATAGATATATTGACATAAAACAGATGAATTTTCACATAAAGTTAAGAATTTTTTGACTTGATGTAGCACTATATCGCCATGATGTGAACACACCATTACATCACGTAATGAACATTTAACCTCACGTAATAAAGAGTTGAAATAATGTAAAGATATCTTCCTATCATAAAATAAACTTTTTTTCTAACGCCATAAAGAGTTGACACAATATAAAGTAATTAAGGTTGATATATACAATGCAATTAAAATGTTCTTCTATAAGACAGTGAAGGCGTTCCGTACATATAGGTTTAAATAACACTTTGTGGAACTCAACATTTCGAAATCTAAAAAAAAAAAATACCAATTGGTATTGAACTTTAAATACTTAATCAAAACTTTATGGTTCGGTTAGCAGGTCACCCACTAGATAGGTGGTCAATCAGGGCATATACTTGTAAAGGACTTATCAAGAAAGAAAAAACACTGCTAAGAGTTAATTATCTTTACTTTACTATACTCATTTTAAATGAAATGTAAATATATTACACAATTAACTAAATATATGAACACCCCAAATCATTTATCAATTAATGTGAAAAAATACGAAAATTTCGTTTATTGTAAAACTTACCTGCGATCAGCGTTTCACGAAAATGAATGTACTTGTAACCATGAACTGAATAGCTCTGACAGACTGGTTAGTTCGGATACATAGATGAAATATAATCGAGATAATGAGAAATAACTTCCTGATCAATAGGATGTGCTAGTATAAACAATACTGATTAGACTACAATTTCCAAAGCTGCTGATACCGTACTATTCCTGCATGTGTATTCCATAGAAGGTTGAATTAGCTAAAAACCGTTGCCTTTCGGTGTCTTTTTTTCTTCATATCAATAATTAAAGCTCCATACTGAGAAAATCAATCTCATTATTTATAACATTGTTAATAAAAACAAATAATTATAGCTTTTCAAAAAGCTTGCCTGACTAAAGCAATCAATAGTATGTATTAAGTGATTAAGAACGTCAATTCTGCTGAATAAAAAAAAAAAGAAAATTCAAAATACGTTTTCATTAATAATTGTTTAATGAAAATGATAGATTTTTATTACGGATACAAGTTGTTGACCGTCGTAGTGCGAAACATTATCGATTGTAGGACACCCACGTGTGATTGCGGTGTACTACTTAAAAGACGAGATCACCCGTAGGTATATCCGAGGATGGTGAAACGTTCCAGGAAGAACTGTCTTTGGATGCGAAATGTTTCGTTACCGTACATTTTGGAGGATTTTAATCCCTTGTTTAACAGGTCGAGGAATCTATTTTATATGACAATTATTAAATATGGCACGCAGCAGAGCTTATAATTGTCCAATCCGATATATAAATAGCAGAGAGTGATGGTCTACTACATTGTACATGTTTATATTTTATTACAAACATGTGGTTCGCGTCACTTTACAAGGTAATATTTATTAAATTGCGGGGAAAACATTTGAAACTCATTTTCATTGCTTTTATAAAAATACAAAGATTATGTACTAATAAAGATGTTCCATAATCCGATTAAGAAGCGAAATTATTTTTCTGAGTTAAATAATAAATTGAAATCCCACTACAAAACCATCACAATACTAGCATTTAAAACTTGGAAATGAGAACACGTGAACTGATTCCATGATTCCAGGGAATCCACGTGAAATTTATATTCCCCGATACTACAAAATGGGAACAGACAATTGTCCACAAGTCGCCTTAGACAACAGAATGGATAATTAAAAGCTAGAATTCTACTTTATAAATCAATATTGTTTGTATAAATGAAATATATGATAATTTCTTACACACGTATGATGCTATCTTGGATAAACATATACCTAAAAAGGTAGTCACAATTAGGCCACGAGATATACCATTCATGAATAATAGTATACGTCTAAGAATAAGGCAACGAAATCGTATACACAAAAAAACAAAACGTAAAGATTGCCCAAACCTATGGTGTCATTTCAGAGAATTGCGAAATGAGGTAATTTCTAAGGTTAGAAATGCCAAAGAAAAGTATAAGAAAAAACTTACATCTCAAATACTTAATAAAGATATTCCACCAGGAAAATGGTGGCGAATTACAAAATCAATTGCAAAACTTTCAAATAAACATAAACCTATGCCTCCCTTAAAATCAAATGGTCAAATTTTACTTCATCCATTAGAAAAGGCAGAAGCATTAAATAATTTTTACTCAAATGTTTCTAGTGTTGATGAAAGTAAAACCTTGCCTGAGCATGGTCCTGGTCCTCCCTTAGTAACCATAGAAAACATATTTGTCACTGAACAAGATGTGGCTGATCAATTGAATAATTTAAATGTAAGCAAACCCCCTGGTCCAGATGGTATAACACCAAAGATTCTTAAACAATTATCCTCCTCCATCTGTAAACCACTAGTAAAACTTTTTAATAAGTCGTTTGAATTAAAACGTTTACCAGATGTATGGAAGCAAGCTTATATTACCCCAGTTTTTAAGGGTAAAGGTAGTCCTGACTTAGTTAATAACTATAGACCAATTTCACTAACTAGTAGTCTTTGCAAGATTATGGAAAAAATTATATTTAAATATTTGTACAATTTTATATTAGAAAACAATATCTTAACAAAATACCAGTCAGGTTTCCAACCAAATGACTCAACTATCAACCAATTAGTGGAAATTTATAATACGATTATATCAAACCTAGATAAAGGTAAAGATGTTAGATTTATCTTCTGTGATATTTCAAAAGCTTTCGATAAAGTTTGGCATAAAGGTCTACTTTTTAAATTAGAATCATATGGTATTCAAGGTACATTATTAAAATGGATCGAAAATTATTTGGATGACAGAGTTCAAAGAGTGGCCTTAAATGGGTTCTATTCTAATTTTAAACCTATATCTGCAGGTGTTCCTCAGGGTTCTGTTCTAGGTCCTTTCTTATTCCTCCTGTATATTAATGACATAACTGATAATTTAGCTAATAATACAAGGTTATTTGCAGATGATACATCACTGTTTATAATTGTAGATAATGATGTTAATGCAGCAGCAATATCACTTACGTCTGACTTAGATAAAATTAATAAATGGGCTTCAACATGGGCTGTGGATTTTAATCCAACCAAAACCTGTAATTTAAATTTTTCAAGAAGTTCTAATGACCATCCCCCAGTCCATTTTGGGTTTAATGGTAGTATTATTAATGAATCTAGAACACACTGTCATCTTGGACTCCTTTTCCAAAATGATGCCAAATGGTCATCTCATATAAATAATTTATATGAAAAAGCTTGTTCTCGGCTAAATCTTTTAAGAATGTTGAAACATTTGCTAGATAGGAGTGCATTGATAAAAGTTTATTTTGCTTTTATTCGACCCATTTTAGAATATGGTAGCATTGTCTGGGATAATTGCTCACAGGAACTTTCAAATCTTTTAGAAAATATTCAAGTAGAAGCAGCCCGAATAATAACAGGACTTAGGAAAAATTCATCCAGAAATGCTCTGTATTTAGAATAAGGTTGGGAACCACTAAATAATAGAAGGGAAAGACAAAAACTCTTGTTATTTTATAAAATTGTGTATGGTATAGCCCCTCTCTATTTGCAAGAAATGGTCCTACCTTTTATGCCACCAAATCATGGTTACAATCTTAGGGATATTGGTAATTTTAATTTTGTCATACCTCAAGCAAGGACAGTGTCATATTTCAACAGTTTTCTGCCTTCTACTATACAATTATGGAACAATTTACCATAGAAACAAAATGTATTGAATCCTATTCAAGTTTCAAGAATATCTTAAAGAAACCTACTATAGACAGAATAAAGAATGTCAAGATCTTTAATTATGGTAATCGCAAGGAAAACATTATACATTGTCAACTACGTAATGAATCTAGTAATCTAAATGCTCACTTGTATAATCATTATTTAAGTGAAATGGCATCTTGTACTAAGTGCGGATATCCGAACGAGGATAACTATCATTTTTTCTTAGAATGCCCTGCCTATGATAATCAGAGAATGATACTTTTTGACAGTCTTCAGAGTATAATAGATTTAGAAACCCTCTCTCCTGATCAAATTTTGAATAATTTGCTATTTGGTGATAGGCAATTACCTGATAAAACTAACTGTTCAATTTTTGAAGCAGTCCAACTATACATCAAGTTTTCAAAGCGATTTTGATATTATTTCATATTTAAGTTTTAATATTAATTTCCTAATATTTTTGATATTTATACTTATTTCAAATCTCAGCATTTCCATGTATATATATTGTATTTTTTCTTGGATATTTGTCTTTTGCATTTTCATTTTTTTTCTTTATTATTATCCAGTGTTTTTGCTTGTTCCAGATTTATTTATTTGTTATTATAAATTTTATTTTCTTTGCTTTTTTTTTTTTTTAATTTCCTTGCATATTTGTCTTTTGCACTTCATTTGTTTACTTATTCTATTTTGTTGTTTGTTTGCACTCTTTTATTTTTTTCATTATATTGTATAGTGAATATACATGCTAAGTAATAACTCTTGTGAATTTATTAATCTATCTCTCTTTTTTTCCCATTTCTAGTTAAAAAAAGAAATTAATGTAACTTATGAATTATTTCATCATGATTGTAAATCATTGTCAATTCTTAACATCTGTAACCTTGACCTTCTTGGAGAGGACTTATGTAGGCCATGCCTGATGTCCAATCCAATTATGTAAACTGTCTTTACATAATAAAATACTGATTAAATTAAATTAATATTGTTTGTAAATGTGAGGATGGAAATAGTAGATAATGATGAACATATATTGTATTTAATCTGTAAAATGCATGAAAAATTACAATGTGCTTCCCAGAACGAGTACAAAAATTGACATAAAGTTTCAAAATGTTCTTAAAGTACGTATCTGTGCTTACGAAAGCAACATGACTATAAGTGGAATATGTACTTCAATGTATATCTGTGACATTAAAAATTTAGACTTTCCAATTAAGTTAAACTTATCTATAACAGTCTGTTTTAGATAAGTTTAACTTGATAAAGTCCGAGGCTAAACTTTTAATGTAACATATAACATTCGAAAGAAGTTATATTTATATTGCTGTTACACATGTATATTGGAATTAGTAAAGTGGGTTTGAATTATAAACAAAGTAAGAAATTAAAAGAAAACAAATAAATGAAATTGATAAAACTTGAAATCTTTTACATGAATGTGTAATTAAGGAAGTCCGATCCTCGGGTTCAGAAAATCAGGTTTTAAGTAATTGAAAATGCTCACAAAAATGTCTCTGATTTCACATAGTACATGCAACGTGGATTTACCCATGGAATTTCTTCAAAGTTCTTCATTATAGTTAATCATATTATATAAGAAAAATTATAAAATCTCAAATATACACGTATTTTCAGGAAATGCGAATAAAAACACCTGCTATGCATTTTCTAATTGAAAATTGATCAACAAATATAATTTAGGATAGAAAATATGTGTATCCAGGCATTAGGAAAAAACTGCATCTTTTTATGCTTATACAGTATTTTAGTTCTTCTTACTTCAATTATCATATAATACTTAGTGTAAAAAGCTTGTGCTTTTATTGCTAGACATCACATATCACATCTAATTTCATATCATGCTAATAAGCATTGGTATCTAATGCTAGTTACAATTGTCAATTTTTTACATGACCGTTTCTAAGACTTCAAAGAACCTTCAATCATATTAAAATGCATAAAATGAAAATTGTTGTACGAAAAGATCTCATTTTCAAGCTTCATTTTGAGACTTTTAAAATAAAATAATAATTTTAAGAGTTATCCCTCCTGACTGAGGATCGGATATCCTTAATCGGACTAGTCCACTTTTGGGATAAACAGGAAAATAAAATAAAATGTACGATAGAGACAAGCAAAACCAATCTATTAAAAGTCTACGGGCAGATCAAATCGGAATTAAGTTAGACTGTTGGATAAGGGACTATAAAACTCAACATAGATAATTTGCAATGCTTATTTACATTTAACTGTATAGCTTGTAAAAGAAAAAAGTATAAATTATATACATATATTTTTTAAAAAAGTTTTTTTTTTATGTTTATTGAACTACTGTTTTCTGCAAAAAAAAAAAAAAAAAAAAAAAAAAAAAAAAAAAAGAATTTTATCTTATTTTATTCTTTTTAATTTTATTGTTTGTTCGTTCGTTCGTTCGTTTATTTATTTATTTATTTATTTATTTATTTATTTATTTATTTATTTATTTATTTATTTATTTATCTATATACTCATTTATTTATTTATTTATTATTCATTCAATAAAATACATGTATGTTTAAAAAATCTCTTTTAACCTTATTTCAAATGAAATCATTTATAGAAAAATATGCCTGTAATTTTAAATTTCTTTGATTTTTTGCACACTTTTCTGTTATTTTTTTCCTATTATTTGTTTTATTTATTTTTATTTATTTATGCACAATTCATTTGCTGCAAAATGTTTTTCATGTATTCTACACTAGGTGCACTTTGTCGGATTTCTGTTAGAGTTATCTCCCTTAGAAATCGAGCATAAAATTTAGTACCAATAGCAGGGAACTATACATGTCCCTTCCACTTCCTATGAAATATTATTTGAAACCAAAGGAACAACATCATCAATTTGATTTGTAACGAAAATATAAAAATGACATTATTTTTCAGAATATATACAAAAATGTGCCACTTAAAAGCTTTCGATGACTCAGCGTAGTGATATACGATGTGTCATACAGGGACTATTTTATCAAAATGGAAGTCAACGATAAGTTTTCCCGAAAGAAGTTTAAATGTTCGATTTGGAGGATTCCTAAACTTCACAATGTGCATGAAAAAGCTTTCTGATTAATTTTAATTACAAAAACATTCTGCCGTTGATTCGATAGCGAACAAGTGTTGCTGATTTTCTTGGGCATTGTCTTTTTGTTTTTGTTTTGCATAGACGGAAGTGGAACACTGAATTCCAAATTCCTTTCAATTTAGGCATCGGTAAATCCTGGAGATGATGAATGAGATAAAGTATTACCATTCCAGGCAGTGGAGTTGATATATGTTGCAGGTAATGAATAAAGATCATCATTGTTTGCTTACATGCATGCAGCCCGAAATTCCTCCAATCAACACGTCTGGGACACGGTCTAGGTTAGACCATAAATATTTATGTCTGTCATTGTATTATTAGAAAAGGAAATGTATAAAACTCTTTCAAAGATAAAGCAGAAGAACTGCAGAGTCAACAGTATGAAAGATAAATGATACTGAACTCGGGCGAGAAAATGATTAGGAAATTGTGGCTGTCATTATATAACATATTATAATATTAGTTCATTCGCCACGCCGTATCCATGTTGCTCAGTTGTGAGCACTTTTTAGAGTTTAGGATGTCCAGGTTTGATTTCAGATCTAGTCTTTCACGTTGTAAAGTAGGTTGACTATTTTAATTACAATATCAAACAAAATTGATCCAAAAGGAAAAAAAAAGCATTACAGATATCTGACATGCATAAATAAGCCTTCATATCATAGGTACATGTTTCAATTTATTTTTACACTTTAAAAATTTATTATTCATCATCTCAAATTATTGATTATTCAGATCAGGTTAAATTTTGAATTTGGCTGAACAAATGTATATCCCGTATAGTTATATATTCAGTCAAAACTTGATTTAAATGATGTAGAACAAATTTTGGGAATAACTGTCTTCTAATTTGGTATTTGCGATTAACTGCTAATTTTACGGTCGCAAACTGAGTAAAACGGATGTTTGTGACCATTAAATCAGCATTAACAGTTGCAAGTAACAAATAAGAAGAGAGTTACTCCCATTCTAATGCAATTTGTGTATTGTCTTTGATGTTTTCATCTCATTTTGTTGAGTTTTGTTACATGACATACGTCACGAAGCATTGTGTTTTTGCGGCATTCTATTATGGCGTCGCAATCAAAAGCTTTCACTATCTTTAATGCTCATTTAACTGCCTCAAATGTTAGTGTATTAGCCAATCAAGATATGTTTTACAAAACAGTTGCATTAGAATGTGAAATTAAACTGATTTAAAAGCAAAGCATTTTGATGGAACTGTGTTTCCAGAGTGTCATGGCATCGAACCCAATGTTTAAAAAGAAAAATGAGCTGACATGTATTAAATAGCTACATGAAAATAAAAATAGCTTTAAAATGAATGAGCAAGGAATTTGATATTATTACATAATGAAGATAATTATGTATAGAAAGACGATCACATGTACGTGATGTAGGGAGTAAGTACAGGTAATTTGCTTCTTTTTTCCTTGATGGAAATAGAGCATCAGGGAAACGAGCCCTAAGTATAACCTGTACAGTGTATATACAACAGATATCAAACTAAAGTTGTTTACATGTACTAAAAGAGGAAAATATCATTTATTGAATATAATATTGTCAAAAATATGCAGTACAAGTGGTGCACATAATCTCCAATACAATATGTACTGTAAAATCACTTATTTTTGTGGGGTCAAAATTTTGTGGTTTGAGGAAAAATTGCTGATTTCAGGGGATTTGATTTCCTGGTTAAAGGAAGAAAATTAAAAAGCAGCATGTAATTTTTACATTTCGTGGGGATATGAATTTGTGGGTCTCTTCATTTCATGAAAACAATGAAAAATAAACCCCCAGAAAAATTTATGATTTCACAGTGTAAGATTTTACACTTTTCTTAAGCCGTTAATCCCCCCCCCCCCTTTCAATGAAATTTTCTGAGTACAATATTTACCGTAAGCATTTAGATATTTATAGGCCTATACACATGATACATAAGGTTGAAAAGCAAATTTTTACAACATGCATAAGGCCAGAAACTCAAATTCAAACAACATCATCAACAACAACAAAATCAAACAAAAGAAAACCTGAGTGTCATATCTCTACTTCTGCTCCCAAAATAATGGAAGGGGGATAATTTGAAGTATAATTCTTGCTTTAAGACTTTCATCATTTGATGATAGAAACTACTAGGACATTTTGGAATTGTTCCATTACCAGTGGTAAAAATTCAGTTTCCTGCCCTTGCATGGGATTTCATCTAGTTTAAGTATTAATAATAAGATTTTTGCTTTACTTCTTTGTGTCATGAATTTTTCTTTACAAATTTCATTCTGACAGTAAAACACTCAACTATATGTAATGAAACTGTATAAAATCTTGTATTTGTAGGAAGATTTACTATAAAAGAAATACTTGTTGTATTTCTGTATCCATTTGTATTATTTACAATATATATGACAAATTAGATGTGATAGGAATATGTAATGGGTGAGCATTGAGATACATTGTCAAGTTGAAGTCGAAAAACTTTCATGAGTTTCAAAAATACAAATATTGAAAATTATATATATATATTTCTTAAACAAAAGTACTAGATTCCATACGAAAAAATGTGTTTTCTGAATGTAAAGGCAATGTATGTATCATATAGATGATAAGAGAAGGATATATACAGGAGGTGTTTCATTGATGTATATTGCAATTCACATCCTCATGATCGTTTCAGAAGGTTTATTGAGAGAGATTACATGACCCCATTACATACTAGCATGAACCCCCCTAGCATCAGCCAGGAGGCTGTTAACAAGTGTTTCTGAATCTTTTTTTCTCTCAGTGTATCTTAAGTTTTATTCTAATTTTTGTTCTGTTGAACTTATCAGCAATCTCTTTTTAGGGGGATTGAGTTTCAGCATGTTTTTCAAGGGCTTATCTGAAAAGCACTAAGTCCCGCTAATTCATAGTAAAAATACACTGCTGGGATTGCAATTTCAATGGCTTTGGGAAAAATCCTCCTGTACAGAGTTCAGCTTCAGAATGAAGTGTTAAAATTTCTATCTTCATTTCGGTTCCAAATGTTTTGAATTTTCTTGGCTTTCAGATTTGTCCAATGTCCATTTTATAGGGCAAAACAGTAAAGGATTATTGTTAATGCATTTAATTTGATTCATTTATTTCATAAATTTAAAGAAATAAAACAGATCACCAACACTTTATGAGAATGCTGCAGTAGATTTATTTTGTTGATCCAGAGACAGTTGTCATTTATTTGATACAATTACATATTTATAAAAGTTTGTTCATCATGTTCATAGGATGCTTTTTTTATGCTCTCTATTTTCCTCAATCAGCTGTAAGCATTGTAAGATTCAGTCACTAAGATTAGGTTTGAAGAAAAGGGGAATAGAATGTTATTAAATGCCAATAATTTAAATAAAAAAATCCATGCTTTCCCGAGCTACCACCATAATGTACATGTATCTGTGTCATACATGCAGATTATCATGTATATGTGATAGAAAATATGGAATGACTTAATTATGTATATTCATCAAACACTAATTCAGAAGTAAATAAAGTTTCTTCATGCATAATTGTAGAGCATACAAAGCCCACATTTCTATATTTTACACAGTAGAACCTGCAGTGTAAATCAATACATCAGTGTTTGATGGAAAAGTAAAACAAATGTTTGTGTTCTCTTTTCACAGGGGTGACTAATCAAGACTGGCCACTGGTCACAATGGGGGATGAACAAACTGTAGTCGTAGCCAAGTATGACTACAAGGCAGAAAACGGTCAGGAATTAGACATCAAGAAACACGAAAAATTAGTGTTATTGGATGATTCTCGAGACTGGTGGAAAGTTCAAAATGCAAGAAATAAATCAGGTTATGTTCCATCTAATTATGTCAAGAGGTCAAATTCTAAGGCTTCCAAACTCTTCAGCAGAGTAAAGAAAAACCTAGCCAGGAGAAACAAAAGTGATACGAAAATAACAGGAACAAGTCCTGTGGTGAGTCGAAATGGGGACACAGGAAGTGATGAAAATAGTATTAGTAGTGACATCCAGGCCGTGGATCCTCAACCTGCAATTGTGAAATATAATTATGCCCCAAAACGACCTGATGAGATTGAATTATTCAAAGGAGAGCGTGTGATGGTATTGGAGAAATCCATCGATGGTTGGTGGAAGGGTAGAAAGTCGGACAATATAACTTCTGGATGGTTTCCATCCAATTATGTCGATTTGGAACCTTCGGAACAAAATGATTGTACTATGTACTCAACAGCTGCCTCTCTCGAAGATGACTCAGTGGCAGACTACTCTGTTGACCACCATCAAAATGTCCTCGCCTTGTACCCGTTCCATCCGGAAAATCCAGAAGAACTTGGATTTGAAAAGGGGGAGCGATTAGTTATCGTCAGTAAACCCTCAGATGATCCAGAGTGGTGGAAGGCAGTGAACAGTCAAGGAGAAATGGGATTAATACCTAGAAACTATGTGCAGACAATCGAGGTGGACGAGAAACTGGATGTGGAGTGTGAGACCAATGCAAGCTCCACCACACCACAATCACAGTCCACTAGCAGTCTTTCTAATGCTTCAAATCTCAGTGTAGTGGGGGTCACCAGTAGAAAACAGTTCAGGGTGTCGGGACCTCTGGCAGAGAAAGAGTGGTATTATGGGAAAATTTCTCGACAAGAGTGTGAGGATATGTTAAGGAAGTATGCTGCTGAGGGGGATTTTATTATCCGGGACAGTGAATCAGCTGTGAGTATTGAGTGGAAATAATAATTCCCATTTGTGTATTGTAATTATGAATGAAGATATGTGTATTTACACATCATCATATGAGTAATTACCTTGTTCACTGCTTTATGTAAATCTACAAGCAATCATTTGTGTTTATGCCAAGTAATTATATGAAATTCCATGCATAGTAAATTTGATTATTCATTATTTCTGTGTTTGCAAAGGGTCTGTTTGAAGTACGGTAATCACGTTGTAGTAACTGCACAATACAAACCTTGTTTTAAAAAGTTACTTATGAAATTCTCTACATCTTGTGTACCTAATTATGAATTGTGAAGAAATAGCATTTAGAATTTGTTGAGTGGATTAAATATCCATTCAAAACTAAGTACCTGCAAACAATGAATAATGATGTAGTATTAAGTGTGCATATACTGTATCATATCACACAAATGATAAAGTATTACTGATGCATACCTTGATTAACAGAAGCTTGATTAATTTGATTACAGAGTGGCAATTTTACGGTAGTGCTGAAGGCAACAGAGAGAAACAAACATTTCCGTGTACAAGTAAATGAAGAAGGATTGTATCAGATTGGACAACAAAAGTTTGCTAACCTCGACGACCTGATTGAACATTACAAAAAACACCCCATCTTCAAGCAGGAGAGTGAAAAACTGTATTTAGTCAAACCCTTCACCCTGCCAGCAGAATTTTGACAGAGGATGGAAGTTCGGTTGATTTTCATTCTGAGTAGATACTGACTTTGTGCACGTGATGGTCACGTAAATGTTCTCACTGTATTTGCTATGAGATTATGTGGGTATCTTATACATGTATTTATTTCTGTCCTAGTAGTTACTCTGCCTATCTTTTCTTGAACAACTTCAGAAGAATGAAACTCATGGAAGTGTACTGTTTACATACATTTGTCAAAGTTTTCAAACCTTAAAATGTTAATTGGAGAATTTTTTCCACAATTAAGAGATGAAGGATTTAGTAATAGAAATATTTGTCAGGAGAAATTATTTTTTAAGTTGGTGTTAAATGTACTTTTAATTTATTTTTTATGCAACTTTACTTGTGTTTGAACTTTTTTCCAGTTGTACATCATCTGAATCCTGATTGGTCATTCATGTCAATACAAGAAGCTTATTTCAAATTAAAATATATATGGGACATGTCAAAGGTGAATCTGTGTGAATAGCTGAGTTAGTGAACAGGAAATATGTACTATGTACATAGGGTACTATGTATATATATTGATTTGATTTATAGATACTTTGCTAAGCATTTCAGTAATTTTTCGAAAATGAAAACACAGAATTGTGAGGTTCTATGTATGATGTCAGTGCTTTATAGAGGTTTTAATTTTTCTGAATTTAAAGGAAAGTGGTATTTACATGTAATAGCATCATAGACAACAGTCGCTAAATGTCTTTGTAGTGAACTGTGTAATTTTTCAGGAACAAGGAAAGTGCTAAATTTAAACTCTTTCCCAACTCTTTTGGATTTGTTCCTGCACTTTAGAGGAGCATCCAGAAAATCTGTACAACTGTGTAAACTTATTTTGAACTGTGTTACACTGAAAGAATTGCAATATTCATGAGGTTTTTCAATAGATAAGATCCTCCCCATATCAATTTTATGGAAGAGTTGTATAAAACTAGTAATACACAAAATAATAATGCATTAAACGTATGTATAAGATGTAATTTATTAGTTTACTGAATGATGATTGAGCAGTGTTTGCAATGTTCATTATTAGGAATAATATCCCTCCGAAGTTGTAAATGATTTTATTCAGGGTTCCATTAGTCCCCCTCCCGTGTTATATGTAATAACTCTAGTCAATGTAGACAAAATGATTTCAGATTTTATTATGTACACAGTTTTCATACCCTCTCCACATAATGTATCATATGCATATATCTTTAATCTTTTTCTTGAACCTTTAGTGCTTATATGAGAATGAAAGATGCCATGTTTTGCTCAAATTGAGAAAAAAAAGGAATTTAATGCTGGGTATGGTCGTGCTTATAAATTTTCAGCTGTGCATAAGGAGGATTGTTTTGGGGTTTTGTATCTAGATAAAGAAAATGATATGGAATTTCCTTCAGACTTTCCACATTTGCTAAAATATGGAACACTGATGATCGGTTTTTTAAGGGTATTTTGATTGTTATGTCAGTATTTTTACATATATATTATGTCCAACTAGGTTTGAATTCATTTATGATAGTTACAAAATACTGAAAGAAATAAATGATAAAATATTTGCTTAAAAATGAAGTATACAACATAATATAGTTGCTTGATGGCTCTGACTCCTTCATACTGTGTATTGGTTCAATGTATTCAAAAGGAATAGATTATCTACAAATATGTTTCAAAATCACTTCTTCATCTCAGTCGCTATGACATTGTCTGTCGAGGTGCTTTTTCTTTTCAGCATTTCCTGCATATCCATGTACAGATGATTTGGTGTAATAATTATAAATATATCCAAGCATGTGAAAAAAAAAATCATTTTCAATGTGGCTATATAGGTTGTTTACAAGCATACATTTTTTTGTTAAAAGTACATGCATATTTGGTATTCCAGGTCAAAAATAGACAAAACACTCTGGTGCTTTTAAATACCAGTGTTCTCTAAATTTCTTCCCCATAACATTACGGATATGGAGATTTAAAGTACAGTGCACCATAAGTTCATTTTACCTTTTTTCTGAGTTAAATGTATATGCGTCTCGCATACATTATTAGTGTTCTTATTTCACAGTGGAAATAGCTACTATACTAGGATTTCATATGCAAGTTCGGTATGATGTATAATATGTAAAAGCAACAGATAACTCGTGAGAAAGAAAACATTTATTGTGAAATCACAAATTTTCTTGGGGGGTTAATTTTATTTGTTTTTTGTGGTATGTAGAGACCTCCATGTCATGTTAAAATTTCTAACTACAGTATCCTGTCTTTTCTTCAACCATGAAATGAAATCCCCACAAACCAATATTTTTTTTCTCAAACCAAGAAAATCTGACTCCATTATATAAGTGATTTAACAGTACACAGTAAGCTATTTGATCATGTTGATAATCCAAATTCATTACATCCAGGCTACAGACTAGGATGTCTCATTCGTTTACACTTTTTTTGCAAAAAAGAATTGTTTTTCTCAAGTACAATAAAAACATTTACTGTACTGATTTCTTTTTTATCTCTCTTGGTTGTAAGGGATACAAAGATTTTGAAATTTGATATTGTTTGATAGAATATAATTTTTGGGGGGAAAGGGAGGGGGGGGGGAGAAAACATTTTTTTAATACTAAGTTGACAGTATTGAGTCACAGTTTTGTTAGTTTATGGTTTATATCCTATCATTGTTTGATTGCAAGATATGAAAAGTTTTGAAAAACAAATTTGGAGAAACGGGTCTGTTTTACTATTTAATTGGCCATGTATGTTATATTTGTGAGTATATGCAGTGAATCTGATTGGTTGTCTATATTGCAGACATAAGTAACTATGTGAGAATACATTTCTTTTTATTGTTTTATGAAGTCATCTGTACTTAATGTATACAAGGTACAAAGTTTTATCTGAAATAATGTGATATACTAGGATTTGTTTAAGATTTTAATTGTAGTTCCTATATTTTTTCTCAAAAAATAGGTTGTAGTTTTTATGCACTTCAAAATGGCACAAAGCTCACTTCTTGAATTATCCCCCTTTTCGAAGAGTATTTCTGAATGATTTGTCTTTTTTCATGAATGGTTAACATTTGTAAACAGTTGTTGCTTACTCATTCAGTTGTAAGTGGGAGTTGTGCATTTATCTTTTTAGATTTTAACAAGGACATTTTGTATAACTGCATGACAACTGAATAAATTAAGATATAGAGCATGGTTTGAGTTTCTGTTATGTGCAAAACTATGACTCAAGGAAAAGGCAAGAGATCATGTTATTATACATCCATCAGTCTGTCTGTCCATGCAATCTTGTCCGGGCTATAACTTTGTAATGGAGACTCATTGGAAGCTCATACTTTGTACAGAGATTGCTATGAATCAAGGTCATTTCTGTAAGTTCAAGGTCACTGGTATAACAAGAGGCCCATGGGCCACATCGCTCACACTGGCTAGGAAAAAGCAGAAATCAGTTTCGTATTGAAAAGCTTCAATATATAAGTGATCGCATATACCCCCAGGGGAATGGGGGGCATGATTTGTTCACACTTGAATCTACACTAACTGGGGATGGTGCCATATAAATATGTCTAATCATGGCTTTGCTATTCTTGAGAAGAAAATTGTTTTAAAGTTTTTTTTTCCTTTGTATACCTATGTAAAACTTTGATTGCCCATTGTTGCCCCCTCCTACCACCAGGGGTCATGATTTGAATAAACTTGAATTTACACTATCTGAGGACGCTTCGATATAAATATGACCAGTCATGGCTTTACTGTTTCTTGAGAAGATTTTTCCTATATATTCCTATGTATAACTGTGTTCGCTCATTATGACCCCAACCTAGCTCCAGGGGTCATAATTTGAACAAACTTGAATCTACACTTTCTAAGGATGCTTCCATATAAATATCTCGTATCATGGCTTTACTGTTCTTGAGAAGAAATTAAATAGCTTTACTGTTCTTGAGAAGAAATTAAAAGGTTTTTACTGTGTAAAACTTTGATTACCCATTGTGGCCCCACCCTACCCCCAGGGGTCATGATTTGAACAAACTTGAATCTATACTATATCAGGAAGCTTTCACATAAGTTTTATCTTTTCTGGCCCTGTGGTTCTTGAAAAGAAGATTTTAAGATGACCCCACCCAATCTTTACCTTTTGTTAATTATCTCCCCTTTAAAGAGGATGTGGCCCTTTATTTGAACAAACTTGAAACCCCCTTACCCAAGGATACTCTGTGGTTAAAATTAGCCCAGTGGTTCTGGAGGAGAAGATGAAATTGTAAAAAGTTTACGATGACAAACAACAGACAAATTTTGATCAGAAAAGCGCACTTGCGCCTTCGGCTCAAGACAGGTCTAAAAATTTTTAACAGAGAAACATTGCAAGACAATATTTCACTGAAAGATCACCAAGGTCTTTTTGGTAACATTTTAAAAATTTGAATGACTTTAAAAAATTGGGGGTATTATTTTGTGAGCTCGTAGTCACAGTACTTCTAGTAAAGCATTAATGTGTTGATGTTAAAGGAATATAATTCAGCAAATTGCAACACAGTTGAATATGAATATGGTCACTAAGTGGCATTAACTGGTCACAGACATATACCGTAAGTTTTGGGGTATATGTCGATGGGGTATATAGGTCGAAAGGCTCATTTTCAGCCGTAATTTTTAAAAAATCCTTAGATAGGACGATTTGGTAGATAGGACGAGGCTTGTTTATCGACATTCTAGAGACTCTTACGTAGAAACTATGTATCAGAACATGTAAAGGTCTTTAACTTAACCCGTGATATTTATGAAGAAAATAAACTGGTATTTTTATGAGTACAGCATTTTAATAGTGTTTTATACAAACATAGTAGGTTCAAATCCTCTAAAAGAGTACTTGTAGAATACTAGATACATGTATCAAGTTTTTGGGACTGACGTCAGGTGTCAGACTTGTTTCTGCAATTTAAGTGCAATAATTAAGTTCCAGCTAAATATCAGATAAGTGGAGACATACAGTATCTTTTATGTTAATATACACATAGTATTGATTCCCATAGACGAAGGAAATGCAGACAAATTGTGACATAAGCAATTGTAAGATTACCATGATCTTAAATTCTGGAATTATCATTCAAGCTTTATGCTAGCTTTCCCAGCAAATGGCTAGGCTAGAGTTAACAATAAAAGTGCAGTGTAGGTGCTGCAAATCTGGTAGCAACTTGCTTGTTTCTTGACTTAGGAATCAGTCTTTTTGGTCTTGCTTACAGGACTTTGACCTTTCAAGTTTTGTTCAGTAATTGATGATCTAGACCTTTCTTTGTGGGACAAATACTTCTAAAACCTCCCTTTAACTTGGTGCCTTAATGCAACCCTTTGTTACAAGAAATCACCATGTCACCAGATAATTAAAATTTCTAAACAATGTTTCAATTATACATGTAAAATACTTGAACATTTCAATATATCCCTTCTCCTTCTAACCCCCATCAACTCTATATGTGAGGAACCTTTCTTGAAAATTACAGTTTATGACCCCATCTTCATATGAAAAGCAATTTGCAGTGCAGCTCCTGCAAAATTTTTATTAAAACTGCAAAAGAGTGAATCAAGTAACAGTTTACATAATGATAATCTTGTACACAGGTTCAACAGTTAAATAAACAAATATAAAGACTGACATTCATTTAGGAACAAGCACACACACAAAAAAATCTATACAAAGGAAATAATATCATAGCCTCTATAATTAACAGGAAAAAAATCTTTAATTTTTCAGATAATGCAAACACACTACATAAGGTAATGACACTTATAATAGTCATTATCCCAAAGACTGTTATATCATTTTTCAGTAAAGAGCTTCTGGTAACACAGAAATGTAATACTTAAAATCTAAATAATCTGATGGGATTTTTTGTAATATAAACAATGTAATAAAAGTAAATATTACGTTATGTTACATATTCCATGTATTTATATGAGAAAAAGAAACTGTCTTTGACCAGTGTAAGATGTTTTGTCTTTGTTCTTAGTTCATTTCTGTATTGTGAAATTAATAAGTAAATCTGACATCTGTTGATCATTTGATTGACACAGGTCTGTTGTTGGCCAGGTTCTGTAACTCCTGCATGGCTTTTTTGACCTCCTTGGCTTCTTTCATTGAATTCACTCGTACAGCATTGTAGCGAGACTGAATCTGTAGAAAATTAACAATGGTGGGACTACAATATTCATACTCATTTATATTTTTAAAAAATTGCTAATGGAAAAATAAGGGACATCAACCAGTATTTGAGTACTCATGCAACTATCACTCTGTCCAACTAAATATTTTTTACTTGGTTACTCATTAAATATGTGCTATTTTATAATTTTTCTAAAGTCAAGTTGATAAACTGAGAGAATTTTTTTCTTCAGCTGGTAGTTTTGAGTCAAAGCATAGATCCTAGCCTTCTCTGATGTGGATCAAATTATTATTTTTATAAGAACAATCGAATGATTACAAACTTAAGCATACTTACAGTGATTTTATTTGGGGAGATATGACTGTAGATGTGTGCATACCTTGAGATTTTTTTTGATATCTGATATGAATTAATTTTTATGATTTGATTTGTTGTTTGCAGGTGCAAATTGCATAAATAAGATTTATAGCAAGCTTTTTATGTTCTGATAATAAGTACACTCTAACTGTACACCAGCTTAAGTCATGGGTCAATAATTTAGCTAGAACTAGATGAGTTCAAATGGTGTCAAATGGATGAATTAATTAAATTATTAGCGTCTGGAGAAGAAATGAAAAGCCATAGTATTTAAAAAAGTCTATTTAGATAAAATATGCGGTAAAAAAATTCATTTTAATTCAGATACATGGTCAGGTATTTCTGCTAAGTAAATACTTGCACTGAGAAAAACGTTGTACATGTATATAATACCAGTAGTAGTTTATTATGAATATTGAGTTGACATGTACAAGCAGTCTGAAAACAACATAAAAAAAATTATTTTAATGAGTACTCGACGATTGCGAGCCTCCTGATTATTCATTTACGACTCAAGTGATGTTGACATCCCTAAAAATAATTCTTTCTCCAATTTTAGTGTCCAAAAAATATTGCACACACAGTTGTATTGAACAGAATAAAATAACAAGATAACTTTCCCCTTTTAAAAAAAAACAACAAATAAATAGATACATATTTATAAAATCTGACCTCGCTGAGAAGCACTGGAGCCTGGCTGAATTTCTTCATCTTCTTCTGATCTTTGAGGACACTTGCCAGGTTTGCTTCTTCAGTGGTAGAGCGATTTTTAAGATTTTCTAGCACCTCATCAATTTTCTGTTGCCTTGTTTTACGAGGAGGCTGAGGAGGCATTTGCCACTATAAATAGAAGTATTTTTGGAATCATAAAATTACAAAATGTCTGACAAATTCACATCATAATTGAATTAATTTAAAATCACATCGTTTCTTGTCCTTGCCCGAACATACTTGTGTAGTTCATATGTAAGATATAAAAACAAATAAAACAGGATGATTGCTTCTGCAGGGAGACGACGTTACCTTTTGATATGGAGGAACTGGTTTGCCCA